ACATTTTATCCAAATTAACCTTTTTTTTTTTTTTTTTGAGAAAGAAAGACGCATACTGCATTATAGTAAATCATTTTCCAAAGTGGCAAGAATACACTGAGGAGGAGTAAATCCCCACACATGGAAAACTGACAAAGAACTTGCTGCTCTAGCTAACTGATGAGCTGCAACGTTCGTAGATCTCTTAACATGAGCTACTTTCACATTCACTAAGGAAGCTAAAATAGCTTTACAATCAGAAATTAATAGACCAAAAGAAGAAGAATCTAAAACAGGAGAATTAATGGCTTGAATAACACGTAGGCAGTCAGACTCAATTTGCACACACTCCCTTCTGCGATCACGTAACCAACTGAGTGCTTCCCGCACTCCAAACGCTTCCACAATTTCAGGTTTGGAAAAATGCAAGTTTGGCTTGACAAATCCTCCCACAAAAATACCCTGTTCATCTTTGAAAACGGCACTAATAGCAGCGAATTGTTCAAACAACGCCCCATCCATATTACATTTTAGCCAACCCACCTCAGGCTTGCGCCATTTGGTGCTTGATGGAGAAGATGGTTGATGTCTTACAAAAGTGCAATCCTGTGTTGTAACCTAACTATTCAAAAGAACTAGGCTGCCCCGAATTCCATTATCAACCCTGGGCTTTTTTGCTTCCCAGACCAACAAGTTGCGTTGCTGCCAAATCCCCCAAGAAATCGCTACAAATTTTGGCCAGTTTTCTTTCGGAGCCAACTGAAAAATCAAACGCAGCCAATCTTTATAGCTACTGCAGTTTCCATCAAACCATCCCATACCAGATTGAAGCCACACCTGCTTAGTGAACTCACAAGACACTAGAACATGAATGGTTGTTTCAATCTCAACATTACAAAAAGGACAGTGAACCTCAGGAAGTACCCGACGCCTATGAAGTGTAGAACGACTTGGGAGACACTCCTTGACAGCCTTCTAAATAAAGTTAGTCATTTTTGGAGGGATTTTGAGGCCCCAAATATGTTTTCGAATAATTGTGTCCTCCTCATCCACCGTCACCTGCTGCTCTTGTCTAAGCACTCCATACCCACTGCGAACAGAATACTGACCCTTCGGATCCGGGAACCACACACATACATCTTCAGTTTGGCGTAGACTTAGAGGAACATCCAGTACTAGCCGCATATCAGTTTCAGTGAACATTTCCCGCAACTTATCAATCCTTCATTCCCTGCCTGACTGATCTATTAGTTGCGAAACCAACAAGTCAGCTCCCTCCTCCGACATAGGAAGAGAAACACCCGCTTTAACTTCGTCAATAAGCCACAGCATCCCCCAAACTTTAACTTTAGAGCCGTCGCCTATCCTCCACCTACACTCACGTGTGAGAACATCTTTGGCCAGCCAGATACTTTTCCAAATATAACTAGGATTAGCTCCCAATTCCGACCCCCAAAAATTCAAGAAGCAGAAATATCTTGCTTTGAGAATGCGAGCCATTAAGCAATCAGGATGTTGAATAATACGCCACCCCTGTTTTGCTAACATTGCTCTATTAAAATCAAATAACTTACGGAAACTCAATCCTCCATCTTTCTTCTGCCTACACAACTTATCCCAGCTAAACCATCTCAACCCACCTTTTCCACCTCCATTACTCCACCAATAACCATTTATTAACTTCTCCAACTTATCACAAAAATCAGAAGGAAACAAAAACAGGCTCATCACATAATTGGGCATCGCTTGAAGGACAGTTTTTATTAGAACTTCCTTACCTGCGCGAGATAATGGTTTATGCTTCCAGGATTCAATTTTTTACCATACCCGGTCCTTGATATAAGCAAACATGGCTCTTTTCTTTCTTCCAACCTGCATAGGCATCCCAAGATATGTTCCATCATCTTCAATCTCCCTAACTCCCAATGCCGCACAAAGCTTTCCCCGCGTCTCAGCCTTCACACAAGAACTAAACGAAGCCGCCGACTTGCTCAAGTTGACAGCTTGACCTGAAGCCATTTCATAAGTCTGTAAGAGATCCTTAATAACTTGACATTCAATGATATCTGCTCTAAGAAACAAGTAAGCGTCATCTGCAAAGAATAGGTGAGAGACAATAGGAGCTCCTTGAGCTAACTTACATCCATGTAGTCTACCTTCCCGAACAGTCTTATCAATTAGAGCAGTAAACCCTTCCGCACACAAAATAAAAAGGTATGGAGACAATGGGTCACCTTGACGAATAACCCTCTTTGGTTCTACCGGCCCAATTAACTCGTCATTTACCAGAACATTGTGCTTCAATGTCTGAACACATAGCATAATAATAGCAATCCAATCCCCACAAAAACCCAAACTACGCAATCCAAATTAACTTTTTGTTTGCTTTACCATAAATTTTTTGATCGAAATGTTTTTTGTTAAATTATGAAAAAAATCACTTAAAATCACATAATTTGTATGTTTTATTTTTTTATTTCAATTAAGGGGATTTTGATAAAAAAAATCATATGATCCGAAAGATTGATGAAAAAATATATTGAACATTTTAAATATTTTTTAAAATAAATAAATAATTTAAAAAATATTTTAAATATTATATAATGATAAATGAATATATTTATGTTAATAATAATAATAATAACAATTAAAGAGTGGAAGTTTGGTAGTGAGAAGTCAAATCATGATCCCCATTTCATCTTCTCTCACGAAGAGTATACTGGCATGGCATCCTGTCATCCACGCGAACTAAATCATTTGAATAATTAAAGACTACGAGTCCAGTGCAAGTCATCGAAAGGGCATGAACTTTACCAATTATACCAATCAGTATCGATTTTAATGTTTCTTTTTAATTTGATCCTTTCATATCCCAAGTATAAAGCTTCTCAACAAAATTTGAATCATTTTGAGGTTATTTTCTATTTTTTTAGTTTTTTTTTTATATTTTTAATGTTCAAAAAAATAAACAAACATAATTTTTGATTTTAGAATTTTTTTCAACATATGTGTAAAATTTTAACTCAAAATATCAATTATTGAATTTTTTAGAGAAAAAAATGATAGGTGAAAATTATTAGATGGATACAATTTTGAAAAATTAAAAGTTCAAAAATCTCTGAAACTAAATTTAAAGTTTAAAAATTCAATTTTCAATGTTCTAAAGTTCAGGTGAAAATTGACCCGTGTAAATAGTTGTCTAACTTACTTTGTTTTTGATTTTGAAATTTGAAAATCTTTAATTTTTTTAAATTTTCATAAATAACTCTATTCAACAAACAAAAGAATAACATTCATATTCACATATATTTAAAAAGATATTATCATTTCTTTATCAAGATGTCTCTAATCTCCCATCTTCAATTTTTTTGGATACGACTTGAACCCAAATACTATGTGAGGCAAAATAGGATGTTTGCCCTCATCATAAAATTATTTATATGATTGTTATTTTTTGAAATAAATAACAAAAAATTAAAAAACAGGCTAAATTTTAAAATTTTAAAAACTCAAAGATCTCCACAATTAAATTTGAAGTCAAAAAAATTCAATTTAGAAGAGATCGGATTCCATTTAGCTTAATTAAGCAGCATGCAAACAAATTGGTGGTCTAAAATCAAAGGATCGGCCCTAGCATTCCACGTAAGTAGGATATTGCTTTCCTTATCAAAGCCCTCATTTATCACTTCCCAAACAGACAAAGCCCTTAATCAGCACAAGTTCTCGAACAGCCCAAATGGGCCCAACAACGGTGAAGTTTTTGCTATTTACTATCTATGCACAACTAAATAATCCACACCACCCTTTTCTTTTCTTTCATAGCGTTATACGAGAGAATCCTCCCTCGGTTCAAGCAAAAGCCTTAATGGTGGATGATGCCAAATAATTTTTACAGCTTAAAGTAGCGTAGTGCCATTGTTTCTTACCTTTTGCACTCAATTTTTATGGATGAAGCTACGAAATGAAGGCAGAACAAATAAATTTATTTCTAGTTCAAAAATATCAACTAACTATTAAATAAATAAAAAAATCATAACTCAATATTATCAATTTGAACGAAAATAATTCTAATTATTTAAATAAATAATTTTGTTTTAAAATTTTTATATATACAAAAAAAAATTCTTTGATTAGCTATGTTTATCACGTGTTTCTGATCGAATAATAAAAGATTAGCTTTAATTTTTAAAATTAGGACCTATTGAGAATCTTAAGAAAAAAAAGCTGACACGTGATTAAAAATAATAAAATAATAAACATTAACACTTTTACACGAGGATCATTTTTTTTTTTTGCCCTTTTCCCATGATTTTAAAGTACGTTTGATGTTAGTTCTTTCTTTTCGGAATTAAGTTTTTATATATTAGATTTCTAATATATTCATAATAAAAATTTTCTTGAAATTTGATTTAAAACAAATGATAACTTTAAGCACAAATTCATTCACGATTTTTTTCGTCTAAAATATTAAGATTATAATCGAGAAACATTATGTTTTTGGAAGAGACAAGTAATCACTCCATTTTCTATAATAAGCCTAAGCAATCTGTTTGAATCCTTAAAATCAAAATTAATCATTCGATTTGTTTTTAATATTTAAAAGCTGACACAGAGACATTATTGTGGCTGGAAGTCAAAAAAAAAGCCCAACCCTAGATCTCCACGTAAGATGATGTTTTCTTATCCAAAGCCAACTTCACTTTGACAAAACCCTTTAACCGAAAAAGGCCGAAATAACTGTGAAGCTTGTACTCTATGTTAATGTGACCCTACCTTTCTATTTTCTTCCTTTCGTGTTGGCACCGTCGTTTCATTTCCCTCCAAAGAAAGAATCCATGGTCCCTGATGATTCTTCTCCTTTACTACTCGACTCACAAGCCTGTCAAATCTTTAGTCGTTAATAGTAAGATTTGCTTGCTGTTTTTGTTTTCTTGTGAGAGTTCTGGATAGCTTCTTGATTAGTAATTTAATGGCAAATAATTAGATAGATAGATAGAGAGCAAATATTGTGGCTTTGCCAAATGGGGTTTTCAGTTACCCTTCGCTGCTATCTGCCTGTCAAATCTTCTCACCGTTCCTCCAAGGTTTCTCTCTTTTTCTATTTGTATTTTAAGTATAAGCTTACTTTTTGTTTTTGTAAACGTTATTAGTTTGGTTTCCTGGCTTACTTCTTGTAGATTTTGAGTCCTAAATTATTGGAAATTTTTTGGGTTGTGTATTGATTCTTGTTTTCTTTAGCATTTCCTGACAAATGGAGAGATGGTTTTGTGCGTGCTAAATTTTGGTAGAGAGAATTCTATGAATGCGAAATTAGCTAAAACGTCTTGGTGCCTTCTGTAAATGAATCAAGAATTTGGGGACTTAAAGATAGTGAATTTGTAATTGGCTCTGGATGTCGAAGTATTCTTTTGTAGATATAAGGAGAATATTTGTGTAAGACGAGAAAAGAATTTAAGGAAAAGAAGGTGATCAGAGGATGCAACATCTTATTACGTGCTTCAATAAGGTTACATGGGGGAAATTGATATTAAATTCCTAGTACAGTAAACCTCCCTCGTCCTTTTGTCCTTTTTTTTTTTTTTAAGTGCTTTTGTGTTTAGCCTGCAGTAAATTTCGAATTTAGGCAATTCGTAAATATTTCTCAAAATTTCATGTTGGGTTCTAGCCAAATACTGGGAAAATTGGAAAAAGAAGTAATAACAGGAATGCCTATTTATCCTGCCCAGTTGTTGATTATCATTGATAATCCAACTCCTATACAGTATGTGATACGGTGAAATGTTTTGCTGCAGTTTCCATCGAGGTTCAACTTGAAGCAGAATAGACTGGCTTTCTTAACATCTGTGAACACAGAAAGCCTTTCACTGCAGATAGTCAAATCAGTCTCAAACAACATGAAGTCAAGCATCAATGAAAATGGGGCAACTGAACCTGCAAGGGTTCTTCTTGAGAGATTGTTTGCACAGACTCAGAAACTTGAAGAACAGATGAGTAGGGACTCTCGCCTTCCTGGGGATGTTCAACCAGTGGTTAATCTTGAAATTCTGGAATCTGATCTTCTTGCTCTTCTGAATGCCTTGAAGAAGAAGGAAGAAGAACTTCAACATGCAGAAAGAAATGTTTTCTTGGAAGACAGCAGACTAAATCGGGCAAAGGAGGAGTTGGAACAACGGGAAAATGAAATTACAGCTGCATTTTCTAAGCATGAAAAACTTGAAGGGGATCTAAAGCAGGCAAATCTTAATTTAGCTTCTCAAGCTAGGGAGATTGAAGTTATAAAGCTTCAACTCAAGGAGAGAGACCAGGATATTGCTTCTGCACGTTCCGCACTTTCTCTCAAAGAAGATGAAATGGATAAAATGAAGACTGAATTGCTGAAAAAAGTGAGGAAGTTGCCAGGATTGTCTCTGAACTGAAATACAAGGCTCAACTGCTGAACCAAGCCAGTGAGGTTGTGGAGAGACAAGAAATTGAACTTCAGGGACTCCAAATGCTTATTCGAGAGAAAGAAGAAGAACTAGAAGTTACTACAAATCTGAGAAAATTTGAGGAAGAGAAGTTGGAAGTTGTGGAAGCCAATTTGGAGGATCGTACAAGGGAATGGTTGCTAATGCGGGACGAACTGCACAAATTGGCGAAGGAAGTATCTAAACAAGTTGGAGAAACTGATGAGGCTTTAGAGGATTTTAGAAGAGTGAATAAGCTTCTTGCAGAAGTGAGAACTGAACTGAATTCTTCTCAAAAATCCCTAACATTTTCTAGAAAGCAAATGGAAGAACAAGAGCAGCTATTAAAAAGGCAACTAGCAGAACTTGAAGAACAGAGGAAAAGTGTAATGTCTTACATGACTAGTTTGAAAGATGCCAAAATAGAAGTGGAGAGTGAGAGAGTAAAACTCAGGGCTGCAGAGGCTCGAAATAAGGAGCTTGAACGAGACTTATCCATGGAGAAGGAGCTCATAGAAGAGTTACAGAAGGAGTTAGAGAAGGAGAAATCTTCTCTGGAGCAGGCAATCAAAAAGACTTCTTTGTTACAGCAGGAACTGCATCAGAAAAATTCTGAATTTGGAGAAATGCAGCATCTTCTTCAAGCTAAAGAATCAGATTTGGTGGAAGCTAAACTAGATATCCAGAATTTAAAATCCGAGCAGGCTTCTCTTCAGCTTGTCCTGGAGGATAAAGATTTGCAACTCTTTGACGCGAGGAAGAATTTGGATGAAGTAACTCAGGAGGTCGCAGAGCTAAGGATGCTCATGAGCAGTAAAGAAGAAGGACTTGTCCAAGCCACCACCATGCTAAAGGAGAAAGAGGAGCATGTTCAGATTATGCAAGATGAATTGAATGATACAAGGGTGAAAGCTTCTGAAGCAGAATCTGTAGTGGAAAAGATCGTAGAGCTTACTAATGAATTGGTTATCTCCATTAAAGATCAGAATGAACAAAGGCAATCCAACAATATGGTCTTGGAATTCATTCAACAACCATTGGATGAGCCAATTGATGACTTGAGGTTGCAGAAGAAGCAAATTGAAACTGAACTCAAGTTTAGCAGAGAAAGCTTAAGAGTGAAAGAAATGGAAGTTTTGGCTACACAGAGAGCTCTCACAATCAAAGATGAGGAGCTTAAAACAGTTCTGGAGAGATTGGATACAAAAGAAGAAGAACTTAAAAAATTGAAGGAAGATGCAGTTGAAGATGCTAATGGTCTGAGGAAGCTTTATTCTTTGGCACAAGAAAGAATCGGCGAGAGAAGTGTTGGAGATTTGGCTATTGAGAAACTGAAACTCGAGGCTGCTCAACTTGAAGTTGAAGCTGTCACCAGCGCTCTGCAAAATCTCGCAGAAATGAGTCGAGAACTTCTAAATAAAACAAGCTTGAGCATTGAGGCTGATGCTGACAGTAGTATTTCCATGGAAAACGGCTCTGGTCACAGCCTTGCTCTGTTAGAGAACAACGAATATTTCAAGGAGGTTAAAACAGAAGTTGTCCGGCTGTCATCGATGACTGAACAGCTATTGAAAGATGCTGGTATTACAGTTGGTGCAGACTGATAAATTTGTAAAGCTAAAAAATAGATTGTTTATAGGTATCTAACTTCCATAGTTGTTCTGCCAAAATTTGTTGTACGATGAGTTATACACTGAGAGCATGTTTCTGTAACACAGTTTTTGACCCGATTAATAAAGGATTGCCACTATAATTTGTTGCATATTGAACCTGGGCAACATGTCTTGGCTTGGTATCCAGCATCTACTGTACGATATAGTAGCTTGGCTTATGCAAGGTTTTCTGCTCGTCCCATCGATATTCTCCTAATTTGGGTTTTCTACGTTTCTAGTTCTTGTTTAAGTCCTATATATACTCCTTCAAGGAATCATGCAAGTCAAATGGAGAAAACATGGAACAAAACAAGAAACACTGTTGAAATGGGGTTGGCCTTCAGGACTCAGATACATCTTTCGAAATAATCAAAGTAACCGCCAGGAATCACAAGCACACACAGGTGCATCTTCTAGTATAAGCATTTCATAAGTTAAAAGCGAAAAGGAAATCGGTAAGTAAAAGCTGAAAAGCATATATATACTCCTTCGCATTACATTCATCAAGAGCCAGCTTGACTTCACTGAAAGTAAATAACCAGCAGCAGTAGTGTCAGTTCCAGCAACAACTTAGAAGAAAGACGTTAAAAAGGTTCTATACAGACTGTAGATTAGTTGAAATGAATATGTACAGGTTTTTTGGGAAGTTGAAAAAGCTCAACTACCGGGTAGCAGCAGGGCTAACACCAAGGATATTTTTCACAGAAGGTGGAAACCATGCTTGGTTGCTACCATTGGCGCTAGTCTGGCCATCCATATATTGGCCATCACTTTCCCCTGCACTACCCTGTCGCTTGTTCACTCTTGATCTCCCTATTTTCTTCCTGACGAAAAATCCAACCTTCATAGCTGTAAAGATACCCAATGCTATCACGAGAGGTCTCACAGCCCAATGAAAATCCTCAAGGTGTTGATATTTTTTGACAACCCCAGAACAAGTATTGAAAGAAACTACTTCCACTTCAGCTGGATCAGCCAAAAAACTGCTATTTTCATTTCCAATTGTCAATCTTCCTGGGAACTTGACAATGAGGCACCCATTGGGTAGGATCCACCAAATCTTCCCAGTAGCCCAGGCCCCTCCGGTTTTACGAGGCCATTCAAATCGAGGGCTAAGAACATTAGCTTTCAGCCTTACAAACTGACCAACAAAGTAAGATTCAGCCATTTGAAGCTCTGAAGAATTTCCTTTCCAGAGAGTTTCCACCCCTATATATCCGACAGCAACGCTTCCATCGCGATTTATAGAATGAAGAATGCCCACTGGTGAGTGCTTCTTGTCTTCTTCCTTCAGGTGTACCCAATCCCCAGCTGCAAGGCCAAAAGTGACTCGTTCCAAGGTTGAGACAGGAAGTCTTAATGGGTCATGGATGCCGTGAACTCTCACCAAAACAAAACCATCTCGATCTGGGTCACGTTCTAAACCCACCACTGTTCCTTCTGGGACATCCATATTTTCAGGCTTGCATGAGTTAGGTGGCCTCCTGGAACGCACCATGTCTCCCACTTGCAGATGATCCTTTGATAAAAACCACTCTGTGTAACCACTGCCACTGGATTTCTCTAGGATTGTTCTGCTGCCAAATCCTGTCCAGCCTCCATCGACAAGAACTGCATTCTGTGAGCTGCGATGCAATGAAAAACACGCAAGCACAAGGTGTGAACAAGAGAACTTCCGTTCCGGCAACCAAAATGACAAGCAAATACTCTTACTGATAACCGAAGGGGAAAAATAACAAGTCAAAGGAAATTACAGAAGGGGATTGTAAGATCAGACATAGTGATGCAATCTCCACCAGCACAATAGGTCAAATATCTATCAAGGTTGAGCAAGAACGGTAATAGGTGTGTGGAAATCATAGCATGTATAAAGTGAATAAATGAACAAAGGGGAGTCTAACCAAAACAAAAGGACTCTGCAAAAACATCTGTGCTCCTGCAAGCATAAATTGGTCTTTTAAACTTGATATCACTATGATGAGTTTGTACATGTATAAAATAGATAGCATGAGGGAGTGTGGGAGCTAGTGGGAGAGTAGCATCAGAAATTGTCCAATCCAAAGGTGCGAGAGTGAGAAATCACAGAATCCCACAGAATCTGTCTCCTGTTCATATCATAGTGATGGAAAATAATGAAACAACAGACAGTGCAAAAACAAAAGGTTGCTATCTTAATGCTATGCTATCTAAATTGTAGCAAGGGAAGCAGAATTTTCTGTACAAACATAAACTTGAATTTTTTTTTTTTTTTTTTGGAATAAAAGATAATTAAATAACATGTACTAAGATTCACATAAACACAGCTTAATGTCCAAGTGGCATGCATTATCCAAACAAGACATTCGTAAAGCTAAAATTTAAATTTATTCTGCAGCCTCAGTACTCATTTTATTGCATTCATCAGCATTTCTACGGCAACTGATATCAAGAAGAAAGTAATGAAAGACCTTATTTGCATTTTACAAAAGATAGCAACATATGCATGCCAACACAAAACAGGATTTACAAACAACATAATACCTACCTTTTGAATACACGTAATATGTCTGTCATCAGGGGCCGACTCCTGAAGTCATATTCAAAGCATCCAAAAAGAACATTTTCAACTGGAGGAGGGAGGCCCTCAGGAAGACGTAGTTTCTCTTGTTTCCTAACCACCGAGTCATAAATTTCTTCAACTGACTTCCCACACCAAGGTTGAACGCCAGTCAACATCTCCACAATGCTGCACGCAAATCCCCATGAATCTGTCTCAAAAGATATCGGACCTCTTATTTCTGGCTGCCATTGTTCCGGAGCCATATAGTTTGGGGTTCCAAGCCTCCGAGAAATATCTGAGCTTGGAAATGGAATTCCAAGTAGCAGGTAAGGAATACCAACATCTCCCAGAACTGCTTGATCATTTTCATTAAGAAGGAAGCTACAAGGTTTAAGGTTAAGAACTAGGGTTTCTTTTGCATGCAACTCTGCAATCCCCTGAGCCAACTCTATCCCATACCTGTGAACGTAAGAAAACACTGAGGATGGACTGCTATTTGCTAATTTAATAATTTAGATTTTAAGAAAAACAAAACAATCAATTCACCTCAAAACATCAGGTAATGAGAGCTTCCCTCCTTTAAGGCAAGCCATTTTGTCCCCAATTGATCCCTCATAAAACTTCATCACAATGCATATCTATAATGACAACAGGCATTAGTCCTTAATGATCTAATAATTAGCCAGAAATATAATCTCATCATAGTATATCACGCATGAAGGGATCACTCACCTTTCCATTTATAACTGAAATTCCATGTAGAAAACACACACTTTCTATGCCTCGACACTTTGAAAACAAATCGTCAAACTTATCAAACACAACCCTCATATGTTCCTCCTTAATAGGATGCAACATCTTGACAGCCACTTCATGATACTCATCGTAATCTTCAGTAGACTGATGATGAGTAGCCAACCAAACATCACCAAAAGGTCCCCTCCCAATTCTATGTCTAAGTTTCAATTTTGCAGGATCAATCCTAGGAGTTGACTGGTTTGAGGACGCCATCACAGTTCTAAGGTGATCAGGATCCTCATATAGCTCAAACTCGAAAGGAGTCACAGGTTGAGCAGGAACAACAACTTTGCTGGCCATTTTATCTTCTATAAAACAAAAAAAGAAAAAAAGAAAAAAAGAAACATTGGGTTAAATTCAAAAGGAAGCAACTTGACAAAAACCCATCAAATAAAATCATTGAATTGCAATAATATGTAGTCAAAACAATGGATTCTTTACTATTACTATTTATAAAACAAGTAAAATGCAACAAACAAATCATCAACAATCAACACAAGAAGACAGAAGATCACATATTATTTCTTAATTATGAAAAAAAGAACAAACAAACTTCATGCTCTTTATGTTTGCTAATGAATTGATCACTAGAAAAAACTGTTTTTTTTCTCAGAATCCGAACAGTTTCTTTTAGGACCCTCTTGATTTCCATTAAAGGAAAGGCAAAAAAGTTGTAACCTTTGAATATCCTGCTCTCAACCTTTTACTTTTTGCTTCACTTGAACAACAAAAGAACATAAGAACATCGAAACCCAGAATTCATATTTTCATTCTCCAATAAATTCTTGACAATTTTCGAAGCAACCAAGCAAAGTTTCTCTCTTTAACAAAAATACTCTCAAAATTTCGAAAAAAAAAAGAAAGAAAGAAGAGAAATACTTACTCTTGAAAAGCTGATTAAAGAGAGGCTTGACGAGAGAAAATATATATATAAAGAAGCTTAAAAAAGCCTCAGAAATTTCGACGAATTGATTAAGCTGAATTAGAAAAACGTAAACTTGTTAATAATATTAAAAAATATGTACGTGTTATTTAATAGAGAACAAGACAGAGAGAGTGAAGGTGAGAGAGGGAGAGAGAGAGCACCAAAGAAACAAAACAGTTGTTTGAAAATGGAAGCGAATTTGGACACCAACAAAGAGAGAAAGACAGTGGCTGTGTCTCTCTGTGTGTTTTTTATTTTTATTTATGTTTGGGGAAGATATCCTTATGGTGGGAGAAAATGCCTAGAAATGGCATCTGGTTTAAGTGGACCCTGGATTTTAACGTTTTCTTCTACTATGTTAACATGGCCATTTATCATCCATTAAGTAGTTAAAAGCTTCTAATAGCTATGATTTTATACTACTTTTTTTTTTTTTTTTCTAAATTGTCTTAATTAGAAAATGCCTAGAAATGGTATCTATGATTTTCAGTTACCTGATTTATAACAAATCCAATTTATGACACGTGTCTAAACCTAGAGAACACAAAAGAGGATGAGTAGAGAGGTAGGCAGTCATGGTAGAGAGAGAAAAAAGAAAGGAAAAAATAAAAAATAAAAAATAAAAATTTAAATATGTGTCGGTAAATTAGAATGAAAAACCATAAATATCAATAAATAAACTTAATTAATACCCTCATTAATCTTTGTATAATAGGTTAATTCTTTAATCTATTTTTATATTTTAATTTGATTTCTAATTTATCGTTTTAGTCAAAATTTTCAATCGTTTTTTAAAAATAAATCTATATATTAATAAAGATAGATCAATTATGCTAAATAATACAAGAATTTTATAAAATAATATATTATGTGTAAATTAAATATTTAATTTGATCGAAAATTTTAACTAAAAACATATATTAGAAATCAACTTTAAATATAAAAACATATTGTAAGTTTTTTTAAAAAATAAATTAAAAAATTGGTCTATTGTATATAAAACATCCGAGGGTATTAAGAAAAAATATTAAGACAAATAAAAACTAATACCGAATTAAGAGTAAAAAGAACTATAATATTTTTTAACCTCCATGAAATTGGTAGTGAAACAAGGCAGCTATGACCATCCTTAAACCAGTCCCAAAAAGGTGTCTTTTTCAACCAGAGGCCGTGAGTGTCCTTTTAGATGCGTGTAGACCGCCCTTAATTCGGAGGGACAATGAGCGGGTGGGGGCCTTTCCGCATTAAGTAAAGATCGATAAATCTCGTATCCGGTCCTTATATAATCGAATCGGATTTTATTCGTATCTGATTTAATCCAATCAAAATCATTTACCCAATGAAGAAAGGGATGAAATTGCCATCCCTGGTTTTGGTTCTATAAACTTTCTTTTTCGGAACAACGTAGTCATGAAGCACTCTGCTGCTCATAGAAGCAACAAGATCGCAACTGTGTTTTGTATTTGTTTTGACTCTTCCTTTAGCATCTTCTGCCACAACTTGAAGTTATTATGAAACCGAATTACGAATACTTCACTTACTTTTTCGTAATATGACTTGAAATTATTGTAGCAACCATTAACGAAAGACGTCATGTGCATATCCATTCCTTGGACTAGAATAATTGCAGTGGAAAACTTAAATCATTTAAAATATCAGTGAATTTCCTTTTCACATAGTGAACAGAACAAACTCTTGCGTCACAAGTTTGATTCTGTTCTCTGAATCAAAACACATAACAGGCAAAGTAACTTCAACAAGTCCAAGAAACCTAGCATTATGGCCATAGACATGTGCAAGTTGCGTCTAACCTTGTTTAAACCATCATAATACAACAAGCAATCCTTGTTATTCAAGGGAAATAACGAAACGTTAAATAATACTTTTTTTATGTAAAAAAAATTGTCTCATTTTCTTTTTATTTTTGTCTAAAATGTTTGTCTTGTCGAAATTTTTTATACTATTATTTTTAAAATACATTTATTTTGTGACTTAAAATTAAATTAAATAGATTTTCTAATTAAATAAAAATGAGTTTTAGGCATATTGAGATCTTGTATAATTTATTTATTTTTTTTATTGAAATCATATGTTTTTTCTCGTCAAATTTAAGAGTTCTAATCTTATGTCGTTATTGTTACATATCTTAACCAATGATAATTTACCATGTGTGTTTACGTGATAAGTTGTCAATGACAAGCTCTAGCCAATGACAGTTATTGACAACTTGCTATATCATCAATTCAATCATCTAATTTGAGCTCATCATGACACACGCTAAGTTGTTATTGACTAAAACTTGATATGTGTATTTACGTGATACATTATGGTATAAAATAATAATAATATAAGAATAAAACTTTTATATTTGATAAAAAAAAAATTAGAGTCACAAATTGTACGAGATCTCAAAATATGCAAAACCTAAATAAAAATAATTGTTTTTTAAAGATATTATTAAATTATGATATTATAATTAATAAATTCTTTAAACTATGTAAAAAGTATATGAAAATTATGAGAGAGAGGAGAGAGAGAGAGAGAGAGCTATTTTTTGGTCCACTTACATGCACCTCAATTATTGGCAAAAGCGAAGTTAATGAAGGAAGTTCTTACTTGTCAAACACAACCACCCTTGATTAGCTATGGTCATCGTGGCTAATTCGACATCTTTATTTAGTCACTGTAGCGGGAGTTCCAAATCCCTCTCACCCATCTTGAATAATTTTGCTATTTGCAGTTCTGAACCACACGTTTATGGATGCTTCCCAAAACCTGGGTGCAGCCACGCGGCCAGCCGGCTGACTGCTTCGATTGTTTGGTTTAGATGATGGTGACCCCTTTGGCTTTAAGTCCTGGACTTCACCGATGATTTGCAAATACCAGTCTTCAGGTTTAGCATATTCTCTCAAAGGGCACAAATGTTGTGCCTCGTTAAGAAGTGTAATCAATCGGATCCATTCATAGTTTAATTGGTTACTAATGAAATCCATTTAGGATCTAGAGTCCTTCTTGTTGGATGTCCTGACATGAGGTTTTAATAAATAGCATACTTGTTTCTGAGTTTGATGACAAATTTTATTATTATTTTATTGTAATTTGACAATTGTGTATTCATGCTATCAAATTATGTAATTTGAACTCTAAAATATTAAAAATTAGATAAATGTGATTCAAATTATTCAATCTTCATTATATATAATGATTAATTGAGCTAACCATTACTTGAGATGCGAAAACGATATCGATTTAATATTTCACTATTAATTATATATTATATTTAAAATATTTTTAACCCTTCCAATCTTGAACCTTTTTAACAAAACTTTTTTTCTTATATAATATTTTATAAATTATATAAAAAATATTTTATAAATATTTTTAACCCTCTAATTTTGAATTTTTTTTAAAAAAATTATAAAAGATTATTGTAAAAAAAAACATAATTAACAATACACAATTTCAGATCTTAAATTTTTTTTTTATAAATTAAAATAAGCATAATTAAGGTTTGACCCTCGTAATTATATATATATATTACAAATTTTTTATAATATTTTATTAAAAAAAGTTCAAAATTAGGATGGGTTAAAAATATTTTCAAAATATTTTTTTAAAAAACACACAATTAATAATAAAATATCAAAACAACATCGTTTTAACATTTCAAATAATAGTTAACTAAATTGACTATTATATATTAAAAAAATTAGATAATTTGAATCATATTTTTTCTATTTTTAATATCTTGAAATTCAAATTATTCGATTTAAAATTATCAAATCCCAAATTGTCAAAGCCGAGAGCAAAATTTATTACCTTAAATCCTTGTTCCTAAAGAATCATTACGAGACATTATTCCCAAAAAAAAAAAAAAAAAAACCCTGCTTTTGTCATGTGACAGCTACTGATCTACTTGTACTGACAAATGAAATTAAAGGCTTCTGGATCAAATGAAGAGAGGAGAATTCAATGACATGACTCGAAAAAGAGAGCCAATTGCATTGGATATGAACAGAGGCAAAATATATTGTTCAGGGGCATTATTAATCCATTTGAATGATGATGTATCTATTGCCATTACTTTCACAATACTAAATTATAAATTTACTCTTTTTTTGAAAGAAACAAAAATTGATTTTATGGCTAAAAATATTTTTTCTTTAACTTTTTAACCAAATTTTGAAATAGTTGAATAACTTAAAGAAAAAGTTTCCTATATAAAAAAAAATATATATATAATTTAGTATTTTAAGGGAGACAAACACGTCATCGATTAACAAAAATTTTTTTTAAAAATACTTCATTGATAATTTTTAAAAAATTAATATATTTAAACTAAAAAAATTAAAACTCATATACTCTGATTGAAAAAAAAAAAAAAATCTGTATTCTTATAAAGCAATCATCCCGTTATTCAATGGCACAGTGATTTTTTCCGAGCCTTTAGGCTGAAAGACTCCAGGGTCATTCATCCTCCAGTTCAGATCAAAGAAAACTGAATTGATTTCAAATCCCTTTTTTTTTTAATTAGTTATAAGAAAGGACAGTGGTCTGAAACTCTCACAAAAGATTTCTGCCGAAAGAAATTAATGCAGATATTATTCACAAATTCACCTTGTTCTTAAAAGTCCTGTGACATCTAACTAAAGATAAACATTTCCAAATTACCTTTTATGCTTACTTAAGTTTCACCATTGGTAATCAGCATATTGCCTGATGAACCTTGGTTTTAACGGTAGAATTAACACACCAGAAAACAAAATCACAAGCTCCATCTCATCATCATCTGTAGAAGCCAAGGCACCAAAACAGACTCAAAACAGCTGTATTCTTCCAAGTCTCATGAATTATGGTATTCCTATGATTCAAGTTCTGAAGATCTCTCTAATCCTAACCCCTGAAAACAACTTTATATTGCCAGTTTGATAAGCATTCCAGCCTTTCATGCAAGTTAGCCCAATTTCTCCTTGCTCCAATATGCCTCAACCGCGAACTAGTTGGGCTGGTTACACATCCAATATGCCTCAACCTTCTTCATTTAATTCTGCTATGGACTAAACTTAAAATTGTTGGGGTGTGCTAGATTTCTCTTTATCCGTACAACCCACATCATTCTTGGTTACCTCCCTCTAATCCCCAGCACAGCCCAGTTCTTACATATCCAAGTTCTCCTCACCTTCTATCTTAGCTCAAGTTTAGCAGTGGCATTCTGCATATTGTCAGATGAAACTTTGGGTTAACAGTGGCAATAGGGCACATCAATAAATCACAGGCACCGCTTTAGACTCGAAGGCTAAGTGACCAAAACAGGATGGTCAAAAGAGGCTACAATACACTTGTATTCTTTTGTGAATGATGGCACACCTATGCCTTCATTGTCAAAGATCTCTCTAAGCTCTAATCCTGATCTCTGAAACACAACTTTGTACTGCCAGCTTGCAACAAATTTCCAGTTATAAAGCAATTTAACCCAGTTGCCAAATTTTCATTAAAACATGGTACAAAACAAAACCTAAGAAGCAAAGTATTAAAGGATTCAATGAAGGTTCTGTAAGTCAACCCAATTTTCATTGTCCAACCATGCCTCAACCTTAAGTTAATTGGCTCGGTTGGAAGAGCCTACATTCTTCATTAATACTGTTTCCAACTAAAGTCAATTGCTGCAATGCTAGATCTTTCTGCATTACTCGAACCCATATTAGTCTTTATTTACTTCTCCCTTCATATCTTCAAATACAACCTAATTCCTACAGACCGAAGTTCTAATTGCCTTCTATTTTTGCTCAAGCTTAGCAATGGCAGTTCACATATTGATAGATGACTCTTTGGGTTTAATAATTGAAATAAGGCACAGCAGAAAACCGCGAGCATCAGTTTTAGAAGCAAGCTGACCAAAACAATATGATCGCTAGACGAGAAAAGAGCTCCTAACTCTTGCATCCTTTTATGGATGATGGCACACCTACGCTTTTAGAGTAAAAGGTCTCTCTAAACTCTATCCTGATCTCTGAAACACAACTTTATACTAATACTTCGCAAAGCAAACTTAACCCACTTTTCCCATAAAACAAGGAGGGAAAAGAGCAACAGGAAGGGAGGGGGAAAAGAAGTTTTACAATTCACTCCTTTCATTGGATACCAACAGTGTAATTCAGAAAATATAGACATCAATAATTGGAATTCATTTCCAATTTGACAAAATATAAGCACATACTAAACCACAAAGACAATAACTTTATTGAACAGGAAGCACCTTCTTAACAATGTCATCACTAAGAGCAGCAATTTGTGAATCAAGTGCTTTGATGGTCTCCTCTTTCTGACTCTCTAATTTAGCCAATGCTTCTTGCAACTCAACCTCAATTTTTTTCCTTCCTTCAGCCAACTTCTGCTCCACTTCACCCTGTGTTTCCTTCTTCATTTTATTCAATGCAGCCGATATCTCAGCCCTTGCTGCTCTCATAACAGCAGCGGCCTGTTCCTCAAGTTGCTTAACTTCTTCTGATGTATCTTTAACACTGCCCAGCTTCTCCTTTATAGCTGCATCTCTCTCATCCATGAATTTACCAAGTGGGGTGAACCAGACTTTGTCCAAAGCAACCATGAGGAACAAGAACTCAAACATGATGATAGGAAGTGTTAAATTGAAGTCAAAGAGTGCAGCTTTTTCTATTTCTTCGGCCAAAGAAGGTGGAGTGAAGGTTAAAGAAGTGGCTGCAATGAGAGAGAGTGATTTGAGGGTGGAGGTGGAGAGAGATAGGAGTTGGGGCTTGGTGATTTTGAGGAGTTTAGGGAAGGAAAGTTGTGGGATTTGGAGTTTGGGTTTAGTGTTGGTGGGGAGGGAAGAGGAGGAGAGGGTGATGAGAGGTTTGGAAGAGGCCATGATCATGTTGGCCATGGCTGATGACTGAAGATTCAAACTTTCCAGTTGTGGTGCTCTTTGGATTGTGAGGTGATGACTGATGATGGTGGAATTGTTAGATTTTGTGTGGAAATGGAGAGGGGATTTTTGGAAGGGGGTTATCTCTTTCTTTGCCACACAAATTGATGAGGTTTGTAATGGGCAAGAGGAAGGAGTGGAGAGGAGACGAATTGCATTGCACGTGCGATTTGTGTGTTCTTGACCCTGACCCATATTAATCCGACCCGCCCGTACAGTGCCCTTGTTCCTTTGGTAACCGTGTCAAAACATCCGCGGTAAAATTTTGTTGGATATCCGTTATCCAGATTGGTTGATCCGATGTATCAATATCCGGTCAACCCAGATTTAATTCCAAAATAAGCTAGCTTCATTGGCGAATTATGTATCATCTGAAATACCGTAGGAAGTTAGAAACTGTTTCAGCGATGATCTGTTCTCAAAGACTTAACCACGGCCTTGCCTTGCGTTGCCCTGCCTCAACCCAATAAAAGCGTTTCCGTTTTCTTTCTGTGCCCCCAGAGATTCACTAGAGCATTTTTATTTTAGACTTCGAGGATGTGGGCCTTCAATAGTCTTAAAGTAACAGTCTAATCGTCACTTTTCTTTTCCTTCCAAATATTCAATTAATTAATCACAGTAAAAAAGTTTCCTCCTAATTGATCATGACTTTGACTGGGTTGCCATTCTATTAGAGCAGTTACATTTGCTAATCAGTCACAAATTCTGCTCCTGGCAAAAAGCAGACAACCATTATCAAAAACTGTATGTAGTGCAGGTCCAAAATGTAACAACCTACAATTTACAGGGGCAAAATTTGAACTTTAAACTCAATCAAGCTGGGAAATGAGAGAACGTATAGTGAAAAGAACACCATCTTGAATCTTAAACGCATTCAATGCAGAAGATTTGGAAAAAGAAAAGAGAGAATGGTGCTATCAGAGTATGCCACTACATGTTCTCAGTGCATCTGTTTGTCCACTGTCCATTGGGCATTGGATTATCATGGCTATTGGACCAAATCAAAACCATTGAATGTGTTGAATAATTCAGATTTGTAAACAACATTTTTACAAAAACATGGTTTCTGCAGCAGGTTAAGAGACTAGGAACAGCTTACATTAAAGGCTATCACTGCATGTCTCTGTAAAGCTCAAGGTAAAGTTTCACTAACAGAAGAAAGAGGCAGCATTTGCAATGCATTTCAACCGATCGTTAATCCTCTGTATGTTTACCTTTCCGGGAATAACTATTATTACCATAGAACTGCAGGATCCATCTAAAACTGCCCAGGAAACCACAGGCTGATCTAGATGGAGAAGTCTTCCAACCAATTGTCTTTTCCATGGTTGACAGCCTGGAGTACATGTACCACCGTCTGAAGAAACAACAAAATCGGGCTTCGTCTTGTGTAAGAATGTCGTCGTCGTTATCATGACAATCATCTTCCTTGTAATTCTGTTGTTTCTCTTCATACCTATTTGATGGAGATAGTGAGCTGCGATTGCACATTCCCAACAATACCATTTATGGTTCCGATAGATGAATTGATAAACAAAGACAGAGAATTACACTTTTTTAAAGCAACCCTTTTCAGATGCAGGGACTGAAACCTTTTAATAGATATTTACAAGTTACGAGTGGTAACTAACATCGTGGTTGCAACTACAATAATGTTCAGTTTACAGGCTATAAAAGGATCCAAAACTCTTCTCGTCCATTTCACATGGATAGCTGTTTTAAGACTTCTTTTCAACACCATTTCCATGACTTAAATTCGAGCTCATTAAGTCATACATGACAAAGGAAATTTATCAAATTATGCTTACCAAAGCATCTCAGAAACTGAGTTGCCATATCTTAAGTACACTCCAGTTACTGCGGACTAATTTGTTTTTAGTTTCAAGGTAGTCCAAAACAGGTGTCAATTTCAAAAATAGGTAAAACAATTATGTTGACCTAAAGCATCTCAGAATTGAATTCCCATATCTCAAGTACATTCCACTTTCTGCGGAGCCTTTTTTTTTCTTTTAGTTTCATGATAGCTTAAAATATGCGACCATTTAAGCAAATGTAAAATGGAAAGACTAGTTCAACATGGCTTAGGCGATGCCAACCTTGTCTATGTTGGCAAGCAAGCATGTTTATCTGTTACTAAAAGCTAGGAAGCTAACTGAAACAAAAGACCTGACACAATGATAATATCTTCTAAAGGAAATCAAAGAAAGAGAAAAGGTCCAGTGCATATTCTTACATCTTCGGTGATTCTGACGCAGCAATCTGTTTCACTGAACGCTTCTTTATCAAGCTGTAGTTGCCTGAGACATGCCGGATAAATTGAAGCTGCAAACTCCAAACAAGGAACTATAAGCTTTATGTAATTCCGACATCAACTCTTTGCAATGATCCGTAGACTAGCACTGAGATTGGAAACTAATAGCATTGGTCAACAAACGACTTCAGAGATACCAACATCATTTACTGAACTTGATTCGTCCAGAATTCATAAATATCAGTAAGAGGTTTAGTATACAATCAAAACAAAACTAAATCCTGACAGTACCAAGATCAGATACTCCAGAACCTTGTCATTCTCATCTCAGTTTTAATAGAACAGAATCCCCAAAATCCATAACATCTAAACCTCTTTATATATGCATCATCATAGATGCACCAAACCCACCAATGCAGCTGTTTTCATCTAAAATGCAGCTATCATCCATCCAACAAACAATTTAAAAAAAAAGTGCAGCAGCATAGTTAATGACCAAAAATATCTTCTATATCCACAAAAGAAAAACGTGTCCACAACCTGATCACCATCCTTGATGCCATAATTTTTTATGTAATCCGTCTCCATGAGTAGCTTCTGACCATCATAACACAAGCAAAAATGTCCCCACACATGCGGCCTACACAAAACCAAAATTCACACAACAAAACATCAAACGTAAACCTTACATTCTCTTCCATATCTAGCTAACCGACACAAGCTAAAACAGAAAAAATTCACAATTTACTTCTTCCCTTACTAATTATCTCAACGAACACAACACAAAATTCGAAGCATTAATAAACACGAATTCTTTTGGATTTTTTTTTGTTAATTTAATTTACCATGAGATCTTTCCCGGTCCTTCCTGCGGCATGTAACTAAACACGGCCTCAACCGCTTGCCTTAGTTCTCCAACTGTAGCTGACTTCATCGCTTCAATATCTACAAAACACACAAAATTAGAGAAAAAAACTAACACCGATTTCTTAATTCTTCTCATTTCCCTGCATTTTCTCAGGAACCAAACAAAAAAAAAAACTAAATAATAATAATAATAAGAAGAAGAAGAAGAAGAAGAAGAAAGAAAAACAAGTACTGACCGAAGGAGGTGCCGTCTAACTTGAGAACGGAGAGTTTGAGAGGTTCTTCGGGGAGTTTATTATAAGAATGAAAGAGAGTGTTGGTGATGTTGCTAAAACTAGAGCGTCGGCCATCAAAAGTCATTAACGAGGGTAATGAAGCAAACCGGCGGTGACGGTGTCGACTAGAAGATGGCGAAGAAAGAGAAGTTGTAGGTGAATAAGAAACGTCGTCGTGAATGTCGATTCTGAAATCAGCCAGCTGAATCATGGAGCTCTCCTTTTCATCCTCCATTTATTTATTGCTTTTGAGAAGATTCTTAGGTGAAAGAAGCACGCATTGTGAGTGAAAATGTGGAGAGTTAGGGTTACGCTTGGGTAGATTTTGTCGGGGGAGATTCTAGAGAAAGGTGGAGAGGGAATCTGGAATTGCTTGTTTTAGGAGGGGAGGAGAGGAGGTCAAGCGTGACGGTTGGGTTTTTTGAAGGTGACGGTTTTGTGCACCAGCTCAGCTCATGCAGCAACAAATGGAGATTATTATTATTTTTAAAAAAATATTAATTAACTTGATAATTTCGAAATTAAAGAAAATCTTCATGCAAACACCAATGAGGTTTTGTCTCTTTGTCCTTTGCTACAGAAAGAATTATTATAAAAATAATTTTTAAATTGGAAAATTTTGGTTTTGATGATGTTTGGAGTGTCAAAGAATGGAAGAGATAAATATCAATAGACAAAGAGAAAAAAATAATTAAATTATTTTATTAGTAATGAAAATCAAGAATTATTTAGAATATATTTTGAGACAAAAAAAAAAAAAAAGAGGAGGATATAAAAAAAAGAGAGAGTAATATTTGGGGGGTAAAATTTCCCTTCCAAAAAGAGCAATGAGGTTGTAATAATTCAATTTTTTTTTTTAATCCTGCATTAACCTCGTGAAATAAATAAAGAAGTCCTCTTTACGCGCAATGAACCCTCTGATGGTTATGTTAGTATTGGAGCGAGTGGATAAGTGGTAGTTATTAAGGAGCTGTAGAGAACAATGTTGTGAAGAAGATGAAAAGCCTTGTACCTTGGGTTCGAAGCTATATTTGTAGTATGAGTAGTTTTTTTTCCCAAATTGGGAACATAAACTCTTGGGATTTTTTTTTTTTTTGATATAAATCTTGAGTTAGTAGTTGTAGAAGTTTTTTTATTGGTTTTTTTTTTTTTTGAATCTTTAATATGTCTCTCTACTTTTTTGGTTTTAAATCCATCCCCTATGTTTGGTTTTTTATTGATCTTATCCTTCTGTTAACTTTGGTGTTAGCCCTTCTTTTTTTTTTTTTCTTTTTTTTCATGTCTTATTTTCTTCTATCTAATTTATTTTTAGACTTAATCTTGTTTTTTTACCGAATTTAAATAAATAAATTTTAAAAAATAAAAAAAGATAAATATATATCTAGTCATCCTCGATACTTTTCTTTTATAGTGAAGTTAAAAATATTCTTTTATCAAAAATATCATTTATGAGTTTAAATTATTTCTATGATAGAAATGAAGTTTTGAGTATAAAATGAAATGTTTATAGTATTCTTTTTTAAATACGAAGAGAATTTTAGTTAAATTTTAAACTTTTACATAGTAATTATAATTTTATAATACATTAAAAGAGCATATTATAATTTACTTATTTTGATTTTATAAATTTTTTAATTGCTGAATTTATTAAGTATTGAATTTTAAGTGCTGAATTTGTTACGTACTCGAATATGTTTCGACAAGTTCGTTTGATATTTACCGAAAATTAAGTATCGAATATAATAAACTTATTAGAAGATGATAGAATATATATGATATTTTTTAAGATTTTAGTTTGAACATATGTATATGATTATATTACTCTTATTATTTAAATTTTATTTTTTCAATTATTTTTTTCTTACTAAAATTCTCATCAAATTAATTTTTGATATCATTTTATTTGTTAATAAATTTGATTTTTTAATATATGAATTTTAGAATAAAATTTTATAACGTCGATGTTTTATTTTTTAAAAATATATTATTATAATTTATAAATTCGATATATATATATATACAGAGAGAGAGAGAGAGAATGTTTTAGATAGTTTGACTTAATTAGATAAGTTAAAAATTTTAACTTTTATGATTAAGTAGATTTTAACCGAACTCGAAAGTTTTAATATGAGATCATTTAAGTTATCAAACAAGATTTTTATATTAAGTAGTACAACTTAATTTTTTAAGCTACTTAATTAGGTTATCAAACACCGACTCTCTTTCCTTAAAAAATACTATAAATATTTTATTTTATACTTAAAATTTGCTTAGTATTATAGAGATAAATTTAAATTATATTTATTAAAAATATTTTGGTTAAAAAATATTTTTATCTTCACTTCTTTTTTTTTCTTTTTTTAATCTTGAAGAACTTTTTTTTTAATATTTTGACCAATTCAAAGTAAAAAATAAGATTGCTTCCTCATAAAACTAGAGATTGCACTACCTTTTTAGTCTTCATATAAAAAATTAGCTAATGTAAATAACGGAATTCTCTAATATAAGGCATTCTCAGAAGTCTGAAGTTAAGGTCCATTACAAATCGCAATCATATACACTGACTTCCACAGGTTGAAGTCATTAGAACATGCAAGTCTTTTACAAGGAAAAATGGCTGGTTAGGATAGTCTCATATGCATATTTGATGTCATCGGAGGGACAAAAAAGAAAAAAGAACCAAAAAAAAAAAAAAACTCTAAAAATTCTACACTCAGTTATCCTAACAATCAATGCCTCCTAAATAATATCAGCCGGATTGGTATTTTGGGTGGTCAAAAGACGAATTCGACGTAAAATCATGTCAGGAGCTGGTGGTTCCCATAATATGCATATATAGTGAATCCTTGACCTTCTACCTAACAAAAACCTCCTCGACATGATTAAATCTCTTCCAAAACCTATAACAGGCGGGAGCATCCTGTGAAGTGGAAGTTCTCTATAGTTTGTGCAGTTACCTCCCTGTGAGCTTATAGTAGGCATACAAACCAGAGCCAACAAAACCAAGACACTGCCCAATGACATTGAACTGCAAGGAAGCAAAGTAATATTCAATCAGAGTGTGGAATCACAGGTGCAGAGGAGATAGTAATAGTACATGTAGAGAATAGTCATAAGAAGATGTTAACTCACAATATCAAAAGGAAGCCCACCAAAAATAGTCCAGCCAAGTGCGATGGTAAACAGATCCTACAACAATATAATAACCAAGAGATCTGTTAAAACTACACATGATGGATGTGGCAACGATGGAATATTCAGTATAGCCATAGATCACTATATGTCTTGCATCAACTCAGGAATTTTACCAATGACCAAATGAAGATAATCTAGTTTTCGTTCGTCCTCCAGAATTGCAACTTCTTTAACTCACCATGACAAAATTATTGCCATTTCAAAGCAATTTAAAGCTACATGGGAAAATTTGCAATCACAGACAATACTTGAAAATTTCCAACTTCCTAAGAAATTCATGCAAAATCTGCAATGATGTTAACAATGGCTGAAAAAACCTTCTTTTTTGCACATTTATCATGCACGAATATAAGTGGCAACGGACGGTTTTTCAAAACTCGAAAATGTTCCAAACGTGGCCAAATTTCCAACTCCCGCCAAGATTAAAAACTTGTTTTGTTCATTTATTTACTTCCATATTGGTTTCACACAGCATCTGCAATGATCCTGAGAGAGGTCAATTAACCCCTTTCTCTTTTTCACTGCACTACAAACAGGTACGGCGCTACAATCTCTCTCACTCTCTATCCCCCCCCCCCCCACTCACACACACACACACACACAAGCATCAATTATAAGTTTATGATAACTGTATTGGGTAACTCCAGGACGCTAGGAGCCTAGCACCATTGGCTTCGTCCTTATTCGATATGATCCTAAAATCCATAGTTAAAGCAGCAAGGTATTCAGAGTTCAAACTTGATAAAGACAGACAATACCAAAAGAAGTCTGTTGATCAGAAAACTTGTTATAATTTATGTAGTTCGTTTCAGATTTAAGAGTGCCGTGTCTCTGTTACCAGGGACTGACAAAGATGGCTCAGACACGCACTAGAATATCATTCCCAAGAAAGGTCCGACCCTTATCATCATCAAGTTGACCAATTCCATGCATAGCAGTAGCAAGACATAAAGAGTGATTAGTTAACTAACCTTCAGGTTACCACAAATTGTTTGTGTGAGTGCTGAATTGAGAGTTGTGTTCAGGAAGATACTGTAATTCAAGAAGAAAGCCAGGGTACATGAAAGAAGCAATACAGCCTGCTCAAGAGAAAAACATAGTTATCACCACTTTTATCAAAATCCTCTACAAATAAGTGCACTAAAACAAGAAAGGAACAGAATTAAAACAGCTTTTTGCTTCAAATGATTCATGTTGGCAGAAAGACAAGATCCAATAGTGCTTGCAACACCATCACCATACTTTGATCAGCTTCTTCAAGAGGGAGAACTTTAAACTTCATTAACACCCAAATAAAATGTAACTGAATTGCAGTGGGTTGTCAGAAAATTCCGACCAATGCTAAAAAGAAATCCGAAACCAGGCACATGCAAAGACCTGCATGACCATTGGTTCCTAAAAATGTAGATTTTTTCCACTTAATTCCTACCTAATTCAGTATAGCTTTGTACAGAAACATATGAAGCCAATTCCTATTTGTGCAGAGAATTAGGTGTCATAACAGAAGGGCAGATACACTAAGAGTACATTTAAAACATACAAAATGCCAGTGGATGCTTGGTTAAAATAAGGGAAAAGAAGGGACTTTAAGAATTACCAAGAAACCCGGGGAAAGCAGATAAGGGAAATTCACGGTCATCCACAAATCACCACGAATAAATGTCCAAAACAACAAAATTGGTCCACATATAATTCCTGTAGTAGGAAAAGCAACACAATGTACCATTTCAGGTAAAGGACAGAAAAATTCAGAGCAAATAAAAATAAATTCAATGTTTAGGGAACATTAGAATGGTCAACAGATAACGAATTAATTTAAATATCTTCACTTACCATTGCACCACATAAGACCAAAGCTATTAAGGCCACTGGATTTCCCTGAGGAAAAGAACATGTTAGCAACTATACAAAGAGAGATGTCAAGCTAATGAAGAGGAATTCCAAAAAGAAAAACAAGAGTGAGTATTACCAATACGGCTTATGGTTGCCAGATATATAGCTGTTGTAAAATTAGCTGTGAAGACAACAGCATAGCCATAGAAGTCAAATGACAAGTCCCGTGCTCCAGCAATAAATGCACCAAGAACTATCAACCCAACACTGATAAAATCCTTAACCTTTTCAGTTAAATGAAGCAATAAAAAATTACAATGCAAGAGTAGCTATTTCCAGTAGCAAAATCTACATTGAAGTTTCTAGAGGATATCAAATTAGATATTTTGATGCAGAAATAGGATTATCAAAATGAAAGAAGGAATCAAACTGAAAAAGAAAAAAAGCCAGTTTGAAGCTAACAAGCATGACTTCTTAGAGAATGATATTTTCGAGAATTCCAATTTCATGTCACACAGAGGTGTCAATGGTTTCTATTCCTTCAAGCTCTTCTTTGTCTTTTCTTTTGAACAAAGTACACATATTAATAAAGCTGAAGCAAATCCAGAGAGGCTTTGTAGGTGTAACGCAACCTTAAAGGAGACATCAGCTTAAATCTTTGGACAAAGGTATAGTAGTGGATGCAGAATTTTTACCATTTAAATCGACCACAAATACTATTTGCTAGAATAGCTACCAATAAAGGAGCAATTTACCTTCCAAAAATTGGAGGTGCATATCTCTGCCCTGCCAGAATGTACTCCACAATCATTGTAAATACCACTGTTGTCCGCCTTAAGGTGGTATACATGGGAACATTTACCCCACGGACAGACTCCATTGTAATTAGCTTTCAAGGGGAAACAGCAGATGGGTAGAAATTAATTACAAGTGAAAATTCAATGAGGTAGAAAGCCTATTCGCGATTACGCACTAACATACCATGTAAAGCAAATAAGTAAATGCAAGAGGTAGGGTGCGAATCAATGTCTCCAGTGGTACAAAAGTAGCATTGACATCAGAAGTAGTTAAAGATCCACCATCAGTGAAAGAGATAACCCTCCAGCGTCTCAATACATACAAAAAAGAGCACGAACATATCATCTGCGAGTAATCAAAACAAGAGTAAGAAATGTGACTATAATATTGCCAAGACAGACATCAACAATGATGGAATTTCCGAAGTAGGAAAGGTAAAAAACACATTAAAATGGTGAATAATAAAATGCAACATATTAGCTCAGGAAGGTCTACCTGAAATAATGTTATGACATTTGCACTTGGGAAGCTATAAGAAGAAAGAGCTGCTTTATTGAACAATATCAAGAGCACTGCAAAACGTACAACAGAAACCATAAGTAGCTGAATGTAATATACAACAGAAAAAATCATAAATGGCTGTCTATTAGGCTATCATCCTGCTATTTCATCGATTTCAGTTCTTTTTTTATCCTTTTCAGTTGATTCATTTCCCTACAAATTCAAAAAAAAAAAAAAAAAAATTTCCTCTTTCCCCTCATTCATACGCTTTTCGGGGTGGAATACAAAAATAAAAAATAATAAATGAAGTCAAGATATTCGACGAGTTTCACATTATTACTTCATTTAAAATCTCAAAAACAACTCAAACATAATAAGCCATCCAAATTCAGGAATTACATTGACGAATAACACACAATCCGGTGAAATATCTGGTCTAATCACTCTAAACCTCAAATTAACACAGTTAACCAGAGTCTTAATCACCAAATCCACAATTCACAAAATCTAATAACACAATCCTCTCTATAACAGAAAAAAAAAAATTAACAAAAATTCAGCTTTGAATATCAATTACGAAATCCCTTTCCCTATAAAGAAAACGACACACAATAATAGTATTCAACATTTAAAAATTTCAGACCAAATCAAATAATAGAAATAGAAAAAAAAAGGATCACAGTAAGTTGTTCGAGAATTGATTTATACCAGCACAAGACATGTAAGAGATAGCAGCATAAGCCCCTCTCTTAGTCATTGAAGATCCTCTGAAGACCTTCTCATCTCCTTTAATTAATTTCTCTCTCTCCATTTGCCTCTCTTCGCTGATAGGGGATACGGAGACTGGTAGGATTGGATTGGACAAGGAACTTGACGCCATTTGAGGCATCAATTAGAGACCGGTTTGCAGTGAAATGGTGATCAATCAGGATTTACGGTCAGCTCGACCGGGTGAGTAAGTCGTCGACTCGAACTCGGATAGAACCGCGCGATACGCTAGAGCCGAGGCAACCTTTCGGCGTTGACGAAGGTGTTTGCTTGCGCCTTCCCATAATGTTTAAAACGTTGGGGTTTCCTTGACTTGGACTTTTCAAATTTTTACATATTTTATTTTATTATTATTATTATTATTATTATTTAATGGGTTTCCCTACAGAGTGCCTATATACGTATAACGTTTATTATAGATTAATTGCATAATTACTATTACTAACACTTTAAAACAAAAAGCACTTTTACTGTTCCTTTTTTTGTTCAATAAACAATATTTTCTGCTTTTTTTTTCGGGGTTGAACTCAGCAGCCAAGGCTTGCCCGGCCTTGTTTTTTTTTTTTTCCTTCAAATATATATTTTAAAATATTCCAAAACATAAGCCATTTCCACTATGCAATCACAGTTCCTTTCCCTCTCTAATGAACAGTGTTTCTTTTTCTGTTGCTCTTTTTTTTCCTTAGGGTTGCTTAGACAAGCTTTTAGAGAATTTTCTTTTCATCCCTGTTTTGTAATATTTTTTTATTTTGATCATTAAAAATTTATTATATTTATTTTTTTCCAATAATAAATATTAAAATTTTATTATATACGATTTTTATCCTTATAATAAATATTTTTTCTTGATTTTTAGTAAAAATTTATGTTTTTTTAATTTTATCTTGTGATATGTTTTTATTTTAGTCATTAAATTTTTATTATGTTTGATTTTTATCCTTACTATACCGACACTAAATAAAGTTTACTATCCTAAACCTTTTTTATACTATTCACTCCTTTTTTTCTTTTTTCTTTTTTACCCTCACAATATACTATTCACTCTTAGGTGTTTTTTTTTCTTTTTAAATTTTCACTCTTAGTTTTTTTCTTAGGTCTTTTTTGTAATTTTCAAATTATTTCATTTTAATCCCTGAAATTTTAAAATAAAAATTTTAACCCCTAGCTGATGCACTTGCATGCCTTTTTTTCATCAATTTATGTTCTTTTTTTTATTTAATTGGGTGTTAAAATTTTTAAAAATCAATCGTTATTTTTTTCATACAAACTGGTGATTATATAATATATATAAATAAAATATATGTACTTTAAAAAAATAATCTTCTCATCGGCATTAAATAAAAATGATTTTATTTTTTCATTGGTTAATTTTTATGTAAGTCTATACATTAATTGTAACTTTATTTTTTGGATATATTCTTATAAAATAATATATTTTTAAAGCATTTTTTTTATTTTAAAATTTCAAAGATCAAAACGAAATAATTTAAAAATTACAAAAAAAAAACCTAAAAAAAAAAGTAAGAGTGAAAATTACAAAAAAAAAAAAAGGAGTGAATAATACATTGTGAGGTAAAAAAAAACAAAAAGAAGTGAATAGTGCATTGTGTGGGGGAGAACAGTGTTGTCATAAAAAGAAATACTTTAAAATATATTGTTTTATAAAATACAAAAAAATAATGTTACAATTAATATATAGACTTCGCATGAAAATTAATCAATAATAAAATAATATTTTATTCTTATTTAATGTTGATGAGATTTTTTTTTTAAGTATATACATGTGATCTATAAATGTTATCAATTTATGTGAAAAAAAGTAACGATTGATTTTTAAAAATTTTAACACCCAATTAAATAAAAAAAAAGAACATAAATTGATAGAAAAAAAGTAAAGAAAAAAAAGCATGTTGTGCATCGGATAGGGATTAAAAATTTTAAGGATCAAAACAAAATAATTTGAAAATTAAAAAAAAACTAAGAGTGAAAATTTTTTTAAAAATAAAAAAAATAATTTGAAAATTCACAAAAAAAAAAAAGCCTAAGAAAAAATGGAAAAAAAAACTAAGAATGAAAAATACAAAAAAAAAAAAAAAAGGAGTGAATAGTATAGTGAGGTAGTGATTTTTAAAGTATATATATATATATATATATAATCATCAGTTTATGTGAAAAAAATAAATTTTAAAAAATTTTAACACCCAATTAAATAAAAATAGAACATAAATTGATGAAAAAAAACAAAAAAAAAAACGAAAAAAGAAAAGAAAAGACATATAGTACATCGGGTAGGGATTAAAAATTTTAAGGATCAAAACAAAATAATTTAAAAATTATAAAAAAAACCGAGAGAAAAAACTAAGAGTAAAAATTATATATATAAAAAAACAAAATAATCTAAAAATTAAAAAAAAAAAACTAAGAGTGAAAATTACCAAAAAAAAAAAAACTTTGAGTGAATAGCACAATGTAAGAGTAAAAAAAAAAAAAAACACCAAAGTAAACAGTGAATTATTAGGGTGAAATAGTATTGCCACTGTTCAAACCTCCCGTGCCTTTTAAATTATTACTAATAATAATAATAATATATTTTTTAAAAAATATTAATGTCGTTCATTGCAAAAGACGACGAAGCAAAGCAATACTTGTTGTAATAGTGTGAGTGTTTTTTTTAAAAAAAATCAGCATGACTACTAATGATGGCAATATTAATAGACATAGTGGTGGTAAAGAAATAATTAATATATAATGAACAAAATTAATATATTATTATTTTGAAAACAAAATCTTATTCTTAAGGTCTTATTCCTAAGTTTTGCAAGAATGAAACTATATTTAATATTTATTTTATTCTTTTTGATTAAATATTTGTAAAATCCAAATAAAATTTTCTTTTTCATTTTTATCATTTTTTTCTGTTATGATATGACACTTCAAAAAAAAAAATTCCAAGAAATTATAAACTTTTTTCATAATTATAAGTTTCTTATATTTATAAAGGCTTAGCTCTCCTAAAAAGATAAGCTTTTGTCTGATGAGCAACTCTATATAAATTATAAACACGGACTTTTTATCTTGTATTGGTCTATTGAGGTATTTATCCAGTTTTATGTCCTTTGTGTAATGTATATCAGAAAACTATGTCTCATATATATATATATATATTTTATAAAGAAAAACTCACACACTTAAGATTTTTAATAGAACTAGTCTGTTAGGATTTAAACATATCTTTCTTTATTGCCATGAGGTTCGGAGGTTGTAATCTAAAATATCTGTTAGTGGAGTTGTTCGTGGACTGTCCCTATATCCGTGAATAATCTTTTTCAATAATTGAGTTTTTATGTTCATTAGCGTATATAGAAAAAAGTCTAGTTTTTATTTTCTATTCAAACCTATGGTCAATCTAAATAGTGTAGAATGATCTTATTTTCAAGATATCACTCCAGATTGGAACAATATTTTTACATTGGGTTTTTTTTTTTATAGAGTGAGGCATTGTGTTAGATACGTTGATTATCATTTTGTTTATTTTGAAAATAATATGATCTATTGCTTAGCTCAAATAAAATAAAAAGGTGTATGAGTTCTTCAAGTACCCGTAAATTAGGCTCTTAGAATAGATAGTTCATCTTTCTTGGTTTTTATAATCCAGTTTTGCTCTATTTTTTTGGAGAATGCCACTTAGATAGTATACCTTCTTGTACTCTAAATTCTCACTCTAGCTACTTTATTGCGGGCCCTTTTCTTTTTAATATACTGATTGACTTTTATATATAAAAAAACTAGTATTTACTAATTAACATGATAATCTGTAATAAATGAATATAATTCAGTAATAATAAATAGTACATTAATCGTTGAGAAATACATTCTGATTATCATTAAAAAAAAAATCTAATAAAGAAGTCATATTAAAAAAATACTAGTTACCAGATGGCCTGAATACTTAATAATACTTTTTTGCAACTGCAGATGGGTCTGAACTAGCTAAGTTACTATTTGGTTTTAATTGAAAAATCCAATCTAAATATAAGTTTTAACTCAGTTTTTAGATTAATTTTTTTTTAAAAAAAACCGAATTCATTTTTTGTTCTTTGGATTCGATTAGGCTTTTTAATTTTTAGCTTGGTTAAACAGAAAAACAAAATTAATTTCCTTCTAACCGAAGCTTCACACTTTCAACAAAAACACTCCATTCTCTCTTCCCCTCCACTAAAGTTCACAGCTTTACATCTCTCCATTTCAATTCAAGTAAGTAAAAGCTTATTTAGAGTTCTCTTCTTTGCTTTATTTTCCCATTTTTTGCCTTTACTTTATTCAGTTCTTAGTTCAAAAAAGATTGGATTTTGAAGGCAACCCATCATTGGATTTGGTTTAAGAAAACTTGGGTTGTTTTTATCTTCTTTATTGAGTTCAAGATCTGAGTAGATTTTGGATTTGGTTTGTAAGAGTAGAGAAAACCCATGAAAGAAACTAATCCAGACTGATCCTCTAGAGCAGAATTTGATATAATTGATAAGTAATGTATGTTTCCCAGTGTTTGTGTTCTCAGTTTTGATATGTACTGTTATTGCAATCATCCATGGCTGGAATCAGCTCCATCTTTAACAAAACTCTTTACACAAACAGAGAATGCTACTTTTAAAATTGATGATTCTGTTGTGAAAGCTGGTGAGAATATGCAAATTCAGACTGCCCCAGCAGTCCTTCCTAGTTCTGATATCAAGGAAATTGGAAGTGGGCAACATGACCCTCAAATCTTAAAATTACTAGGATCTAATTAAAACAAAGAACAGAATTGAAAAAAAAAACGAAAAAAAAATTAGAAACCGAATCTCAATTCGGTTCGGATTCGGTTTTTGATTTTGATATTTTGTTTAATCGAACCGAAAATAGTGAAAAACACCGAATGGTAACCCCTCAAGCCTCGTTTATAGAAGGTTTACCTGGGCTAAACCCTACCATAAATAGAAATAATACGTATTTCCCTCCTCCAAAAGAAAAGAAAAACAAAATTCTCTCGCAGCGACTTGTCACTGGGGAACGACTCGTCACCTGATTTACAGAGCATTTCAATTCATCGGCAATGACAACTTACGAACGGAGAAGGAGACACCGCACGTTGTCGTTTTGAAGCTCAGTCACCGCTCAAACTCTATCTACGCTGATCAAATCCGTCAACAGCCACTTCTCTTTAAAAAAAATTAAAGGCCAGTCTCTTAAATTTCCTCTTTTCAGCCTTTATTCTGAGCTTATGATATTAAAATAAATGTTAAAGCATTGATTAACTGCTAACTGTGTGATTTCAGTCTCTCAAATTTGCTCTTTTCAGCCTTTATTCTGAGCTTATGATCTTAAAATAAATGTTAATGCATTGATTAACTACTAACTGTGTGATTTTGAAATCAATTAAACTAATTAAGAAATTTTGGAGCTAATTAGGTTTTGTAAAGTAACTGAAACTGCTTGATTTTCTTTGTTTCTGTTTGTTGATGTGTTGTTGTTCTTTTTGGTAAATGCAGGTGTAACCGAATAAGGAACTACTCATGATTTAAGCTATATAAAAAATGACCGGCTTTTCGATTGTTAACCGGAGATATGGTTACTTCAACGAATGCAAGTGGCCTTCAGAAGCTATTGATATGCACTGTGTTGTGGTGAGGAAGAGTAATGCCAAGGGTTTCTTTTTGTTTTTATCAGCTGCCATTGTTCTAGCGAATGCATCGTATCTCGTCCTACTCAAGGTATAGAAGTGAGCTTATATTGATTAAATTTGTCAAGTTCCAGCATGATTTTGGGTTCAATTATTTATGCTTTTGTTTGGACTAGGATTTAGGTGAAATTGAGCTGCAGTGTGGTGCCTTTCCACAGATTGCTTTTACTTGTGCTTTGGTTCTATACTGCATAATTTGTGTAAATGAGTGGTTTTTGTTTAGTTCTTGTCTTCATATCTTCGCAAGAATTGTCTTTGCCATGAACAAAATTTTCGAGGTTTATTGTGGAATATGTAAGGCTGATTTGTTGCTGTAGCACTCTTGCTTTTGTTAGTGCTAGAATTTATGTGAAATTGAACTGCATTATGCTAACCTTGGATTAATGTAAGAGACAATAATTGGGCTCTGTTTAGTCATTGTAATCCCGGTCCTTCATGTCTTTAAAGGAATGGTACATCTAGTTTCATTTGTTGAGAAAATTTGCAGGTTTACGCTAGTGTTTTGAGTAATCTGCAGTGAACTGATGTGATGGCTGTCTATTAACAGGATAAATCAATCAACATTCTTTTGTGGAGCTTTCTTTTGAGTGTTTTCCTTGTCAAACTATTGATTTGGAAGCGTGTCATGAAAGGTGAGGACTGGTGAAGTTGGGTTCTCAATTCTTTGAAGCAGTATAGTTTGCCAACTTCCAATGGTAGGATATGATAGATTGCATAATCTGCTTTCAAGTTGGATAACTATGTTTGCTTTCTGTACTTGTTTTTATGCTTGAATGACAGAGTCTGTTGTGGTTATGCCGACTTTTGGAGTTCAACTTGAAACTCACTATGTAAGGTACATTTCTTCTCCTTCCTATTTCAATTTCATTGTGTTGGATTCTGTTTACATCCAAGTTGTATAAATTGCATTGCACAAGCACATCTGAGTACACCCAAAAAAATTATAATTTTGTCTAATGTAGCAATATAAAAATGTTATGCAGTTCTACTGCTGGGATTACATGAGAGGTTTGGGTGCGTAACATTGATAGCAGTTCTATAAGTTACCTATTTTCAGAAGCTTACAATTGAACATTAATATGAAGTCTGAACAAATGATTGTACTGAAAGGAGAGGATTGTTTTCTGTAGCAATGTGTTTTGTAAGTTGGAACTAAAATTGAAGAATATGCTTTAAGTTGTCACTTTGTTGTGGTTCCAAATTCGATTTTAGGGGAATATTTAGGTTCTCAATTCAAGCTACCAACATTCTTCCGTATTTGTATTCTCTGGGACCAGATTTCTCAACCATTTCTTTTCGCTTGGACCAACTATATTTATTTCTCTTGTGTTTCTATCTTAGGAAAAATTGGCCATTGGCCTACCTATCCTTTTCAATCGCAGGTCATTTTGCAAGAGGTTATAAGATTGAGTTCTACCGTTGAAAAATAATTTACCATCATTTTTCTCTCCCTTTAAACCATTTTTTCTTGTCTATGCAGTGGAAGAATTGTCCGTCGCTTTGTTCCAATTGGCAAGATTTTGAAACCTGTACTGCTGGAATGTGTGACCCCAGTTACTTGTTACTGGAGCTTGTCTCTGCTTTTGCGTGGAGAAGCAGAACTAATGTTGGTTTTTAAGGTATACAAATAACTCGCATTTCAGACTTGAATTTCGTAGAAACAATCTGACCGATTAAATGGGTTGAGGAGGCAAGAATTGCATGAAATTGCAGATTGTGGGGGTATTGCAAGCAAAAACAGGACGATGGATGGTCAATAAGAACTAAGACATTTGGTGATTGAGGGTTTTGTTGTACAATTTCTTAAGTATGGTTTTACATAATATGATTTTTCCATTTTCAGGAATTACGACCTCCGGTGAAGATGTTGATCCCTATCTGGAAGGCCTTGTGTGGTGCTTCTGGCATTAAAGAAGGCTCAGACAGCTAGAAGGATGTCAGCTAAAGAGATGAGATGCACCTGGAAGTCAGTAGAGGACCATTTGCAGAAAAGCAGGCCTTAAGAGATAACGTTTATCTTATCCTCGTTACACAAGGAAAAAAAAGATCATCGGTCAATCCTACTCACAATTTTCATCATCAATGCACCATGATTTCATGAGGGCCATTTCCCCACCACACAGAACAGATTGGTGCTTACTTTTGGAGCCGAATTTTGTTGATGGAGATACCATCAGATTCAATAGAGCACATTCATTCATACCGGGTAAAGGAACAGTAATTACTGAGTTTGACTGCTGATTAACCTAATGCTATGTAAATCAAAACAAAATCATGGTGTTTCCCTGGTGTCCCATTACGCACCCTCACCGAAAATGACCTTTTTGCGGCTGGTTGCGTAGGATTGACGAACAAATGATGATATGAACCTGGTTACCGAACATGATTATGATGGAGCATATTAATCTTGACTTTGAATTGAACATGATCCAGAGCAAACTTGAACCCTAGCACAAGATCCACGAAAATGGTGGGTCTCTTTTGTGGACTGTTGTCGATTTTATCGTCGGTTGAGGAAGCACATGCCACTTCAGGTAGCTGCATTAACACGAACTTGGATGACAAGCTTGTCTCAATACGATTGCCATGCCATTGAATAGTCCCATCGATCAGACGGGACTGACCCTGATATCAGAGAAAAATGTCCTTCAGGTGACCCCCACCCTCTCACGTGTGCCTTGCAGATCTGTACACCGAGTATGGAAATTTACAGACATCGTCCCATCAATGTACAAGCATGGATGTTAATCGGCATTTTTGTGAGAATGAGTGTTTGATCTCTGAGTGACGGTGACACGAAACAAGTACTTTGAATAGAAATATGGCTGTCTCCATACATCAAGAGCGTCTTATCCTCGAAGTTGCCAGGCAGAAGACTAAGAGGCTTCTTCTTTAAAGAGCTCTCACAGCTTAGGATGCTTTCCTTCCCTCCATCCATAGGGGACCTTCTGGGAAGATAAGAACATGAATGCTTTTGTACTACCTACTTGCTTTTAAAGCATGTAGGTCCATCAGTAAATGGGCCAAGGTTGGATGCATATGGCATATTAGCATAAATGGTAAAAACTTATTTCGAGGCATATATATATATATATATATTTGTAAGCATGGTGATCTTCATTGGTAATTTCATGAATTAAGGTATCTTAAGCCTGAGTGGATTGGTTGGTTTGGGTCAAAAAGGTATCACTTCTTCGATAATTATCAGAATTCAAAGCTACGTGCTTCTTTGATCCATCTGGTTTGGCTCGTGTTTCAAACTCTGATACGTAAATCATACGACTCACTCCATTTTATCTTCATTCCCACTGTTACGTGTGGATTGTGACGCAAACTAATGGCTAAATTAGGGAATCGAATTTGATTGTTTGAAATTGTAAAACCATTGTTTTGACAGAATTGTCAAGGTCCAAATGGGTTTAATTGCCTTGTCTGTTCTGACTAAGCAAGCAAAGCCCGAAGATAAAATGGTTTGTTTTTGTTAGGCAAAAGCATGGGATTAGAGTCTGATAATTGACTGTGGAATTGGTATGCCATCAAATCTTTCAAAAAAACAAAATCCAACAAAAAATGAAAATCTTTCAAAGAAATGATTACTAATGACAGCAATTACTGACCCTAATGTCCTAATTAACCATGTGGGGAGGCTTAATTTGTGAAGCTTAGCTTCCACCATGATTTCTTGCCACCCCACTTGCAGCTAGTACAGTTTTTCATCTTTAGGAACTAATCAAATCCTTCAATGTCAAAATCCATTCATGACAGCAAACTGTACGATCGTTTGAATTTATGAGGAGCCTGGTAAATGAGCAGTAAACTCTATGTACAATTTGTTTGCAACTTTAGGTACACACTCTTGTGATTGGGTTCCACCACCACACGAGCATGATCCAGTGCCACATTAATTGATTGGACCGATCATAAAAGAATTAGCCATGGCTGGTCTTGATGGTGTATCGACCCACACCGGCCAGAGCAGGCTCCTGGGGCTGGCATGCCTGCGACCATGCTGGCCATCACGTGAACTTCACAAGGGCAACCTTCTCTATGTTCCAAACATCAAACACGAACTACTTCATGGAGAATATTTGAACCCTACCACCCTTCTATGGTGACCAGTTACCAAAGGAACATGCACCAAACCCTATATTATTATTGGGGTGCTTTGTCTAGCTAGCTAAGTTCATTCTCCTCTCTCTAATATTATTGACCTTAGCAATGTAGAACTAAACTCCGACAAAGAGAATCCTTAATATTATAATAGGAAAGTTGAAGAGAGTGGTATAGTTTTAGTGTCATCATAATCAACAAAAATCAAGAGAATGTTTTCTAGGTAGCTAGTAGGAGTTCTACCCCCCATTATTATGGAGGTTCTTGAATGATAGAGAGTTCATGCATCATGATATGTTTGATGGACTTCTTGCCGACATATTGGACATGTTTATTAATGAAATCATGTGCAAATTCTTACAATAAATATTCTATATGTTACAAGAGGCAAATACCAATTGTCAATGATCCTGTTTGATGAAGTTTTTGTTTGCTTAACACCAATTTGTAGTGAAGTAACGACACATATGCCAATTGCACTTTTGTGTGTTACTACAAATAATTGAATCCTTTTAGTTATAATCTTACAAAAAAAAAATTACATTAATTCCTTTTGTTAAATACATTTTCTATTGTGACTTGTAGAGTTATACATGGAAATGGTTTCTATAATGTTTTAGAACAATCAAACACTTGAAATTGACTTTTATAATCGAATTTAGAAACATTTGGTTAAAATTTTCTATGTTGCGAACCGATATTCTTTAGTTATGGCTAGATTCTTATTTATCTCTTTATGATGGAACTAGAATAAAATTTTCTTCTCAAATTTACTGATTTATTACTTAAATTGAAGTATATGTGGCTTATTTGGTTAAGTAAAATACTAAATAAACAAAGAACGAGAGAATATTTTGTCAAGAAATCTACCTGTGTGAAACGTTATCTTGCCGTAATGTTATGTTTTTCAATGTCGATAAAAAATAACTCATCTAATAGTATTTAACATCTACAAAACCATCAAATAAAATACTTCTCAAACTAAAATATTATAAATAACGTCTCATCTCATACCTAAACTGTAACCAAAATCTTACGTTAATTATGTAGTATTAAAGTTTATTGTACTTTCATAAATACATTTAAACAAACATAAATATACTGTCTCTTCAGAAAAACCAATCACAAAACTCTAATCCAAGGCTTCCAATACCTAAACTAACTTTGATTTTGGGGTACAATAAAAACTCAAATCGGAATCCATCTTCTTAATTTCTACATGCTTCATTGGATTATGAACACTAACTCTTTAAAAAGGGCATGGTCACATTATTAGTCAAAAAGTTGAAATGGACCTTGATTAAGGTCAATCTAGCTAGTGATCAAGAGCATGCTTTCCCAAGTTGAATGGTGTGATTTGCTTTCAATTTATTCTTTATAAATCAACTGTCCTAATATAATACAAAAGCCTGCTGATTTACAGGAATCATCAGACTGTTCTGTACTAACTACTAGTCAGACTGATTTAGATAGTTAGTGGGTCATGTACCATCACCAAATTTAAGAAAGTGGGGCCCCAAGTTGGTGAATGTAGGGACACAAGAACAAGCTAGGGTTAAGAGCTAAGACCATGGGGAGAGCTTCCCGGGCTAACCGGTCCTCACACGTTGGTGCACCCTTTCCTTACCTGTCCGTATCAATGCTAGGCTTTTGGCAGACCTAACTTCCATGTTGTCTCTTCCTTACTTTCTCTTACAGGACAAGATGGCCAACTTCGTGTGCCTTTAGTTCTCTCTCCCACTTGCATATATATACATGTTTCACACTTTCAAGCAAGAAGCATCCATTAGCCAACTCACCCCATTTCTTGCTTTTGATCATATTTTATATATAATTATTACTACCCTAAAGCATATTGTGCTAGCTTGCTTGTTTTAATCAATATCTAGAGGATATCATGGAGCTTCAACTAGGTCTTTCCCTTCCAACCTACAATTTTATCGATAACTTTGACTTGAACAATGATGGGTTTGAGCCAAAAGATCAGATGCTTGGTTTGAAGCCATGGATCAGCTGTGAAGATGGTAATTACTTGGACAACAAACGTAGCTTTGAAGGAGCCTTTGGAAAGAAAATCAAAGATGCATCTCAGGAATTGCCTTTACTTTTATGGAGTGGCCAGCCAAATGATGGAGATGATCAGGATGGAGAAAAGAAAATATCCTGTAGCATTAACAAGTGAGTTGTAATTATATGTTGTAGAATCTTTACTTGTTTACAAGCTTTAGCTAGGCATTCATAGTTTGACTACAATTCATTATGATTTTACAGGAATGATGGAGTGGAAAATCAAGTTGTGGGATGGCCACCTATTAAGTCATGGAGGAAGAAGGTGTTTCATCACCAGCATCAACGTGGTCATATGGTGAATAGTAATAGAATGGCAACAGCTGGGAATTATGAAAATGGTGCTGCTGGATCAAACTCCAAGTATGTAAAGGTGAAGATGGAAGGAGTAGCAATCACAAGAAAGATTGATTTAAGGCTCTACGACTCATATCAGACACTCACGAACTCCTTGATTACCATGTTTGCCAAATGTAAGTAGTAATTAGTTGCATTCATCATCACATACAATACACAATACAAATAGTAGTAGCGCCAAAAGTCTTCCAAGAAACTGTAATAATTGGTTGACTTCTGGTTTTGGGTTCAGGCCAAAAACTGGAAAAAGATGCTGCTGCTGCACGTTACACACTGACATACCAAGACAGAGATGGGGACTGGCTGGTTGCAGGAGATGTTCCATGGCAGTAAGTATCAGTCCTTCTTTATATCTATAATACTCTACATTTGTCAAGTGTTTGCTTACTTTATTTCACTATGTATATATATTTATTGATGGTTAATAACATGTGTGAACCTAAATTAACAAGCTAGGTTAAGCAATATTGTGCTAATGAACTAATTGATTAACCACAAATTTGAAATTTCTGGTTTGAATTTTGCAGGACTTTCATTGAGTCTGTGCAGCGTTTAAAGATAGTGAGGAATGCTGGTTAAATTGGGTTGCAATGATCAACCATATCCTTGTGTTACAGTGTAGTAAAAACTACAAGTAATGGCATTTGCTTGAATAAAAAATTAGATGGAAAATATGAGTGGAAGTTTGGAGTTCTAGATCATATGTATACCCCTAGTGCTAGAGAAAAAGCATAATTAGATTATTAAGTGCATGTATGCTGTATTGAATGTAATTTAACTACTTTAACTTTGTAAGTTTGTAATTTTTTTTAGTTAATTTCGTGCCTTCATATTGGTCTTCTCATTGAAATGGATGAACTGCACCAAACTACAAGTAGAAATTCATTCATTTTTTTTTTTCAAAAATTCTCATCTCAGAATATTACTAGTTCGAATCCTCTTTTCTTTTCCAAGTATTTGAATTTTTTTAAAAAAATAAAACTTACTACAAAAAAAATATTAAAATAACATTTTATTTTTATAACGATGATCAATTTAATTCGTCGTCATAATAATAATACGATTTTCTTTTTTAATTCTCTAACTACTGACCCTAACAATTGAAGTGGAGTATGAAGTAGTATCTATAACTTCTATTAAAATAAAAAATAATAATGATGACTACCAACATATATATGCGTGCATGTGGTGTTTTTTTTTGTTAATTTCATGCCATCATATATGCTGGTCTTCTCATTGAACTGGATGAACTGCACCAAACTACAAGTAGAATTCCTTTTTCTTTTGTTTTTTATAAAAATTCTCATCTCAAAAGATTGTTTAGTTAAGATTACGACTTTGAATTTTCTTTTTGGACTATTACAATGTTTTTTTTAAAAAATAAAACTTACTATAAAAAAATATCAAAAAAGCTTTTTATTTTTTATAATGACAGTGAATCCAATTCATCATGATAATATAATTTTTTTTCTATCTCACTAACTATTAACGCTAATTTTTTAATAGCTAACAACTTCACTGGATTATGACTTATATCTATAGCATCTATTAAAATAATAATAATAATAATAACGACTTCATTAATCCCAATTAGTGTCAATTTTTCATGTTCAAACAAACACACACATATACACATACATATAAATATATATATTGTGTGGTTTTTTTTTACTTGCCATGAGACAGAGTGAGCATTATTACTATGAAAATTACTACAATTAATTGTATCATCAGTAACCCATCTTAATTAAACATCTTTTCACTCAATTTTTTCTGTCGTTTCCTCGTATCGTAATTGCGAAGATTAATCACTAAACCAAAATCGTTAATTTTTATTGCTAAATTAGTGTAAATTAATTAAACAATTAAAGGAAGAATAATCAATTTTCGTGTATACGCATATGCATGCATAGCATTTACTTTAAAATTTTTGAAAGTCTGAATGGTAAATGAATTTTATAAATTACTTTAACATTAACTATTAACTAAGAGAAATTACCTAGAGCAATTTTTTATAAATACGTCAATCTAATTAAAAATAATTTAAAATGCAGGACCCAACAAAAAAAAAAAAAAAAAGAAGGATAAATATAGAGCCATGAGAGAGAGGTTAAAAGTTACGAAGAAAAAAGCACTCACTCCTGCGAATTTGGCGTGTCGAAATCAGCACAATTTTTTTGGTGAAGTATATTTTTTCCCTCTAGTATACCAATTTTTCGACATTAGTCCCTAAAGTTTAAAATGTCCCCATATCATCTTCATAGTTTCCAATTTAAAAAGTCTAACCCTAAATACTGTGTATATTCATATAATTAAAAATCTAGATTTTCCATTAAACTGAAAATTATAAGATTAATGATACTAGAATGTTTTAAACGGATCGATGTGAAATATTTGACAAACTATATATGTATAAATTTTTTTTGCAAGATAAAAATTTATATTAAGAGTCTAGCCCAATTGGTACCCAGTACAAGATTAGTAATTCTAACCTTTGGAACAACTATAGGCAATGTATCATTTTTATTTATTTATTACGTAAAGTAACTCTATTGTTTTTTTTTTTTTAAATGTAAGGTAAATATAAAGAGTAAATTATAAATTAGTCCTTCTAGTTTCAAGAAATAAATTAATTAGTCTCTCTCATTTTAAAAACTATTATTTAGTTTTTTAATCAGTATTGACAATGTTTAATTTAATATCATTTTTATTCCACAAAATCATTTATTTTCTTATCAATCTTTCTATATTTTTTTCATTTTTTCTATTTTTTTAAAATTAAAAATTAAAATAAATTAAAAATGAGCCAAAAAAAAAACTAAATTATAAGTAGATTTCAAAATATGAGAACTGAATGATTAATTTTTTTTAAAAAAAGAGTAATTAATTTATTTCTCAAAATGAAAGGGACTAAATTATAATTTATTCTAAATATAAATTATTTTTTTAATGGACAGTAATCTTTGAAATAACTTATTGATAAATTAATGAACAAAAAAATAACCTTACTGTGGGGGAGGGGGTTGTGGTCGCTATTTACCATGTTTTGGGCTTAGCCAGTTCTCAATAGCCCACTTCAAAGACTCTGAGATAGCCAGCTCTCAAATCAAATACAAATCAGGTTTGGCCGCAGGGTCCAAACCTCGATAAACCTTAAGTGAATATTGGTCCTTTAATTTTCGGTTATAAATTAAACTTTTCTCCAATTATTTTTTATTTTAATTTAGGTCCTTCTATTAGGTTTTCATCAATTATAATAAGAATAAATGCATTATAAATACATCAAATTTTAACTTTTTTTATATCAAATATATAAACTTTAATTTTGTTTGTTTGAATATATCAATTTTTTTCAAAACTGTTAATCAAGTATTTCTATCAATTTTTTTATTAAATGAAAACGTGTATGTTAACCTCAAAATATTAAATTATAATTTTACCCTTTAACTTTATTTTTTTCCTTTGAATACACCAAATTTTTCAAAAATATTAATCAAGTAATTTTATCAATTTTTTCGTTAACTAATTAAATGTCTATTATTCTCAAAATACTAAATTATATGTATAAAAAAAATTTATTGGAGGAAAATCTCTCTCTCCAAATTAATTTACCATTTGAAATTTGCCAAAAAATTAAAAAAATATATTATTTTTAGTTATAAACCCTTGAACTAAACTCGGTTAGGTCTAAGTGTAAAAATTGAAGGAAAATATAAACGTGAGATTTTTCATTAAGAAAAATCATTGTCAAATGATCCAAACCTTCCTCAATTTTAAATCATTTGGAAATCAATAAATTAATTTTCAATTTCGGATTGAACTTTTCTCCATCTATTTTTCATTTAAAATTGAATCATTCTATAAAGCATTCATCAATTCTAATGTATAAGTGCAATTTCTCAATAGCTAAAACTATGTCAAAACTTATAAATATATATTTTTTTTTCAAAACTTGTTTCTTTCCTTGTAAATGTTAAAAAATAATCAATTAAAGAATATTTTAAAAATAAACAAAAAAGTTTTGAAGAAAAAAATAAAGTATCTCAAAATTTTGCCATATTTTTAATTATCGAAGAAGTTAAAAAATCAACTACGTAGAAGTCACATGTACTTCTATTGTTATGTTAAAATTGAAGAAAATCTAACAGAAAAACTCAATTTTAAATGAAAACAATTGAGTGAAAGTCTAATTTGAAATTAAAATAATTAATCTCAACTACGTACCTTGAAGTTCATGTACTCTTTTTTTATATATATATCACAAGAAGTTGCCTGATTTTGGTAAAAAATAGTGTTTTTTTTTACTAAACAAAAGTATTTTATTTACTTTTCTGGAATAAAAAAGTGAAGTCACCTATAACTTCAAGTTACGGCAACAACCATCTTCTGTAGATTTTTAACTTCCAATGATCTTTGAACGGATTGGAACCAATGTTTTGCTAAGCTGGGCAGTTTGACCCTAGCTAGCAAAAATTCATGTGACTCACTATCAAGAAGGAGTCCAAACTTTCAATGGCATAAAATAATAGACTTTCTTTTTCAGTCACACTGCAGAGTTTCAATGGCGCCGGTCGAAGATTTGCTGACGACAGTTTTAGCTGGCCTTGCATTGCCTGAATAATGGACGTTTCAGCAGTACAGTTTCTTATATATTTCTCGGTTTCAACTTGGGCAGAACCCTTCTTGTTTTTCCATTGCCCAACTTGCTAGCTATATCTCATTTGCTTTTCTTTTCTTTTCTTTTTGCTTCTCTTTTTACATGACAATTACAACAGGCCAAAAAGGGATCCAATGGATTATCTATGTAGTTTAGTTCATAAATAACTGAAATTATTTGGAATTGTTTACTTGGAAAGGATTTATGGTCAACTTTCCCACCCTTTTTTTGGGATAATTAGCTAGGATGAGGGGAGGATTCTTAACCTTTTCTATTTGTTTTTTTGTGTGAAATAATGATCATGTTTTTGGTTTCATATGATACACACAATAAATATTTGGGTTAATGGCTTAATCTATACTTATATGATATATGATAGAGTAATTCTCCAATATATTCTTTATTTTAATTGAATCAATTTTATCTTTAAATATATATAAAATGGCTAATCTATCATTCGATAAAATTTTCAGATTAAACTACTGAAATTAGTCACATGATTTGCACATGAAAGTTTTTAATTGGACTAACTTGCAAAGATATTTAGAACAAAAAAATAGTTATGTGCAAATTACATGGATAAGTCCGATGGTTTGGTCTAAAAAAATCTTGAAAAAATGATAAATTCAAAACTTAATGTATATTCATTGATAAAATTGACTCAAATAAAGATATAAGGACATATTAGATAATTATCTTATTATATAAGAATAAATTGAGTTATTAATTCTAAATTTATTTCATGTATAAACGATTATTCAAAACATTTATGGTTAAACGAGTTCAAAACTCTCCTAAACTCTTAAGTCATTTGGTAATCGGTTTCTTATTTTTTAATTTTAGATTGGATTTCAATCCGACTATTTTTTATTTGAAATCTTTTTATTAAATTTTCGTGAATTCTACTATGTGAGTGCAGTTTTTCAATATTTAAAAATATATCAAAATTTATAGATATTTTGTTTTTTCTTTAAAAACTTGTTTTTCCCTTTCTAAATGCTAAGAAGATAGCCATTAAAAAAAAAAAAAAAGTTTTGGAGAGAAAAAACAAAGCATCCAAAAGATCTAGTATATTTTTATCTACTAAAAGAAGTTAAAAAATCAACTACAATCGTGTGAAATTACACTACTAGAATTGACGAAAATGTTAAAGAATGAAAAATAGTTTGAGAAAAATCCAATCTGAAATTAAAAATTTAAAAGATTAATTCTCAAATAATTAAAATTTAGAAAAGATTTGGAATATTTAGCGAATATTTATCCACAAAGGTAATACACTTCTAACTGCCGAGCCCACAACTTTGATTCTCTTACCAATTTGATCAATGCCTTGTTGGCCAAGTCCACTTATTTAATGTCTTCTAATTGACTAGTTCAAGCTGTTGTATGTTGTCATATCTTATCATTCGATGGAATCTCAATCATATTTAAATTTTTTAAGGGACGAGATGCCTAAGATAAGCAACTTCACTGTGCAAATATCTACCTTTGCTCATGTTCGACCAAGAAATGGACAGAGAGAGGAGACTAAGATGTCATTGTCTTTTCTGTAAATGTCATTAGCAAAGAGACTATTATAGAAGTAGAGTACCGGAATTTACTTTTTGCTGGCAATGGGAAAAACTCTGATAGACTTTAAAAAATCCATGCATCTTGCGTATGTTTGAATATCTAGCATAGTCAAGAGTAGACTCCTCATAATATTCTAAGTTGAAGATATAAAATTAGATAATTTGACCCTCATGCCTCTATTTTTTGTTCTTGTTGTTACATTAGCTAATGAATCTTCAATGAAACAATATCTAAATCTCCATGTGGGGCTCTCAAGAACTTTATAAATTTTGTAGCCTGCTTGCTCTCCCTTCCACTCTCCCATCCTGTGTGTGCTTTCTAGTTGCTTTGTAATGGGGGTCTTAAGCTTCTGTTTCTTTGTTTTTTGGGTGTCTCAGGTTGTTTTTGGACAACAAACTACTGATCCTAATGAAGGTTAAATTCATTTCTATAACTGCATAGGTTTATGGTGTTATGAATATTTAATTTTTGTTTTTGTTATGTGATGATTCTGCTTTTTGTTGTTCAGTGGATGCTCTAAACAGGTTGATAAATTACTGGAATTTGAGAGACAAGTTGAATATTACTAATGATCCCTGCATCCAGAATGCAACATGGGCTAATGAAAAAGCAAATCCTAGAGTTGCTTGTGATTGCAGCGGCAACACCTGCCATATCACTCACCTGTCAGTATATAATCATCACTGCACTGCCAATCCTTACCCTCAATTCTTAGTTATAGTAGTTAATGTTGAGGATTTTGTTTCATTTATGTAATGATTCAGGAAGATTTATGCTTTGGACATTTCTGGTGAGATACCAAGTGAACTGTTTGTCCTTAAGGAGCTGATGGACTTGTAAGAAAATCAAATTTTGTTTTTAACTTCTACTTCCTTTATTGATTCTGTTGTTGATTTAAAGAGCCTGAGTTATGTATTATGATGTAGGAATCTTGGTCAAAATCTACTAAATGGTTCCATCCCAGCGGAAATCGAACAGTTATCAAATATGCAATACCTGTAATTTCCTAACAAGCTCTAAAGATCTTACATTTGCAGAGCTGCTAGTCTTTTTTTTTTTTTTTTTTTTTTGGTAATGAAACAGTTGAACTCTCAGTTTTGAGTTTCTCATGATTGTTTTTCTTATGTTTGACGATGAACAGTAGCCTAGGCATCAACAACTTCACAGGTCCAGTGCCTCCAGAACTTGGAAATCTAACAAAGTTGATTGTTCTGTTAAGTACTATCAGCAAGTTTTTGATATTTTTCTTGGTTTCATGTCACGACTTCTGCTCAGTTGACTGAAGCTATTACTGATTTTATGAGTTTATATCATGTCACAGAAGTTTTAGCTCAAACAATTTCATTGGGTCACTACCTACATCCCTTGGAAAGTTGACATCCTTACAGGAGCTGTAAGTTGGTCATGACAAATTGATCAAGAGGCCTTAGGCCAGTTCTTTCGATAATATAGTGGATGCATGTTTGGTTGACAGGATCACTGGACTAATTGAGTTAGGGTGTTCTCAGATGGAAACTGCAAAACTTCATGTTGCCTCATCTTGCTTGCTAGCTGCACAATCTGATTAAAAATTGCATTTTCTTTCAGGTATTTTGATAGCAGTGGAGTCAGTGGACCGATCCCGCAAGAACTTGCAAATCTGAAATCTCTTCAAATTCTGTAACTCTCTCAGTTTCTGAAGATTATAGTACAGCGTGCGTAGATTCACGTGATGGATTGCGAGATAATTTTTGGATTTTGTATTCTTCATTTCAGCTGGGCATCTGATAACCTATTCACTGGAAAGCTTCCAGACTTCTTTGGAACTCTGACAGAACTCAGGACCCTGTATGCATGATTTTACTTCTGCTATAATGCTATTGTTTTGAGAAAAAGATCTTTAGCTAGTTATAATATCTTCGTTCTTCACAATTTTTCATCTGCAGGAGGTTTCAAGGGACATTGCTTGAAGGCCCAATTCCAAGCAGTTTTAGTGCTCTAAGCAAGCTGGAAGACCTGTAAGGCCTTCAAATAGGAGTAAAACTATCTTGCACTCATAAAGTATGTTTTTGTTTTTTAGTATCAGAACAAGAACGTTCAGAACAAAATGTGGCAGGCCATATACTAGTGGTAGCTGAATGTTAGCAGATCCACATTTTATTTTCCTTCCCCTCGCTATTTGTGGATCCTTGTCAATGATTATGCAGAAAATCAGAATGTTTGATATCAGTCTGTTCTTTATAGGAGAATCGGTGATCTTAGCGGTGAGGATTCTTCTCTTGAGTTCTTGCGAGACCAGACAAATTTGTCTATACTGTAAGGTTTTTCAGAGAGAAATCTCCAATAAGGCAATAACATTCTTCTTCTAGCAGTTTCTACCTTTTTTCTTTTTAATATTATTCAATGAGTTCCATTACCTATATCTTTTGCAGGATCTTGAGAAACTGTCTACTGTCAAGACAAATTCCCGACCAACTGGGAGATTTTTCTAACTTGAAAGAACTGTAAGTCACTTAGACATCACCACTTGTGCATTGTGAAGCTTCTTCATTTTAACCTCTGCATAAACTAAATTTGTCATGGCAGGGATTTGAGTTTCAACAAATTATCAGGTCAAATTCCAAACTCATTTCAAGATTTAGCTTCATTACAGTATCTGTAAGTTTTATATTCTACCACCTCGGTTTCTATTTTATTATGATGCAATCGGGGAAACTGATGATTCCTGGTCATCAAATAACCTAATCCTCACTCATAATTCTTACAACGAATCACGATCAAGTCAAGAAAATTGGAAAAATGGACCCTATTTTATCTGCTTAGTGTGACTTTCATCAGCAGCAAGTGTTTATATCTCTCAGTCTATTGATTTCACTTGAAGAAATGCTGATCATATATCTCAGGTATCTTGGAAGCAACAACTTGAGTGGGCAGCTCCCTGGAAATATCATAGGTCCAAATCTGATTGCCATGTGAGCGACACCCTGAACTCAAATACGAGTAGATTAAAACATGTATCGCATAATGACTCGGTTAAATTATAATTTTATTCCATATTAAGTCCATCCCTCTCTCATCCTTCATCTGCTACTTTTTGAAAATTTGTAGCAGATGAGACTGAGGAAAGGATAGAATCAATGAATGTCAAGTAATAGGACGTTGATCATTGTTCTACTGTGAATACTGATAAATTGGATCATGGTTCTTGCTAAGGCTAAAATTTTTTTGGATACTTCATGGCAGAGATGTCTCATTCAATCCCCTTTCTGGAATTTTGCCACAAAACTTTTTGAAGGTTGGATTATCAATGTAAGCTAAACTTAGTTTCCTTCTCATTCAATCTCCAGTTTGATCATGCACAGGTAGTTTTTACAAGTTTTCGTCGAGTGCTCATGCTGCAGTTTTTAAGCAAGATGCAATCATTTTGTTCTTTTTCAGAAATGTTGTTGGAACTTCCATTAATCCAAACAATTTACAGGACCAGTAAGTTTTTTCTGGAGATTACCATCTCATTCAAAATTTGTTTCTCTTTATAAGACAGTACCTCAAGGTTTCACTTTTTAGATATTACACTCGCAACAGATTCTGCTTAAAATGATTTATAGTAGGAAGACATCTTTTGCCACAGTTTTGGTTGACACCCTTATAAATTTTCTCTAATCGAGGGAATTAAAATGAACACAGGAAGGCTTCTGGGATGTTGCAGTGCCTCCAAGCTGATTTCGAGTGCAGCAACAAAGTTCCATCAAGTATAGCTATCGAATTTCGGCATGCTTAAAACTGCTTTGTGCATCCTTTAAAACTTGGAAGATTAGAGTTTTCTGGACTTTTGAGGAATTTGTATTGCATAATTCATCTTCCAAACCCACTTCCATTGCAGAATCATTTTCTGTCAAATGTGGAGGCACAGACCAAACATCTGCATCTGGGGTTAGATATGAAGGTGATTTTGAGTCGATGGGAGCTGCTTCCTTATTTACAAGCTCAGAAAATCTTTGGGCGGTAAGCAATACCGGGAATTTCATTTCGAACCCGAACGGACCCCAATATAGAGTAGAGACAGGTTCTCAAATCTCAGGAACTTTGGACTCTGAGCTGTATAAGACAGCAAGGATTTCGCCAAGCTCACTGAGATACTATGGCCTTGGTTTGAAGAATGGAAGGTACAGTGTTGAGCTTCACTTTGCAGAGATAGGAATGGATGACTCTCAATCTTGGAAAGGCCTCGGAAGGCGCTTATTCGACATTTACATTCAGGTATGCTAAAACTTCCATCTTTTTTTATCTATAGATATCGAAAAACTTATACAGGAAATAGAGACAGAAACAGCCTTTGCTGTCAGACATCTATGTGCTTGCTTGATGATCACCAATGTCATGATTGGCTTTAGGGAGAGGTAGTTCTCAAGGACTTCAACATTAAACAAGAAGCCGGTGGGTCCAAGAAAGCCTTGATTAAAAAATTTGACGCAAATGTGACAAACACAATCATGGACATTCACTTCTTTTGGGCTGGTAAAGGCACTTGCTGCATTCCATATCAAGGCACTTATGGTCCTTTAGTATCAGCCATTCATGTTTCTCAAGGTTGATCCATCCTTACATTTTCCTTTTCAAGTACGAAAATTTCAATTTGCAAACTAGCTTCCTTTTGCATTCCTAACTTGCTTTACTGCATGTGCTTAATTTTTGCAGTATCTGATGGTACTGGCTCTTCCGAAAGGGACAAGAAACGTGTAGGAAAACTTGTTGGGGTGTCAGTGGCATGTGTAGCTGGGCTTGTGATCATCTCTTCTGTATTTTATCTATGGTGGATAAAGAAAGATTCACCTAAGCACATGAGAATTTACACAGATTCACCAAGGAAATGATTGATGCCAGGATCTTGAGCCCTAAAAGGATGCTGCAAAGTACCATTCGGATAATCCATTTTCAGGCAAGAATGCCTGTGTAATATAATTGTGAAACAAAGTATTCTACTACATGCCAGTATGTGTTTCAGAACAAGTTTTCTCTTGCTTTACAAGAATCCTGACGTGATTTATGTACTAAAATTGTACATAGTCAATAAAGTTGTTTAAGTGCAATCAAAATAAACTTGGGAGAAAGTAAATTTTCATAAACGTAACAATTTCCTTTTCTTTTCTTTTCTTTTTGATAATATAAATGTGTCAATTTCTAAATGCATAATTATCTGAGACGAATCAAATCAGATTTAATCTCTATAACATAGTTTTGGATCACGGACAATTAAAAAAATGATCGTAGTCCATCATCGTATATCGTAACTTACTGTACTATTAAAATAACCATAACGGAATACTCCGAAATCGTAAGATAACGGCATCTATTTAAAATTATGCTCTATGACAGGCTAATTAAGGACAAAACCCTGCTCTTCTGTGATTATAGTTTGCTTGTAATTATCCTTATTCTATCTATACTTTTGATGGGCATGGAAAGAATGGTAATGCGAGGGAAAGAGGCATGCATGTGATGAGCCCAAAGGGGGCTTATTGTTGTGAATTGTGAGAATCTAACTAGAATTATAGACAATCATTTCATGCTTGGTAGGCCAGAACTAAGCAAATTCTATACAAACAGTAACCCAAGATTTGCCAACCTCTGAGTATTAGAACCCCTCCAAAAGAAAAAGGGAAATAATGAATTTCTTCTTTATGCTCTAGAGTTCTTTAATATCATCTTTATACAGGAAGAGATGCATTAATATTTTCAATCAAGCAAGAATAAATTAAGGAGAGAGAAGATGTCATATGGGCATCCAAAGTTAAAAAAGAACCTTAAGTGCTCCACTATCTCAAGAAAACCCATGGCAGAAAGAAGTCCCACTTTCATGCATCCCTTAGCTTCCTTTCGTCTTTTACTTTTAAAAGGCTTGTTTGGATTAAACCAAACCCATCAATTGACATGATTGAAAGGAAGTAAAATGCTTCAAACACTTCCTAATCGAAAAGGGTTCCTTGATGTTATGGCATCTTTCACTCTTCCCATAAAAAATGAAAAGCATTTTATTGTTTATAGACAACGTTTTCCTAGATGTTACTATTATTGTTATTTTATGGGCAACACTTTCTGGTTTGGTTCTTAGCTAGTAAGCATTTATCTATGCTACCATGCACTCTCCAAAAAAGAAAGGAGAAGAAAAGAAACGGTAAAAAAGTATAAAAAAAGCGATCACGGTGGGACTCGAACCCACAATCTCCCGCTCCGGAGGCGAGCGCCTTATCCATTAGGCCACGCGATCAACTGTTTGTAATGTTCCGAGTTATTTACTATCTTTATAAATTAAACAAGTCCTTATAATCCCTTTGCCCAAGGGAGTTAATGCCTCCAAACCGAGGAAAAGTTGTTGCTACTCGCAATTGTTTTAATTTATAGTATGAAGTTGAAATTCGTGAAAACTTTAACTTGTTAAAAAATAATTAAAAAAAATTATTAGTTTTCCATGTTTGGTAAATGGGTGTAATTTGTTTTTCCCTTTTGTCTTTTCCAAAAGAAAAGACATTTTCCAGCAAGGATCAGAAAGCTCGAGGAACCCTAAGAACATTGCATCAAGTTATTCACCCTTGGGCCTTGAGAGCGTACTAATTTATTTAATTATAGAAAAGGGTTGATGTAAAAAAGAATTAATTTTCCAAATATGTTTCCAACTTTTATCTTGCTCGAACCAGTCAAGTATCGCAAAATTATTCATTTGCATTGAAAAGGCTTTCTACTCATAAAATTTGTTTTCGGGCAAATAAATGGAAACTTTGATGAAAATGAAAGGTTTGGTGGTAAAAGAAAGAGTTTGTATGTTAAAGATAAAAAAAAATAAAAAAATAAAAAGAAAGAAAGAAAAAGAATAATTAATCAGTAAAGTGTCATAGTCTGGATAGACGATGGAAATTGCCGAAGATGATAGATTTGTTTTCATGAACTCCAAAACTTTAAGATTTATTAAAGCAATGCAAAGTGCATAAATTTTCTAAAATTAAATAAATAAATCAATCAATCAATTTGTTCTTATATAATAGTTCAAGCCTTTAATTTAGTTTTACGTTTTTAATTATATTTCTTGTATCGCTAAATAATGTTTAAGTCTCTAATATGTCTTTTTCGATCAAATTTATCCCATTATAAATAAATTTTTTTGATTGAAATGCTCCTCATTGAAATACAAATTAAAAAAAAAAAAAAACTCATTTAAAGTTACATAGCTTGCTTGATCTATTTTTAAAGTAGTTAGTTTTTTTTTTTTTTTTTTGGCATTTCAAGTAGGAGTATATTGGTAAAAAAATTACATATGGTCAGAAAAATTAATCAAAATTACAAATTAAAGATTTAAATATCATCTAAAAATATAACGGATTCAATTAAAAACATAATAACAAATTGAGCTATTTAAAAAAACAACAAACAAAACAAGAAGAAGAAGGAATAGTATTTTTCAGAGTACAATTCCTTATGTATTTACTAATTTTTCTTTTCAAAGAAGAAAAGGAGGATTGGCATGGGAAATAGGTGGAAAAAATATCCCTTTTTTTTTTTTGTTGGATGAATTTATACATTTTGATTATTATTGGTTTAATAACATAATTTATCCTCAAACTAGGTTGTTGCAAATAAGGTTTATATTATTCTTTTTGGTTATTTGAATTCTAAATTATTAATTTTTAAATAATTTTTGTTATTTTTTGTTATGTTTTGTATCAAGATATTGATCTTTAATTAACATGTTTAAATCGATGTTATTTTAAGTATTTCAATATATTTTTTAAGAATTAAAATTAATTTTAAAAAATATATATTTAATAATTAAGTTTTTTTACTAGATGGATCCATTATACATCATTAATTATCTAATATATATTTAATAATTAAATTTTTTTATTAGATGGATCTATTATACATCATTAATTATCTAATATTAAAAATCAAATTTATAAACAACAAAATCATATAAGTTTTCTTAAAACTAACTATTATTAAATATATTTTTTTCAAAATTAATTTTAATTTTAAAATATTTAAAACAATTTCGTTTTAAATATTTTAATTAATAATTACCACTTAGTCGGATATAACAGAAAAAAATAAGGTTTTTCTCAAAATAAATAATTTGAAATCTAAATATTCTAAATTAATAGTATAAATCTTATGTAACTGGGATTGTTATAATTTGAGGATAAATTATGCTATTAATTCCATTACTAATTATACATGGATGAACTAATGAATCTATTTCATTATTTTAATGTCACGTTTTCCAATCCATCCAAAATAAAAAGGTTTAAAAGAAAATAAATGAATCAAGCGAACTTTTTCTTACTTTGCCACCCACCTTCATCACTTTGCTCTCTTCCTTCATTCGCTCATTTCTTAACCAGAAAGCAATTAAAGAGACCGGTGACTGTTTGCTTTTCATCTTTGTATCCCTCTTCCAATCCCATTTGTTTTTCATGCATCGTTTCATCCTAACCAAAACCAAACAGCCATTTACTAACATTAATTCATCGTTCTTCCCGTTTTGCTATCAACTATATGAATCAAGAAAGTCAAATTAATTTCCTAGTAATGTCGATTATTAATGGGATCAACAGGTAACTAATTACAAGGATCATTTTAGCAAATCAAGAAAGTCAAACTCGAATAAATAACATTATTCATTTGATAATATATATATATATATTCCAAATTGATTTTTTTTTTAAATATCAATTATTGATGGATGGATCCGATTGGTTGATCCATAAGACATAGCTATTTCTCAATGACGAACAACGTTACTCTATTAAGCACCATTGTAAAATCTTTATATTTAAGGATTTGTTTAATTTTGAGCTTCAATCTTAGCGGTAAGTAAGCAATAACAACAAGTGAATAAAAAAGGGTTAAATTGTAAAATATCTTCCTGAACTTAATTAAAAAAAAACGCTCCCCTAACTTTTTTTTTATTGTTTTACCCCATTTAATAATATGATTTTTTGATTGTATCCATTTTTCGTTAGGTTTTGTTGAGAAAGTGACCAAACAAAACCATAAAATTTTCATCCTTTTCTCTACCAATTTAGGAAAACATATTTACTAATTAAGATATTTTTTGACAATGAACGACGTTAATGTTTAAGCATCATTGTCAAATCTTTCTATTTAAGTATTTGTTTAATTTCGAACTTTGATCTGAATAGCAAGTAATAACAACAAGTGAATAAAAAAAGAAGGCTAAATTGCAAAATATTTTTCTAAAATCGAGTCAGAAAACAAATGCTTCCCTAAACTAAAAAATTTCTGATTTTATCCTCTTGAACAATATGATTTTTTAAATGTATCTATTTCATTAGTTTTGTTGATAAATTGATGAAAGAAAACCATAAAAATCCCCCCAAACTCCCTTAATTTTCTCCACTAACTTAGAAAAATATATTTACTAGTAGAGAAAATAAAGGATTTTAAAGATTTTTTGTTGTTGTCAATTTCTCAAGAAAATTCTAATAAAAAAATAAAAAATCATGTTATTTAGAGGAAAAAATTAAAGAGGTTATTTATTTTTTCATTCAGAGTTGGAAAGTATTTTACTATTTAGCCATGAAAGAGAAAAGTAGAGACTACAGATTTTGGTGCGAGTAAATATTAAAAAAAAAAAAAAAAGCTATATAAAGCATAACCTGTTTTGTACTATCCCTTTGTTTGGATGTAGGCCCACCCTCTAATGACAAGTTGGCAACCAATTCTTCATTACATAAATGACCATTCTCCTAATCCCACTTCTAACCCTAAACAAATTTACTTATTCACCGACTACAATTAATTAATTAATTAATTAATTATCTGCACCCTTTTTTGCACATTTGACTTCCTACATTAAATGCTTATTTAATACTTTTAATCATAGTTAGAATCTAATTAGTAGTACTTGCTTTCTTAGCAAACGCAAATGTTTCCAACTTGACCATCAATCAGCTGCCCATTGGTCCACTCCTTTTCCTTTGTGGGACCAAGTAACTGGATCACCCGCCACGTCAATAATCCCGAAATGCTAAAATCAACAAAAATAGAAAGTCGACATCACCGAACACCGTACGCGTAAGATTTGGTGTGATATGGGTAAATTATATTTTCCTTCTGTAATTTGTGTGTATTTAATATTAGTCCCTACTACTCTTTGACTTTGATGTTCTTGTGTTAGAAAAAATCTTACTTCCTCTCCCTAAATAGTATATTTTAAAGGCCCAGAAGAAAAAACCCCCCTTTTTTTAATCACGCACAAAAAAAAATTTATATTTATTTTTCCATAAAATAATTAATTTATTTGTCCATTTTAACCCTCTTCTCTATCTATATGTATATAAAAGTAAATATCAGATTATTTTTATGGGTGTAGCCATCAAATCATTTCTTTAGAAAATACATTTTATGTGCTTGAAAGTTGAATCCCATTAGTTAAGCAAGTCACACTGTACGTGGACTTCTTCTTCTTCTTTTTTTGTTTTTTTTGTTTTTTTGTTTTTTAGAGAAGTAAACTTCGAATTTTTATGCTATATAAAAACCTTAGCCGTTGATGTATAAATAAAACCACCACATTAAATGCTAATAAAGTAATTATGATTTTTTGGTACAATTATTTATTTATTTATTTATAACCTTCATAAATATATACAATTTACCCATAAAAGCTTCGACAAACAGTTAAAAGAGAAAAAGAAAAAGAAAAAACAAATCGAGGAGGCTCTTCTGTTCTCTTTTCTCCAACTATTTAGTATTTACACCTTCCATGTAAACAACACGCACCCAGAGAGATGCTTCTTTCAGACAAAGCAAACACCCCTCCCGACACTTCCGTCATAATAGCTGTCTCTCCTCCACATCTCTGATCAGATCAACGTTTGTCCTTCCTCCACGTCGTCTCCGGATCTCAATCCCTCTTTAAATCCACTTTTTTTTATATATATATTTTCATTACAGCTAATTACAAACTCAGACACAACATTTTCCTTTTTCTCTCCTCCCTCCCTCCCTCCCTCCCTTCTCTTCTAGACGCACAGATTGTAATAAAACACAGTAGATCCGACGCCTTTTTACGCAGATTTCACTCTCCTCGTGACAGATCCAACAACCTCTAAATCCGACACACCGGTAAATCATTTTCTACTTCATTAATCACTTTACTAATCACTCAATTAACCAACTACAACCTTGAGCTAAATCCTCATTTACTGTCTTCTACTTCCAGCTCAACGGTCGAGATGGCGCAGAGCACAATTCGAAAAGCGATCGGGACCGTTAAGGATCAAACAAGCATAGGTATAGCGAAAGTAGCAAGTAACATGGCGCCGGAGCTTGAGGTAGCAATTGTGAAAGCAACGAGCCACGACGATGATCCACCAAATCAGAAATATATTCACGAGATCTTGAATTTAACTTCATATTCTCGCGGTTATGTTCATGCTTGTGTTTCTTTCGTTTCGAAAAGACTAGGGAAAACGCGGGATTGGATCGTCGCGTTGAAAGCTTTGATGCTTGTTCATAGGCTATTGAATGAGGGAGATCCGTTGTTTCAAGAGGATATTTTGTATGCAACTAGGAAAGGTACTAGGTTGCTGAATATGAGTGATTTTAGAGATGAAGCACATTCGAGTTCTTGGGATCATTCCGCGTTTGTTAGGACCTTCGCCATGTATTTGGATCAAAGACTTGAATTAATGCTGTTTGAAAGAAAAGGAGGCGATGGTGGCCATGTCGGTGGGAGTGGTGGTGGGGGGAGTGCTCATGGTGGTGAAATTGAGAGATATTATGGAGGTAGGGGTGATTTTGGTAGAGGTGATTTTAGGTCGCCGCCGCCGAGAGCTTATGAGTACAGTGATCAGTATAACGGGGATTTTAATAGATGGGATGGTGGGCATGGGATGCCGAGGAGGACGAGGTCTTATGGGGATATGAGTGAGATGGGGGGAGAGAAGGGAAGGAAGAGAAGAAGGCAGTGACGCCGTTGAGGGAAATGAAGCCAGAGAGGATTTTTGGGAAGATGGGGCATTTGCAGAGGTTGTTGGATAGGTTCTTGTCGTGTAGGCCGACAGGGTTGGCGAAGAATAATAGGATGATATTGATTGCGTTGTATCCAGTTGTGAAAGAGAGTTTTCAGTTGTATGCTGATATATGTGAGGTTTTGGCTATTTTGCTTGATAAATTTTTTGATATGGAGTATCCGGATTGTGTTAAGGCCTTCGATGCGTATGCTAGTGCGGCTAAGCAGATCGATGAGTTGATTGCGTTTTATAATTGGTGTAAGGATACTGGTGTGGCGAGATCGTCTGAGTATCCGGAAGTGCAGAGGATTACAGGTAAGTTGTTGGAGACTTTGGAGGAGTTTGTGAGGGATAGATCCAAGAGACCTAAGAGTCCGGAGAGGAAAGAGGAGGCACCTCCTGTGCCTCAAGAGGAGGAGCCTGCACCTGATATGAATGAAATTAAGGCCCTGCCTCCACCAGAGGATTACACTCCTCCGCCTCCCGAGCCAGAGACCAAGCCTCAGCAACCACAGTTTACTGAGGATTTGGTGAATTTGAGGGAGGATTCTGTCACGGCTGACGATCAAGGCAATAGGTTCGCTTTGGCTTTGTTTGCTGGTCCGCCAGCCAATAATGGGAATGGATCATGGGAAGCATTCCCATCCAATGGAGAGCCCCAAGTGACTTCTGCTTGGCAGACTCCCGCTGCTGACCCTGGCAAGGCAGATTGGGAATTGGCATTGGTTGAGACAGCTAGTAATTTAACGAAGCAGAAAGCAACTTTGGGTGGTGGTTTTGATTCATTGTTGTTGAATGGAATGTATGATCAGGGAACGGTGAGGCAACATGTTGGCACTGCTCAATTGAGTGGAGGCAGTGCTAGTAGTGTGGCGTTGCCAGGGCCTGGAAAGACAACAACGCCTGTTTTGGCTCTTCCGGCTCCAGATGGAACAGTCCAGGCAGTTAATCAGGACCCTTTTGCCGCATCTATGAGCGTTCCACCTCCTTCATATGTCCAAATGGCTGACATGGAGAAGAAGCAAACCTTACTTGTTCAGGAGCAGGTGACATGGCAACAATATGCCAAGGAGGGGATGCAGGGTCAAGCTAGTTTGGCCAAGATCAATGGTGCTGGTTACTACAATGCAGGTCCTATGCCAATGATGCCTTACGGAATGCCACCTGTCAATGGAATGGGGCCACCGCCGGCTGGGTATTACTACCATCCTTACTGATTTGAATGCCATTTATCTATAGATTTTGTTCATGTTCATGTTTATCCCTTTTAGTGTTTTGTTTTTCTTGAAAAGATATGATGTCATGTTATTCCTGCAATTTGTGCACAAAAGGGCTGTGACTGGGAAAGGGGAGACTGAATTTGAGAGATTACTTATGCTGGGGAATTTTGATGTGTGGGAGACCTGTAATTGGAACTGTGATGTCTCTTTGTGCTTTGTAATATTAGAATTTTCGGACATTTTTATTCTTTATTTTTTTTTTATAAATGTTATCCTTGGTTTGAGACCGCAGGGAAACTACATTTAAAACAATTTAAACTGAAATTTCTTATGATCATTGTAAAAACTGTTCTTTTTTATTACCGGTTGTGATAATGTATCTGCATCATTACAAGTTAGGTATTTGGTATGGAGGCTTCTGTAATACCTCTCGTCATGTCTATATGCATTGTGATCAAAGATTAAATACCTAGTTTCTAAGTTCCTTGCAGTGCTTTATGTCTCTTTCTTCCCTTGTAACTTATTCTGGAAGAAGAGTTACCCCAGATTTGGTGAGGAGAGGTTTTCCCTACCAAATGATTGGACTTTATCTGGTGTAAGCTGATACTACTTGGTTACTTCACCAACTGCTGTGTTTTAAGCCTGGGAGCGGGCAATAGTATTTTCATTATCTTAATATTTTTCTAACCGCTTCATGTTACATACCATATTTGTAACTTTGAGTTGAAATTTAACATTGTTATTGTAGGAAATACTTTGTTATTATCAAATAGGTAAACAATGACATGTTTAATACGACAATTAATCAAGTCATGCATTTTAGACAGAATGCCCTTAATTCTAATTCTGCCTTGGATGTTTAGCCAGGTAAATAGTTGGTGTTAGGAGGCATATCCCTAGTTAACTATTAAATTTTGAGAGGATTTTATCTTTGAGAATTGTGGCTTTGATCAATTTGAATCCAAACTTCGACACATTCTCTCTGATATTTTTGGTAGGATATGATATGATTGGAAAGTTTAGGCATCTGAAGATATGGACTTATGAACTGACCTTTTAATTTCGTATGGGGTCAAGAAAGGGACTGAATTGAAAGAACCTGAAATCACTTATAGATGATAAGAAATAATTGGAGCTGAAGTTAAGAGTGTGCTTTAAGTTGATAGCTTCATTGTACATGGTTGAAACCGACGTCAATAACAATGGAGTATAATTCAATGCAGACATATTGAAAGGTTCAAAGTAAACAAGATGGCTAACTGAAAGCGACCGTATGTCTGGAATGATATGTATGTATATTATTTTGTTAGCTTTTCCTATTAAGGTCGCTATATTTATCCAGATTCGAATCAAATGACAGTAGTTTTCTGAGAAAAAGATGACTTTGTCTGTCCGAAGTTAAAAATTCTGCTGCACCTTGGAAGTTCCAGCAGTTCAGAATCTTTCAACTTCGAGCTAGCGAACAAGAATCCATAATCCTGAAATGGCGTCCCTTTGCTAGTATTAAGAGATTGGCATTAGATTCCATGCTTCATTTTAAAGCTTCGTTGTTTCTTTCTAAATTCTTTGGCCTGTAATGTCTTACTCCTCGTCATAATTAAGCTCTCTTTATATTCTGTGGTGGTTCACCAATATGTAGGTGGCCAGTGGCCACATGGACCACCGCCATCAAGGCCATGGTGTTTACTTTTATTGTAAACACGAGAACCAAAAGACTTTCGGCGTAGATCATGAATCCCCAATTTGGTTGAAATTAAAGGTTCAGATATGAACCCTAGCATGATAAGATCAATGGCAAAACAATTTTTGGTGGGGGTCCATTTATTTATGCTAGGGCATGGATCCCAGTGAAAAGAACTTTATTGTCTTCTTTAAGGGTGTGTTTACGGGTTTGTGGAGAACAACTTCACAAAAAACTGTGTCCACAGGTTTCACAGAAGGAGCTCTTAGCACCAATGTCCCACATCTACTTCTGTATCGCTAGAGGACAAAGTTGAAAATACTGCACCATGTTTTTCCTATCTTGTTCTTTTTCGTTTCTCTCTTGTTTTTTTATGTAGAAACCACTCAGAAATTGCGTGGACATTCTAGACAGTTACTGCTATTATTGTTCATGTCCTGGCATCCCAGTCTGAGGCAGAATTATTGGAGAGCTCCATCCCCCTTTTCCATGTTAGAACTTTTGAAGTGAAAAGACAGAGAACTGCAAGAACATGACAGCATGGAACCCATGATGCACTCCTGTCTGACTAGTCTGCTGCTGCTACCTAAGATCAGCAATAATCTGGTAGTATCAAGGACAAATTAGATGATAATTAGGCAAATAGTCATATAGACTATGGGGAAAATGTTAAATTTAAATGAAGATTACCTAACACGTTTTGTCAAGATGAGAATTGAAATGTCAACTGCTGTTGGTCTAGCTGTGTGTGTGCAAGAAAAAAAACTACTAGCTGTGGTATGGAGGCAGGTCATCAATCCCACCGTTCCACTATCTTGTTGCAACTTGCGACATTTCCAATACCAAATCTTGTTATCTTATTATTAATAATAAAATAATAATAATAAAATTGTAAGAGAACTAAGAATAAAAACAATTTTTTTCCCCAAAATTTCTAGTGGAGGTACGAGTCAAGATATGATCCCTATGTGAATAGTCTTTCGGAAATTTAATTAAACAAATTAATTTTAGAAAGCTGATTTAAGAATAGCTAATTATTTAAAAATAATATAAACCAGATCTTGAGTCTCACTTAACAATTTAAGTTTTTGAGTTAAGAAGGCTTTTTTTATATAGTATCAAAGTCTTAATAACCAAATGATCGCAAGTATAAATGTGCAAATTTTAAGTTTAAAAAGCTTTGATTTAAAGAAATGTATTAGAAATTAATATAAATCATATATTGGGATCTAATAATTTTAAGTTTTTGGATTGAGATGGTCATTTGACACTAATCATTAAAATTAAAAAAAGAAACAAATCTAAGCTTACTCTAAAAAAAATTATTTGTAGATCCAAATAATTTCGTTCTTCTTTTGAAATAAAGTAAGAAATTAGAAGGCAACTTGTTTAGAAATTGACTTTGTTGAATAACGTTGTTAAATATCCCTTCTCGGTCTTTAAGTCAATCTTCCAATGGAAAAACCAAGGCAGGATAGAAGCTCCGACAGTTAGTCCAAAGCCAAGACTCCAAATGGACTGACTATGTGGTTCCATTCGAGTCCAGGCTGTCGGAGAAATTGTTCTTGGGACTATTTATTAGCTTATATCTTCCAGAAACAGAAATGAAAAATCAACTCGAAAATTTGTTTTTCTAAGATCAAAGTCAACAAAAGATAAATACAGGATCTTATCCTTTTTGTTACCCTGCTTCTACCATTGATTTAATATTACCTGAAACAATAATGGAGAACCCTCTAGAAGTTTTCTGTTTATAGATAGAATTTAGAAATATTTTGATTTTACATTCATGTATTTTCGAATAAGTTTTTCACCCTTTAATGGCAAAAATTGTCCATATCTTATTGTAATTTGAAAATTTCAAATATTTATTATCAATTTGTATAATTTGAATATCAAAATATCGATTTTTAGAAAAATATTATCCAAATTGCATTTTTACTTTTATTTGTAACGATCAACCCATTTGATGGTTAAAATTTTTTGCTGTTAATTTGAAAAAAAAAATTAAAAATGCTTTATCTTTATAGTTCAATAGAGATTCTTTCTATTTAAAATTTTTACATATTAATCCTTTTGATTTTTCATAGTTCAATCAAATTATTATTTATATGTAATTTTTTTTCAATTTAAAAAAAAAACCTTTATATAGTATCATTATCTATTAAAACAATCTACTTCTATAATTGATAAAATACAAATATCAATTGATTGAATTTGATCAATTAAAATTATCAAATAATTAATTTTAATTGAACTTTTCTTTTGTCATGCAAATAAATTTATTCTTGTGATTGTCAACTTTTAAATTTTAAATATAGTTGTATTTATTTAATTTTTTTTTTATCTTCACATATTTTTATAGAATTTTGTATTTTCACAATTGATTCAATATATAATATGCATTTAAAATTATCGAGTTAGAAAAATATTTTTTAAAACTTTCCTAATTTTATTTTTTTTAAAGATAGATTTAAAAAGTGAAAGCTCGTCTTTAGGAAGAACCAAAAAAAGGTTTAGTAGTAAATTTAATAATTTATTATTATTATTTATAGGTAAACGAGTAAAAAAATCTCTCTTAAAAATGAAAGAAAAATATTTTAAATGTTTTTTTAAAGTTAAAAACAGAGAAAAAAAATTAATGATTAGTTGGGTTGGCCGTTATAAATAACAGACAAATACGATTTAGATAAAATTTATTCAAAAATCAATATTTTGAGTTTCAAATCACAAAAATTGATAATAAAAATACGAAATTATCAAATTATAATAAAACGAAAGTAATTTTTACCATTAAATTATTTTTCACTTATGAATATGAATTTTATTTTTTTGACTTTATTAAAAATAAATTATCTATATTAAAATTTATAGTAATTTACTCAACGATATTTAATTCATCTCATATTAGGATATATTGGCTTGTTAACGTGATTTGCATCTAAAATTTTATAAAATAACTACCATATCATAATCTTTCTAAAAGTTTATTGAGTAGCAAAAAGAAGATTAATTTAGCATGAAGTACAAAGTTTTATAAAAATGTGACAATATAATATTTCCCATCAACCATTCAAATTTAATGTTTTAATGGAGAAGCAATGGAGGTTTTACGAAAGCTACAGATCAGGTTATTAAAGGAAGAAAAAGGACTATTTAATTATCTGTCATTCCAAAGGAACTAATAAGTTCGTTTGGTAAAACTACAGGGACTAATTTATAATTAACACAACGTGACAAAACAGTGAAGTCACTGTATCCGCTAACAAAAACCCAAAACCCCGAGTTAAATGGATAAGGAACAACGACAGTCAGTCAGTGAGGCAAAACCTTCAGTTTCAGTTCGGAAAAACAGAAATGGAGGAGCAATGGAGGCTGTACGAAGCTTATAATGAGCTACACGGGTTAGCGCAGGAGCTGAAGACTCCATTTGATGCACCGGCGGTGTTAGTGGTGGGCCACCAGACCGATGGAAAGAGTGCACTGGTGGAAGGTTTAATGGGCTTTCAATTCAACCATGTCGGCGGTGGCACCAAGACTCGTCGCCCCATTACCCTCCATATGAAGTATGATCCTGAATGTGAAGTCCCTTCTTGCCATCTTGTCTCTGATGATGATCCAACTTTTGCCCAGGAGAAATCTCTCCATGAAATTCAGGTTTGCTTTAACTGTTATTTAATTTGTTTGATTTTTTTCTCTTACCGAATCTTCGTTTTGATGAAAGAATAATAAACTTGTCCAGGCATACATTGAATCTGAAAATATGAGGTTGGAGAAGGAGTCGTTTCAATTTTCAGCCAAGGAGATAATTATAAGGGTAGAATACAAGCATTGCCCGAATCTTACTATTATTGATACTCCTGGACTTATTGCTCCCGCACCGGGTCGGAAAAATCATGCATTACAGGTTCGAAATAGGAATTTAATAATTTAGCATTGTGGTTGTGATTGTGAGTTTGGATTTTGATTGTGAAATGTTTGTGCTTATTTGTTTATTCAGAGTCAAGCTCGTGCTGTGGAGTCGCTTGTGAGAGCAAAAATGCAGCATAAAGAATTCATTATATTGTGTCTTGAAGATTGTAGTGACTGGAGTAATGCAACTACTCGGAGAGTAGTAATGCAAGTATGTTTCTTTTGATCACTTCAGTGTGTTAAACTTTTTGTTGGATTTACAATGTGAAGTGAATAATTTGAGAACCTTTCTGAAAACCTGGTGCTTCTTTTCATGGGGACAGTGGGAGGGAAGTGATATTACTTGAGATAGCAGTTGTGATAATATTAGGATAATCTTTGAATAGCATCAGAGCCAATTTTGTTTGCTAGTTGTTTTTTGATAATTTTCTTTACTCAGGAAAAAATATTGTTGCTATAATTATCCTTACAAACTGGACTGGATTTTTAAGTTATTTGATTCATAGTGATTGGAAGTCTGTCTTAGAATGATTGGTTGCTTTTAAATCTTTACTGCTATTTGTAAAGCACCAATACCTTTTTGTTTGCATACAGATTGATCCTGAGCTCTCAAGGACCGTGGTTGTGTCTACAAAGCTTGACACTAGGATACCCCAGTTTGCTCGCTCATCTGATGTTGAAGTGTTCCTTTCACCGCCTGCATATACACTTGATGGCTTCATATTAGGGGATTCTCCCTTCTTTACATCCGTTCCTTCTGGAAGAGTTGGTTCTGGCCATGACACAGTTTATAGCTCAAATGATGAGTTTAAGCAGGTTTGTTTCTCCAACTATCAAATTCATGCTGGCTCATAAAGTTGCTGATGAGGAACCTGGTCCTTGTTATATGATCAATACTTTATCCATCATTCAATTTCAGAATTCTGTGTTCCTCTAACCTTAAGTTGTAAAGTTTTAGCTATATCATACATGCGTACTAATTCAGCCTAGGGATTTAACTGACGTTGGTGAATATTTTAGGCAAGTAAAATCTGTAATTTCATGATTTCCTACAAAAAGATGTGTTCAGGAAATATTAAGCATGTTTAGTCAGAAAGATATTTTCTTATTTATTTTTATATATAGTAGTTAAAATAGGAATACTATGTTTCTTATATAGGAATCCAAGTCTAGTTTGGATTAGAAATAACTCAAGCCTGTAAATTTGCTTGTAGCATATCAGTTTCAGTATAATGAAGTTTATAATGAATAAAATGCAACCTTTGGTTTATATGTTGAGAAAATGTGGTGCTTGCGTTAAGGAGTGATTACTTATATGTGATGCTTTGGATTTTATGCTAGGAGTGATTCGTTGAATCTGTTAGTGTGAGGCTTATCTTTTTATTTGCATAACTTTCAGACCCTCTGTTTTCAATTTCTTAGCTTTGTAATTCACTAAATTCCACAGCCCTAACCTTTAAACAATCACGACACGCTTTCACTAGGCTTGTAATGCGTCACGTAGTTATTTCAAAATGCTGAATTAAGTTGTGCATCAAGTGTTGCTCAAACCATTCGTACCGTGAACTGATAATGTTTAATGTTAGAAATTACATAACTTAATTTGCTTGATGCTGATGGATCGCATAATTTCACGAACTCGATGTTCTTAATAGCTAACAAAGTTAAAAATGCATTCCTTGTTTCATAACGTGGGACGAGGCAATATTGCATACAAGTAAATGTGATGTAGAGAGACTTATGTTGGTAATAATTTTGATAAAACTAGCGTCATTTAACAAGAAGTTCGTGTGTGTTTTTGTTCACGTACTGTGTAGCTAAACAAAGAGGCTTTTTTTACTGAAAATATCAGATTCACGTCACTATAATATTGTAACCCTATTTCATGTAGATGTTCTTTTGCTTTTTCCTGTATTATTCTATAGCAAAAATTCTTAATCAAACTAAATGCAGGCCATATCCTTGAGAGAGATGGAAGACGTTGTATCTTTGGAGGAAAAGTTGGGCCGTCCATTATCAGTGCGAGAAAGAAATAGGATAGGTGTTAGCAAATTAAGGTCCTTTTTGGAAGAAATGCTGCAGAAGAGGTAATAGTTTATATACATACATATATTCTTTTTGCATATGTTCTGATCACAATATGACTAAAATTTAAGAATTTATGTTCCTGTAAGGTATATGGATAGTGTCCCGTTGATCATTCCACTTCTTGAAAAGGAGTATCGCATGGCAACAAGAAAGCTGAACGAAATAAACAAAGAACTCAGGTTTGTTGTTGAAGTTATAACATAGGTGGTTTTTGAAGCAATAAAGGTCTAACCTACAGCCTGCTAATTTTTTTCAGTTTCTGATAAACTTGGTTAGGAGCTTGAATACTTTTATTTTTTTTCATTCTGTTTTGTTGTTATGGGCATCTGTTAATTTCTTTCCTTACCACTAGTTACTTTACCATATTCTTTGCCAAGTTTGCAGCACTTTGGATGAAGTAAAATTGAAGGAGAAAGGGAGAAAATTTCACGATCTATTCATAACCAAGGTTTCTTTTGACTTGCACTTTTTGTCAATATTTTAACATCTCATCCAGGCTATTGAATGGTTCCTTGTTCTAGAGCAATTGATATACAATCAGACCGACACAGATTACTGATTATTATTTTTCCTATGCTTTTGATTCTCATTTATGCGTTCTAACTAAATCTTTACATATGTTCAGCTTTCATTGTTGTTGAAAGGGACAGTTGTTGCTCCTCCAGATAAATTTGGTAAATCATTTGATTTGATATTGCACACCACAGGAAACTTTACTGTTATGTAGATATTATTTTATTATCTTCTCTTCTAGCATGAAATTAGTTGAATCTTATGTCACATGATTCCAGATTTCCAGTAGTAGATCTGTCCTATTTGTAGATCCAAGGCTCTCCAAAAAATGAGAGAAGTCCGTTTGTAATTTAATACTACTCAAATTTTAAGGGTATGTTTGATAAAGGGCACTAAGGCAGTGGAAAAATCATTGTTAAAATTTTTCACCGTATTCTTTAGCTTGGCAAGTCAAACATTCAACAGGTAATAATTAAGGGGGTAAAATTTCGTCCCATACCCCCATCCTAATGGTAGTGTGGCCCTCCCAATTTCATTTATCATCTTTGTGAATTCTACCAATGTAGTTGTTTCTCTCTTTCAAATATATGTGGGTGCCACTCTTATTTTCCATGTAATCTTTTTCATTTGTAGGTCCCATCAATATCCTTCATTTACTTTCTTAACATTTTACTTCCAACAAATATCATCCCTCCTAAAAAATTTTACGTTATCATGTTTTGTACCATAACATTTGCTCCTGTGATTTTTCAACCCCCATTTTCTTACCTTGTATCAAATGAAACCTTATATGACTGGACTTAAAAGGGAGAGGATCCAGGTAGCATTTCAACTAGTTCTTGGTAGAGCTATGGTTGAGAATTGTTTTGTTACACCGTCACCACTAAAAGAAATGAACTTACTGTCTTCAAACTCCCAGCTAGTTTAAGTTTTAGTGTAAAAATACCTGGACTTTAGCTTGAAGTGCCCTTGAACTAAAGAAAATCCCAAAATTTAAGCCCCAAAGCAAGACGTCATTGCAATGTGGTCAACCATTAGTAAAATGTAGGGGCCCTTCGACTTTAACCTCTTTCAACTGTTACATGTGCCCACATAACCCATAATCAAAGGATGTCAAAATGGATGGAACCCTACTTTTTACTAATGAACCAAATTGCAACAGGGTCTTGGTACGTGGCTTAAATTTGTGGTGTTTTTTAATTCAGTGGGGCTTTTATGAATTTGCTAAAGTTCACAGGTTGTCTTATAATCTGTCCAAGTTTATACTTTTATTATTGTCTTACTATTTTAATATGTCAATGAACTCAGTGTTGTAGTATTTATTGCAGGCGAAACACTGCAAGATGAGAGAAGTAGCGGAGGGGCATTTGTTGGAACTGATGGTCTTCAGTTCCCACTCAAGCTAATACCTGTAAGCTGTTTATGCTATATTTTGTCAGCTCAATTTCTTGACGCCTTTGCAGTAGGTGTGAATGATCTTTTAATGTAGTTGAGTTAGTTCTCATTGCTTTACTGAGGGGGAATTAGGAGATGTGAGAATAATGGTGTAGGACAACGAGACAATTGAGATTGTTGTGGACTGTAAGGCTAGAGAACTCTTGAGAAGGCGCTTGGTTGGAAGGATGAGGGCATTTGATTCTCAATCACTAAATAGTCAGAGAAGATGGAAATCACAGGGCTACATATCGCTGATTTCCTTGATGGCTGTTCAAAGCAAAGGTTTGGCAAATCTTGGGTCAATAGGATTGAGTGCATGCAAATCATTCCTTACTCACCTTGCCTGTACTTTGAATACTATCATCTAGTTCTTGCCTATTGTCTTGGAAAGTTAGGACAAGCTCTTTGATTTTGTGGGTAAAGTGGGTGGTTCTTAGGTAGATGGCATGACTCTTACTACCACTCTTTGTTGGCTTTGGGAGTGAGAAACCATATTGTCTCATGGACATGTGCTGTGGTCTTGGTGATTTGGAAAACTTGGTGTGATGCAATTTGTGAATCTTCAAGAACAACTCTCGTTTATAGCAATTATCATGGGCAAAACATCTTTTGACATCTTTGTTATGTTTTGCTTATGGAACTTCCCCATGAGTGACTTTAGTGGATCTACAATGGGATTGGATTGCCTGTTATATGACTTTGTGGTGTTTTTTTCAATTTTTCTAATAATTTGTTCTACAGTGGGATTGGATTGCCCATTATATGAATTTGGGAGAATACTGTTTTCTTTACTTCTGTAATTTCCCTTCTTCCCTCCTTTTCAGTGAATTCATTTCAAAAGATTCTTGTGCCTTCTGCACATGTTGCATTATGTGTATCTCCTAGACTTCCCGGCTCGGTGCTGGGATGTTTTTCCTTTCCTCCTATTTTAAGGCACGAAGTGTCTTAGCGTGTTCTTGTCTGTTTCTCTCTGTAAGTTGTGTTCCATATTTGTTTGGTCTATATGGACAAGTCAAGTCTACATGATATGGGGAGATTTTTTTTCTTATGACTAGTAATAGTACACAGAAAAAAAAATGTTAGCCGATTGCCATAACCAACAATATTAAAGATTGGACACAGTTCAATAATCTCTGTGAAAGGTTGACATTTTTGCAATTTACATGTAGAATGCAGGGATGCGCCTTTATGGGGGTGCACAATATCATCGTGCAATGGCAGAATTCCGTTTTGTTGTTGGGGGAACCAAATGCCCTCAAATTACGCGTGAAGAAATTGTGAATGCATGTGGAGTTGAAGATATTCATGATGGAACTAACTACTCTAGGTATCCTTGAGATCTGATTGGACAGCTACCAATGCTTTCTGAGATGGGAAACATTTTTTTCCTTTCAGTTATCTAATCTTCCTTTTCTCTACAATTTTATGGACCAGGACGGCTTGCGTAATAGCTGTAGCGAAGGCTCGTGATACATTTGAACCTTTTCTTCATCAGGTGAACTGATGTTTGCTTTCATTTAGTCTTTCCTTTTGCTGCTTCCTCTAGGTGGCATTAATTGGAACGTATCGTTACAAATGATTTATATGACCAATTTTGGGATTAATACCAAATCCTTTTCTTTTGCCGTTTTTATGTGCACCTATCTGATTTGAGGTGCAGCCTACAGATTAGAGAACCAGCTGCATGCAACTTCCATGTCACCATGCATCTGCATCTTCTTTAAACCTTGCAAAACAAATTTGGAGTAAATACACCGGGGTTTCGTTACAGGCCATGTCCAAGCAAAAGCCAGCTTCTAAATAAGCATGTCTCTTAACAGGGAAACTTCACCCACTTATCAGCTTTCAAGCTATCAACAAAGTTTTAACTGAAAATCTGGCATTATTAAAGCCTCTTGTATTCTACCTTCATGTTCCTGGCATGCCTCCCCTTGCCTAAGGAATAAAGATTCAATTGAGCATATTTCAATTTAAGATATCTATGCTAAATGTATGTAATGATAATGTCAGTGATTATCTCATAGCTGAATGGAATTATGCAATTTTGGTTTAAAATCGTGCTCATGTAATTAATTTTAGTTTGATTTACTTCTATGGCTTTCAATCAATTTATTTGGTCATTCTGTCCAGTATGATTTTTCTGAACATAAATTTTGGACTCTGGAAGTAGCAGTCCAGTTTTTGGTTTGCTTATGCTATATGTTGCAAAATTTGGACACTTCTTCTGCTGGTATAGTTGAATTTGTATTTCACCTCCTTTTGTACAGTTAGGTTGTAGGCTCTTGTACGTCTTGAAAAGATTACTTCCAATCTCAGTCTATCTTCTTCAGGTGTGGGTTCTATGTTGTTCTTTATCCTTTAAATCTGTAAGACCTTCTGAATTGTTGTGTTTTTCATTAATTTTATCTCATTCCTGAACTTGTCCATAACAGAAAGATGGTGAGTATCTAAGTGGTCATGATGTATTCCTCAAGCGTGTTGCTTCCGCCTTCAGCAACTTTGCAGAATCTACAGAAAGGGCATGCCGTGAAAAGTATTCTGCTTGTCCCTTTACAACAGTTCTTTGAAAAGAAAAAAAAATGCTAACCTTGGATTTAGTTCTCTGAGATTTTTTTTCTGCCGTGGAGAGCTGAAGGCAAATGAGTGCATCAAAATTCAAATTTCGCGATGTACGAGTGCCTAAGGAGCACCATGGAATATATATATATATATATATATATAACCGCTTCTGGTTAATGTTTGACACAAACTGCATCCAAAAGAGAAAATAGTATAGAAACAAGATTTTTTTTTTACTTTTTCCAAACAACACTTGAAATGTTTTAGTATAAATGCATGGTTTACCTAGACAAAACACGACCCTTCATAGCTACTGTTCATCAGAAATTCATCACTAATGCTAGTGTTCATCAGAGTTTATCAGTCTCAAGCAAAATTCTTCATAAGCAAATTGTAACTTGCATTCATACTCATCGTTTTTGTTTAATATTTGCTGCAGATGTATGGAGGATCTAGAAAGCACCACACGTTATGTAACATGGTCTCTCCACAATAAGGTTAGTCAGAGTGGAATAACATGAGATGCCTTTGAAATAAATAGATTCTTAATTATACCTTTGGCTATGACTGTTTATTTTCGGAATCATCATGCTTTTTAAATCAATAGATTCCTGATTATCACTTTGGCCATGACTGTTTATTTTCAGAATCGTCATGCTTTTCATAATAACGCTATTGTTAATAATGGCTGTAACTGCCTTTTCAGGAGCCTGCAAATTAACTACTTTGGCATTGATAATGATAACATTGGCATTAAACTTTTCATCCACTCTCGAGATATATTACTTGTGGGTGTGCTATTCACATTGTTTACTATTTGAGTTCCTTATTTTATATGTTCGACTTATAGAATCGGGCTGGGCTACGCCAATTCTTAGACTCCTTTGGTGGAGCGGAGCAGTCTGCTATGGGAGGTAATCCTATATCTTCTGGTCTGGAGTCATCCATGGGTTCAGCTGCCAACGAGAAGCATGACAATAAACCAAGGGCAGATGTCAAGCTCAGTCATTTGGCTTCAGGCATTGACTCGAGCTCTGCAGTTCAGACAACAGAAACACGGTTTGCAGATCTTCTAGACAACACCCTTTGGAATCGTAGACTTGCCCCTTCTTCTGAAAGAATTGTTTATGCTCTAGTTCAACAGATATTCCATGGCATAAGAGAGTATTTCTTAGCATCTGCTGAATTGAAGGTTTGCATCCTCTCCATTTACAGTTTGGCCGAAATGTTCAAATGTGGTTGATAGGCTCCACCCTCATTTCTCGTACTCCCTCCCAAAGATGACGCTTTGTTAGGATATATATATATATATATATATATATATTCAATTTGAATAGGAAAATGAACAAAAAGTTATGGTGAACATCAACTTCTAGAAAATTACCGAAAAAGACTACCAGTGATTTCTGAACATAAACATATTTTGACATGGAGGGAATAGCGGATATTCTATTTTCTATTTCATGCCACACTGTTGATTCCTCCTTTTCAATCAAGAATTTTGTTTTCTTGCTCTGATAATTTGTCCAGCTTTGTTGTTAGTAGCTTTTTATGTGTGAGTTTTTAACAGTTTGCATGTGTCCTTTGCAGTTCAACTGTTTTCTTTTGATGCCGGTAGTAGACAAGTTGCCAGCACTTCTTCGGCAGGACCTAGAATCTGCATTTGTAGATGATTTAGATAACGTTTTTGACATCACCAACTTACGACACTCGTTCAGCCAACAGAAGCTAGAAACAGAGATGGACCTTAAAAGGGTTTTTATTTTCTTTATTTCTATTTCCTTTTTTATCTTCTCTCTAGGAAAACTGTCGATCTTGACAGTCTCTAGTTTGCTTGTTTAACTTGGTGACAATTTTTGCAGATCAAGAGGCTCAAAGAGAAATTTAGGCTGATAAATGAGCAGCTTGCTTTGCATCAACTGAAGGCCGTCTCCATTGAACGAGTCCTAAACCAGAATGACACTTAAAGGAGTTGTGGATGTATGAGCTAATTAAGTTACTTTCCCCTTTTCTTTTCCTTCTAGAACCCATTTTATTGTCATTAGTCTTGTGCTGCACAACAATTCTTGGTTGTGATTGCATTATAATAACTTCAGAAGCTACAGCATAAAATTCTTTGTTGAGTATATGAAAGAAGTAGTGTATTGTGATCCAATATATTGTGTTTTTGTTTTTTATGATTGATGACAATAAGAGAATTTATACTAATTTCTAAATTCTTTTACCATGTTTCCGTGACTAATCCAAACCTTTCGATCTCTAGATGACTAATTAGTTCATCCTAAATCTTTGATATGGTAGTAAGGATCTTTTATTAAATTAGTAATTGCCAATTCATGAATCCTGAGTCCCCCTTCTTTTTAGCTTTTCAAGGTGTGAACTGTGTAGCGTGTGCTAGTGGAGGGAAGAAAGTAGTGACTTGAACCTGATCACACCCTAGGGTTGGGGATGACGATATTCTTCCTCAGAGTTGAGTCTATCTTGCATTGAATTTATCCATTAGAATTCCTGGAGATTTAGCTCAAGTAGCAAGTGGATGCATCTCAAGTCATTTTCTGGTGCTTGCGTCTGAATCCTAGGAACCTTTGACCCTCTCTAAAACCAAAGCAAATAAAGAGATGATCCAGGTTTGAAGTGGGCTAAGAAAAGTAGATTCGCTCTGGATCAACCAAAACTCTAGATGAAGCTCTAGTTAGCAAGTAGTCCAAAGTGAAATTCTAAACGGACCATATTGTCCAATTCGAGTCCAAACAGAGGGAGAAATGGTTCTGAGGCCTACCGTGACAGCTTAAGAAGATTATGAAAATCCACTCTACTTGGACGAGTTGACATAATCGCCAAAAAAAACCTTAAAAATCCACATTAAATAAAAAGCACGTTTCAGCTGCCCTCTTGTCATATTAGTAACTTTCGCATCAGCACCATGGCTACCAGATTTCTTATAAGTCACGCTATGGTGAATAAATCACTCTGCTTAGGGTCAAATAATGTTTATTTCAAGAAAACAGATCATTTTACCGTTTTCGTCATGTAATCTATCGAGGTATCACTTATACAAGGATCCTAATCATCAAAGATTTTAGGTTCTTCACTCTACAAAATTTTCTTTACATTGAGAAAATATAAATATTAATCTTTTTTTTGGAAAAATATGCACAAGAACACCTTTCAATAGCTTAATAATGCTATCTCTTTTCTTTTCTGTCACTAATTTAATAATTCGAGGATCCATCGATCCATAAAAAGAATTTGTTTTGCATGTATACAGCATAAAAAGAAGTAAGAAACACAATCAATTTCTAATGTCAATCAACGGATCGAGTATAAAACGAATATTCATTTTGTTTCACTTAATAAGCACCTATTAAAAAATATATAATGGGTATTAAAATAGATAATGATAAAAAAAGTACTTATCCATATTATTTTATATTATAGGTACATACTCTTTACTCTATTAATATCTACTAATTTATCTTGATTTTTTTTTATTATATAGGGATCTAATTCCATAGACTTTAAAAATTAAGGACCAAAATATTTTTTCTAAAAACTTTGAGGACAAAAAACTTATAAATAAATGACTAAAATGAAAATTATAGGGACTAAAATAAATATTTTTGATAAATTATTTTTAATTGGCATTAATTGAGCACTAAATAAGAGGATAAATTAATACGAAATCGGGCATAGGTTGAGTAAACATTTATATGCCAAAAATCAGCATCCGTTGCCATCCCTGATCCTCAGCTATAAATTGAATAAAAAATTGAATTAATAGACTCTGTATCCGTTGCATCCCTAATCCTCAGCTATAAATTAATACATCATTATCATTTTTAAAACGAATTTTCAGAACTATATGCCAAACATCTGGTAGCTACCCGAGGTTGTAGGAGAGGAACAAGTATATATATCCTGGAACACTAAGGCCCTTGTCTTTGTGTATTTACTGGTAGTTTTTCACTCCCTACTTTCAGCTCTCTGAAGTGCATTATGTGGAAGCATCAATGAGTAGGTTGATGCAATCCAAACATGATTTTTCTATATATATATATATATATATATATATATATATATATATATTTTTTTTTTTTTTTTTTTTTTTTGGTTAAAACTTCAATTCAAGCTATTAGTATTTTTTAAAAATTTCAAAAACAGTGGCTTTTCAGCTTGGTTCAAGAAAAAATTCAAAATTCAGAAAAAAAATAAAAAAAAAACGGTTTTTAACCGAAAGCCAAACCATAAAATTTGGTTTTTTAATCAGAAAAATCAAACCTCAATTCAATTTGGTCTTTGTTGTTTTAATCCATTCAATTAACCGAAAACCAAAAAAATAAAAAACAAACTGAAAAATCGAATAATCACCTCATACGAAACACTAGGCCCCTTTGTGTTTTTACTTGTAGTTTTTCACTCCCCCTTTCAGAGCTCTGAACTGCATCACGTGGAAGCATCAAAAAACAGGCTGATGCAATCCAAACATAAGTCTGGACACAAGGCCCTCACTGACTCATGTTTCTTGGTGTTTGTATAGCTGGGCCCATAAGACCAAATGGATACGATCTCATCTTTTCCACAACTCTAACCCTGTCAAATTTCCTATTTTTGTTGGGTGTGTGGAAAACACACAAGTTCACACACAACTCTTGCTATGTGTTTGATAGTGAGAATGTTTTTGTAAAAATAATTAAAAAAAGTACTGAATTTTTTTATGATTCTGAAAACATCTCAAGTAAACATACTTTTTGTGTTCATCCTAGGAAATAAAAACCTCTTTTTTTAATTAATGTTTCAAAACTATTTTTAATTGTGTTTAGTCCATCAGAAAAATAAACACTAAATTTTAGCCCTTCGATAGTTTTGGAAATTTTCAATGAAGCATTCTTATGAGTTGAAAATTTTTGCCATTCCATCCTAGCCTCTACCCCATGGAAACTTGGAAAACTCGCCTTCTCATGCTCCCGCTTCTTTAAATGATCGAAGTTTTATAATACTTCATGAGTAACTATTATATATGTATAATAATTATTTCATGAATTCACTTCATAAGGAGAGATAAACACAAAAGGAGAGAGAAAATTAAAAAAAAAAAATTGAGCCAACGTGAAAATCTTCTTATCAATTTTAATAGGTTCAAATATAATTTTTTTAATTATCTTTCTCCTTAAAAGCATATCGATAGAGTAATCACTATATATATATATATATATATATATTATAAAATTTATCTTAGACCACACTTTTATCTCATTTATGGCACACTATTAATACATAATAAACCCCAATAGTTCACTTATTATGCCATTTGACCCCACCAAGCAAGCAAGGAAGTAAAAAAATATATAAATAGATAAAACCCTAAGCAGCCATCATCAGCATGGGAAGTTGTAGAGCAAGTGTGACGACATGAATGTCCATAATGGACAAATACATAGGTTGGTGGCAGCATAAAGGTTCTTATTTCTTAACTCTTTGAAAACAACTCAACGCTTTGCCTGTCGTCCACTTTCGGAACCAAGACAGGTGAAGTCTGATTATTGATTAATAAAGAAACTTTTAAGGACAGGTAGTAAGTAATTCACCAATAAAAAAGATTGGTTGTTAAATGAAAATTTATTTCTTCAAACTCTATTTATTACAGTAATTAATTACCACTAACCATTCATGATTAATATGTAATGGGAGGGGCTTTTCCTTTTTATAAAATAGACCCTCTCCGATAAATAAGAGGTTTTTTTTTCATGTTAAATTAACATATCAATTGATTATTGGTGAAAAATCGATAGATCTATTAATAATAAATGATTGTTATCTTCCAAAATAATAATTCTCACGTGTGTTTGTTTATCTAGAAATTTATTAGAGTATTTATTCGTATAATATTATTCTCGAAATAAAATCATTGTTTTGTCGAAAAAAAAGCTGAGTTTTATATGTTTTCTCAATTTCATTTAAAATTTTTTATTTGTTTAAATTAGATTTCATATCTTTCATTATGATCCAATCAACTCTCAGATTTTTCATTTTTTTGTATCAATCACCCTTTATATCTTTCACTTTTGTTTTAATTTTCTTTCTCTACCAATTTTTGTCAGATTTGTAAATTTTAATTTCATCTTTAAAATTTATAAAATACTTCAATATCATTCAAAAAGCAAAAAAAAATAAATAAACTAATTGAAATTAAAAAATAGAAAATAGAAAATATTTTTTTATTACAAAAATATGATAAAGTTTGAGAGGACTAGCTTCCTAAGAAATCCTCAAATGCTAACTTCAATTCTCAAATAGCAACATCATCTTTTTCTTTATTAATACTATAGTTAAATGGAAATAAACATTCAAATCTCCCTTTTATTTTATTTTTTGTAAAAAACTTAGCCATCTAGATCCATACCAGATGATGACCACTCTCTAAGTAATGTCAAAATTGTCCAATACTCGAGTTACCATTTCATTTACATGAAATATTAATTTTTTTTAATATAATTGTTCAAGATTTTAATGGAAATTTGGATTAAAAAATATAGACATAAAAATGTTAGTGAAAGAATGCACGAAAGAAGACAAAAATGGCAGTTATACTTTTTATTAAAAAACATTTTTTATCCTATTTATTCTAACTTAATTTTATTTTTGCATCTTCAGACGAGTGATAGACGGTATTGATGAAATTTTTTAACATATCTTTAATGATTTTTTTCAATTTCAACTTGTTCATTCTTATTTTTTTGGACTATATCGAGATATTATATATGTTTTGAAAACAAAATTAAAATTTCATAGAGTGAACTATAGAGTGAAATAAAAATGAAAAATACAGAGTTTAATCAAAACAAATAATTTTTGATGAAATTAAAAAATCACATAAAGCTTAGGAGACAAAATAAAATTTTATAAAAAAAGAAAAAGAGAAAGAAAAAGGTTGTGCTATAACTTTGTAATTTGTAAAAACCACTGGGTTTTTTTCCCAGCTTCTCTTTATACAATTGCCTGTTTAAAACCATCAGTTTTGCAACAATGCCATTATCCTAATCTTTCAAGATGACATCCTTCGCTATACCGATCAACGGCTGGATCGAATCAGGAGAAAACTTTCTCGCAAACAAAAACGGGTCATTTCGTTGCATCACATACAAATCAGATCCGTTGATTCCTTCGTAACCATACCTAGGCCTTTTGTCTCTCAAAATCGAGATCAAATCCGGGCCCACCTCAGAGGCCTTATACATGCGTGGGTGACCACCAGCCCTAACACTCCAGTCAACGCTTGTCAGTGTAGCAGAAACTGAGCCACGAGGGTCCCGCATATGGACAAGGGTAGGAAAGTAATTCTCTTCAGGATAACACGTGGCTTCCCTCAAGCAAGTTTGGTTAAACTTGGGCCAGATCCTCCGGTCCCTCACTACCATCCTCGCATGCTTACGTGTCAATACCCAAAACTGGGACCCAATGCGAAAATCCTCAAACCTCACCTCCGGAAGCATCGCGTCGTAACCCCGCGCCGCCCATCTATCATAAGCACCGCCCTCATTGTCGAGTATCTCGATAAAACTCTTCCTCGAGTTAGTCAAAATTTTATACGTGAAGTCGAATGAATGTAAGGGGATACAAGAAGGGGATAAAAGGGCAAACATGGAATTGGAAGGGTCATGAAGAAGCGCGTGGGATAGTAATCGACGCGCCGCCGAGATGAGAGTTGGGGTTTGTCTTTTAGCCGGTTTTGAGTGGATGACTTTGTCAGTGAAAACCCCCGTAAACGGCGGGTCGTACTTGTAAGTTGGGTCTGCATGGACATAGATGTTAAAGAGAGTACTCCTACTTTGGTTAAAGTAGAGTTCCCATAGTGGTGCAAAGGGAAGAGGTGTAGTGGCCAAAAACAAGAAAGCTATTTTCTCAGGTAATTTGGGCCTTCGATTGACTTGGGAAGCAAGGTGTAAAAGTGAGTCATCATCTTGTGGTGGTGGAGGCGGTGGAGGAGGTGGAAGGGTTTGTGATAGTTGTTTTGGCGGTGGTGGTGAAATGGGGGTTTTGATTTTGAGTTTATGATTATGTTTTGAGATATAGGTTTCAGTTAAAACGATTGTAACTTTGTCTTGTTTCCAATCACTAATGGTGGGGGAGGTGGTGGTAGGGGTGGTGATGGTGAAGACAATGGCCAAGGGTAAGCAAAGGATTAAAGCACAAAAGAGTGACAGTGGAGTCGGAGAAAGCATTTCTTTTAAGATTTTGCAAAATTTAACGGAAAAAAACAGTGATTTTTAGAGAAAATCTTGTGATAGATTGTGATTGATTTAGAGAGCCAAAAGTTGGATTTGGTGGGGGTGGGGAAGGTTTAAGGTTTTATGGGTTGAATGGTAAGATACTAAATTGACGGCGGAGATAATTAATTAATCATTTAAGCTCTTTTGAAATCTTTCAGACAAAGATAAATTAAGATAATTAGTTAATGACGCACTCTATTTATAGTATAACTATCTCTTGATAATTAAAATAAAATTTTTTTATAATACTCAATAGTAACTATTTATAGTATAAGTATCTTTTGATAATTAAAGTATTAAGTGAATTTATTTTTGAAGAAAGAGATATATATATAAATAAATCACATTTGAATTGATTAAAAATGATAAAAATATTTGGTCAAATTACTCCTTAAGTATCTTAGAATTGCTCGTTAAAAGAGGTCTTATCTTTTGTGTTGCTTCTAACGTGGGTTGTTGGGAAATTGAATCACAGCCGTTGAGTGTGTTTCATGTGATCAATAATGTGGAGATGAACGGTGGAGATGCTATGGGATCTAAAGTTTGTTTACTTTTTTCTCTTCATGTAGTCGCATTTCTCGTGAGAAAGTTTCCGCTTTTGGCAAGTGGAAAAATAGGATTTTGTTGGATTTGGTGAAAGATGGACACGTGGCTAGCATGCAATTTTTAGTGGGCCTTACGGTTATGCGTTGGGAGGGCATAACGCGTGGGCCAGGGGGCCTCACATGAATCTTCCATGGTTATTTTGTGATCTAATTTAAAATTTTGAACTCCCCAAAACACGACCGTTTGAGTCCTTAGGCTATTAAATAAATAAAGTAGCAGATCCGTTCTCAAGAGGATGACGGATGGTTGATTTTCATGACGCTGAAAATGAATTAATTGCTCAGCAAGAAATATTATCGAACTTTTTTTACATAAAACGAGATTAAATTTTTAATTCATATATTAATAAGTCATTGATTTATAATAAAAGAATTAGTTTTCAGATAAATTTTTTATCAATGCACATGGTTTAAAATCTAAAATTACATTTATTAAGAATAATTAAATTTTATCATTTCAATTTCGAACATGATTAGTTATATATCTATCATGGGATATAAATACCTAAATTAAAAAACAAATTATTCAAATGTTAATATTAATAATTCATTTATCCCTCTCTTCTTTTTATTTCTTTGCAGTGTTTATTAATCTTAAAATTTGAATTTATAAATAAAAGAGAAAATGACCCTATTTATTAGCCAAAAACTTACATTATTAATTTAATAATGGAATTTTTTTAGGCTAATTTGCTTTACTAATTATATGAATGCATATATTCATAAAAGCAATAAGCAAGAATCATTAGAATGCATATAAGTTGTCTTTCCTTATGTAATTAAACCGGGTAAATTTTGAATATATATAGTTTGCAGAGAAAGGCTTTAATAAGAAATCATTTACCTTCAGCAAAGTAAATTACAAATTTTTTTTTAATTTTACAAAATAAATTAAATGTTTTTTAAAATTTAAAATTAATTAATTAGCCTCTTGACCATTATTGATCTTATTTAATTTAATATTAATTTTTTTTATCATCAATCTTTTCGTAATATTTTTTTTTATCTTTCCTATTTCTTGAAAAAAATTATATAAAGGACATGAAATGAACCAAATAAACCAATTAATTAGTTTTTAAGATTAGAAATATTGTATAATTTATATTTTACTCGATCTCTTAGGTTATGTCTCACCTACTCAATGTATTGTGCGTCACGTTCAAAGCAATTTCTCTCTCTACCGGTAACATGGAAAAAAAAAGGATGGTTATGTGCTTTGCTCGTCCTTGGTTAAACCAAGGATGGAATTGCTTTGAACGAGACACACGAATCCATCCTCCTATAGATACAGTGAATCTAGATGAGCATAATAATTTTTTTAAAAAAAAAAGGGAAGGAAGAAGAATTCTGAGTAATTAATTAGTGCACGTAAAATTTGAGGTTTGTCCACTCTCTTTGGAGTGATTTCTTTTTCTTAGCAAAGTTTTATTTGTTAGTGCACGTAAATATTTTTTTTAAAAAATATATTATTATAATTTATAAATTCTGATTATATATATAAGTTTTATTTGTTATTTTATATATATTTATTCATAATTTATTATAATCAATTTTATTTTAGTTTTTTATTTTAAGTTATTGACTTAAATATATTTCATATAATTTAGCAAGCTCTGGTCTTTTTTTCCTCATATATATATTATCATGAAATTAGGTGCGAAAAATATAGAAAATATATCTTTTTTTTTTTTTTTACGTATAGTTTAAAGATGATAGAATATATATGATATTTTTTAAGATTTTAGTTTGAACATATATATCTGATTATGTTACTCTTATTGTTTAAATTTTATTTCTTCAATTATTTGTTTCATATTAAAATTATCATCAAATTAATTTTTTGATATAATTTTATTTATTAATAATTTTTTTAATATATAAATTTTGGAATAAAATTTTAAAATGTTTGTGTTTTATATTTTAAAAATATATTATTATAATTTATAAATTCTAATTATATATATATATATATGAGAGAGAGAGAGAGAGAGAGAGATAAAAGTATGTTTTAGATAGTTTGACACGATTTTTAAAAAAAACTTCACATGTTTTATTTATTTATATATATATATATATTTATTCAAAATTTATCATAATCAATTTTGTTATAGTTTTTTTTTAGTCTATTGACTTCGATATATTGTTATAGTTTTATATACTCTAAATATGTTAAGTGTGATATATGTATATATTAGAAATTAACTATAGATCCGCACACATAATACCAATTCTTTAGTATTTATTTTTTATATTCTAAAACTTATTTTAAAAATAAAATAAGTTACATAATGTTTTAAAGGAACTTTCCAATTATTCAAATATAAATTTTTATGCTAATATTATTAAATATTTTGTTGATAACTATATATATAGATCAAGAGATTTCGCTCAATATATAAATTCGATTTACATTAATAATTGAAAATAAAAATTTTACTCGCAAGTATATCATACGAATAACACTATGTGTATAAAGAGTGCCGACCGCAACGTAACGCCGGTACCAATCTAGTCCTTTATAAAGAGTATGATGGATGGTTGACTTTCATGATGCTGAATGAATCAATTGCTCTTTTATGATAAGAAATATTATCGAACTTTTTTTTTTACACGAAATGAGATTAAAAATTTTATTCATATACCAATAAGTTATTGATTTAATGATAAATAAATTAGTTTTTAGATAATTTTTCTATCAATGTGCATGGTTTGAGTTTTAGAATTACACTTGTTGAGAGAAGTTAAATTTTATCATTATCATTTCGAATATGGTTAGTTATATATCTAACGTGGGATATGCATACCTGAATTAAAAAAAATTATTCAGATGTTAATATTAATAATTCATTTCTCTCTTCTTCTTTTTCTTTTGTTTTTTTTCTGCAGTGTCTATTAATCTTAAAATTTGAATTTATAAATAAAAGAGAAAATGACCCTATTTATTAGCCAAACACTTACATTATTAATTCAATAATGGAATTTTTTTAGGCTAATTTGCTCTACTAATTATATGGATGCCTATATTCATAAAAGCAATAAGCAAGGATCATTAGAATGCATATAAGTTGTCTTTCCTTATGTAATTAAACCGGGTAAATTTTGAATATATATAGTTTGCAGAGAAAGGTTTTAATACGAAATCATTTACCTTCAGCAAAGTAAATTACAAATTTTTTTTTTTAATTTTACAAAATAAATTAAATATTTTTTTAATTTTTAAAATTAATTAATTAGTCTCTTGATCATTATTGATCTTATTTAATTTAATATTAATTTTTTTATCATAAATCTTTTCGTAATATTTTTTTTATCTTTCCTATTTCTTGAAAAAAATTACATAAAGGACATGAAATGAACCAAATAAACCAATTAATTAGTTTTTAAAATCAGAAAGAATGTATAATTTATATTTTACTCGATCTCTTAGGTTATGTCTCACCTACTCAATGTATTGTGTGTCACGTTCAAAGCAATTTCTCTCTCTACCGGTAACATGAAAAAAAAAAAAAAAAAACCGCTGGTTAGGTGCTTTGCTCGTCCTTGATTAGACCAAGGATGGAATTGCTTTGAACGAGACACACGAATCCATCCTCGTATAGATACAGTGAATCTAGATGAGTATAATAATAAAAAATAAAAAAAGGAAGGAAGAAGAATTATGAATAATTAATTAGTGCACGTAAAATTTGAGGTTTGTCCACTCTCTTTGGAGTGATTTTTTTTCTCAGCAGAGTTTTCAAGCGTCAAATTTTCCATGTTAGGTACAAGATTGATGAACCCTCAGAAGAGTTGAGAAGCTGATTGATGAGTGATGTTTCGAGCTTCTGTGTAAAGTCTCATTCATCATCCATCCACATCAAGCAAAAAAGCTGCAGAAAACTAAAGCAACTTTTTCCCTGTTTTTTAATTTTCTTTCCTGTAGAATGACCCGTCTTCTTCGTCATGATATCAGAATTCAAGAATGTAATCATGTCTGTGCACATTCAGCGATCCAAACAGAGCCAGGCTTGATGTCATTGCTGCAGCGGCGCTGACACACACACCCACATGACCACACTGCCCACCAGACCATGTCAAGAAGGGATCGAATATCATGCATGCGTGGTTCTTGTAGGTTTGGGTTAGATTCGGTAGTCGGTACTGTATATACTATTTTCTCATCTTTTGGTTTTTTTTTCCTTTTACTGATAATAGTAATGGACTTAAGCTACTTTCCTTCTGAGTCATGCGTCTTTTTCTTCTTTTCAACTTTCAAGTATTACTGATAAAAAAAATAAAAAAAAAAGATCAGGCAGTAGCTAGCTAGCAGGGTGTTTTTTACACGAACATGCATAACAACTAGGAAATTGATTCCAAGTTTTATTTATTTATTGGGTACAATTGATCACAGAAAAATGTGGTTGTACTACTCAGAACATGGATGATCTAATTAATGTATAATTAGAAAGAAAATAAAATTTAAAATACTTAAAAGAATAATTATCAATATTATTAATAAATTCATTTGAAAAACAGAGACAGATACGAAAATAAATAAATAAATAAACGAATTCAAATTTACAAAAATTTGTATGAATGTTTTCAATAAATTTATTGTTTTTTAATTGTCTATCTCTTTTTTTTCTTATGATATTTCAAGTCGAAATATCTAGACAAATCTCTCGTCGTTTGATTAAACACAACTTTCAAAGAGTTTTATGTGTACATAAAAACTTGAATATGAGATCATTTATTTAAACGACTAGAGTTTTTTCATATTGAGAATTATCTTGAGTACTATAAAATTTTTTAAAAACTATAATAAATAGAATTATTGATTATTCATGTAAAAGCTATTTCTACTTTCTAATGTCCAAAGCTTCCTTTTCATTGGATCTATGCTCCGTTGATTTGCACTTAAATATATAGTTTAACTAATGATAATTTAAGAGCAGGTTTTATCGAATGATTAGTGAACCCCTTAGATTTATTTAGCAAAATAAGTTTTCTCTTCCATTGATTGCAATTTTTTTATTACTATATATTTTTTTAATTCAACAGTAAATATATTCTCGAGCTCGTTTGTGTATAATAAAATTAAGTTTTTTTGACCTACGATTTTAAAAACACACCTCTTATATGATTCAAGTATATTCTGAAAAAATTAACAAATTTTTATTGATTGCTCGTTTTAAAATTTAAACCCAAAAAATCAAGAAATAAACCAAAATTCCCTAACTGACTTATCAACTTATTATTACAAGTAATAGAGAAATACTCTCTCACTATGCAGTATAAATTCCTTTGAGTCTTCCCAAAAAAAAAAGCATGTTTAGGATTATAAATCATCTTAACTCATTCATACTATTTACCCCAAGCTAAATGTATTATCTTTTCACTTTACCCCAAGCTAAATGTATTATCTTTTCACTGTACAGTCATATTTTTATTATAAAAACTTTTCTGATATTAAATTTTAATTTTAATTTTTAAAATATTATTTTTTTGATATGTAAATATTTTTTATTTGATTTATTTTTTTTATTTTAATCATTTTGGTCTTTTTTTCTGATTTTTTTAATAAAAATTTTTAAAACAAAAAAAAATATTTTAAAAAATAATTTATAAAATAAACTTTTAGCTAACAATCCTTTGATTTTGATGTTTTTTATGCTATTATAATTTTCTTAGTTTGTGAATAAATATAAATAAATAATATTTTTTAATAAAAAAATTATGAAAAATATAAAAAATAATAAATTAAATATAAAATTTTAATTAAAAAAATTATAAAATCGAATAAATTTTTATTTGATATATATATATATATATATATATATATATATATATATATATATATATATATATATATATTAAATTAAAATAATTTTTATGTGTTTTATCTTATTTCCAGCAAAACGCGGATAAAAAAAGTTAGTCGGGGTCTAAAAGAAAAGCATAGGTGTTGGACCGAAGTATGAAAAAAATGGATTCTTTCTTTGCATTCGAGTTTAAAGACGTTTGGCTTTCTCTAATTTAATCACTGCAGTTAGTGATGTGAGAGTCAGTTTTTATCCAAAATCATGATTGTTGGATGTTCATGTCGTTACTTGAAAGTCCCAGTGCTTGAATTTTGCCTTCTAAAACAAGCACAATGTCCTTAATTACGGCAATGGTTTCCCTAACACCATCAACCTGGATTTATGGAAAGAATACAGTAGTTATTGCCCGCCTCTTTCTAGATTCCAATATTAGCAATCAGTGCACGGGATTGCTGGGAAAGAGGAGACATAAATGGAAAGGCAGAAAAGCCCAAGAAGATATTAATCGGCCTTAATACCAACCCTATCTCAACTTGATGCCATTTTTCAGCAAAAGTTCCAAAAAAAAAAAAAAAATAGTGGGTTTGATAAGCCAATGGGGAAAAATTCCACACTACAGATGAAAAAAAAAAAAAGAAAAAAAAAAAGCTTCTTGTTTCCAACTCCCAAGTCTCGCCTCTGTCCTGCACATGGAGATCATGGTGAAATGCATAATCAAGCTAATTTCTTGGGAATTAAAGTTGGGATTTTTTAACCCTTTCCTGGTTTATCTTAACATATTTGACCCAAAAAAAAAAAAAGAGAGACTTTTCTTCTCTAGTAATTGAATGGGGCACGCTTTCAAGGTAATTAAGCAAGTCTTACATGGTAAAAGTATGAGGCCAGCCTTCCTCACTAGTGTCCATCCATGTTGTGGCAGGGGGAGATCTGATAATATTGTCACTGTCGGTGGTATCTAAGCAACCCCAACCCCAACCTCTACTAGTACTGTAAAAGGTTCATAAGCCATTGGCAGGGAAATATTTAGAGAGAGAGAGAGAGAGAGAGAGAGAGAGTAGAAAGTTGGAAAAGGAAGAGAAAAGGTCAAAACCAATAGGGAAAAAATAGAGAGAGGGACTCTTGGGGCTAGGGGAAGCAGGCATGTGGATGAGTGGGGGACACAACAAACTGATCAGTTTTCAATTAAACCCCCCTTCGAAATAATTGAGTTTGTGACAGAAAAGAGAGAAAAAGAAAGGCAAAGCCCTTATAAAAAAATATACTAAAAAAAAAAAGGCCTCTGCTTCTCTCACCACTTCTTGCATTTTGGTACAACTCTGCTGTGCTGTTGTTGTTGTTGTTCTGTTCAATGTGATTGTGGGACTTTGAACGACTTGATAAAGTCACACGCAAGAGAAAAAGGCAGGAAACCAAAAACTGAAGTTACCCTTTACTTCTTAGTCACAGCTTTGTCAACTTGGACCCCTCAAGAAACTGAGAAATCTTGGTCTTCTTTCCTTTCTTTCTTCCTCTCAAAGAAATAGCAGTAGTAAGAAGAAGAAGAAGAAGAAGAAGAAGAAGAAGATGCCTAGACCTGGACCAAGACCTTATGAATGTGTCAGAAGAGCTTGGCACAGTGACAGACACAAACCCATTAGAGGTTCTCTCATTCAAGAAATTTTCCGGTACCCCTCTCCCTTATTCTTTTTTTCTGTGTATCATATAAAAAGTCTTGTCTTTTATATTTCACTGATTTTGGTTATGTATTTTGTTTAGACTTGTCAATGAGGTTCATAGCTCAGCGACTAAGAAGAACAAGGAATGGCAAGATAAGCTCCCTGTTGTTGTGCTGAAAGCAGAAGAGATTATGTACTCCAAAGCCAATTCCGAGGTTAAAGTTTTCTCCTTGTTTATCCTCTCACTGTCAATTGAATTTTGCACACCTCTATTGTTAATTAGAGGCAGAGTTAAAGCATCAATGAAGTGATTTTTTTAAAAAATAATTTTGAGCTTGGGTTCATGCTACTTGGGCGCTGACAATTCATGAATTATAGATTTAAACTTGACATTCATTTTTCTTTCTATGTTTTCTCAGCATAGTCTCAAGTTTTTGCTGGTTTAATAGATTTGGTTACTGTCTTTTTATAGAGCTTAGTTTTGGATTCTAATTCTTGCATAGGCTGAATATATGGACCTTAAGACACTTTGGGACAGAGCAAATGATGCCATCAACACCATAATTCGACGCGATGAGAGCATGGAAACTGGAGAGCTTCTTCAACCTTGCATTGAAGGTACCCACTACCCAGTTCTTATCCGGCTTTTATTACTTCTGCTAATTGTTGTCTTTGATTTCTGCATGTATTGAATAAGGAATTTGTTACTTGAGAGTTTTGAATAGTTTTGGCCCTATTTTCAGTGCTTGAAGTCAATTACAATAAGTGCTACTTTGAAATCTAGATTAAGTGTATTTGCCTGTCAGCATACTCGATTCAACCATTATAATAATTTCTCACATAGTGCCATTGTTACAGTAACACCCATTTGTGTGATTCTCCACTTTGTATGATACACTGTATGGACAATATTCTGCATGCAATGCTATGTGTGTAACACCTTCTCACCCTATTTCATTACCGCTCAGCTGCTCTCAATTTGGGCTGCACACCAAGAAGAGCCTCAAGGAGCCAGCGGAATTGCAGTCCGAGGTTTTACCTTAGTCCTAGCGCTCAAGAGTCCAACACTTTGTCGCCTGGTGCTTTGCACAATGCCATTCAGGCTAATCATGCATCCAACTCACATGTCCTACCTAGTTATTCAAACTTGGTAAAACCCACAATCATGAATTCCACTCCTTCAGGCTCAGAATCACAAGATTTTGCTGGCCAGAGCAATGGTACTTCTAACAGATTTCTTTTTACAACCGATAACATTCCTCCATCTTACGGTAACCAATGTTTATCCTTGGAAAATTACTGTATACCAAGCTTGTGCTCGGTTTACCCTTTATACTATGGTAGTTGCCTAGAACCACACCGAGGTTGTGGAGCTCTTCCTAAGACTGTTCCTGGCACTGCAGAGCCAGTCAAGGTGGCTGTTATGCAAAACTTTTTCCCTCGTAATGAGGACACTCCTGTTAAAACCAGTCAAGCTGATCACAAGGACAGTCCTTTGCAACCACAAGAAATTGGGTGCGATCTATCATTGCGGTTGGGCTCTCTCCCAGCTCCAGTGCTGAGTGTGAAAACCAAGCAGCTCGTAGATACCAAAGATGGTGGTCATGTTTGTTCTCAAGAGGATTTGCAGGTTGATGATTGGATGCCACAAATGGGTAAGGAATTATCTTTCTTCACTAGGGTCAACGTGGTTGAGCCGTTAGTTTTGCATCCGAGCAAACTGAGGGAACATATAAATATAGATGTGACAATGAAAAAACGCAAGGCGGCGTTCGATCACCATGTTGAAGATCAACAATTTTGTTGGCAGCCAAAGCTTCCTTGTAATCAGTTAACCAGCAGAATGAAAAGTGCGGGTTTGTAGGCTGACTGTCAATTGGTATGTTGCTTCAAACTCTTGATATGCCTTGGTAAGAATATCTTGCTAAAGCTCTTTTTGGCTATGTAGTGTTTGTTAGTTTTGTTTAACAATGATGACTTGCTAGCTGCCATGTTGTAAGAATGATGTAAATATTGATCGAGTTTAACTTAGAACTAACAGAAACAATGATGACTTGCTAGCTGCCATGTTGCTAAGGCTTGTGGTTTAAATTTTAAAAAGAAATGTTTGATGTAACAGGGAGTTGCTTTTGGAACCTAGACCAGAACTTGCATATCATCACTTCTTTTTATCTGGTTGAAGACAATTGATTTTAAGACAATAACTTGGTGAAAAAGAGAGGAAAATGGAAGTGGTTTTAAAGAAGATGCTTTATTCCATTTGTATGATCTTTATGTATGGAAGCTGGTAGGGTAATCTATGCCACTGTATGCCCAATTATCTGAAGTTTTCTAATTACATATCCAAAAGGCAGTTCCTAGTTGAGATTTGGATGTATTATGAAGTATGGTATCAAAGTGGAAAGGTGGGGGGAAGACGTGTCTCTTCAACAAACCTTAAACTTAGCCATTATAAGAAGTAATCCTGATCATTAGATCTGAGGTCACTTGGCCCCCATTCTGATTGGTGTGGTTAAAAAGGGGGCAAGAAATGATTAATGAATAACTGGATAGGGCTTGCTGTTTTTCTTAGTGGGGAACAGGAAGGTCTCTCTTGCCAAATCTCAGTATTATCTTGAGTCAATATGCCTTGTTGCTGTTCTGTGGACCCCTTGTGTATTTGGTCTAATTAGGGAGAGGATAAGACCTTTTGTTTGTATGAATGGTGGGTGATCAATATTTGTTGGCAATGAGTGCTTATCAGCTATCTGTAGGGTCAGACTTTCAAATGGCTTTAATATTCATTAAGGTCGCAGTGGAGAATGTGGGTCATATGGTCTTGGTAAATTTTCTATATAGAATTAGGGAGGTCAGAAAATGTGGATGGAGGAGGTCATTTCCCATTATTTAGCAAACTATTCTTTCTTCACTTTCATGATTGTGATTGGGGAACTGATAGAATCTAGGTATTTGTAGGACATAAAGGGTCATGGGATTCTAAAACTACATGAGCAATTGAAAGGAACAATCACGTGTTTTTCTTAAAAGAGTGGTTGGCAGTAAATGAAATTGTCTGAAACATTTAATTTCATACTATTGACAGCATCAAATAAGCTGTTGGCTGTGTATTTTTTTCTGCTCCCAAAGATGATTCCTAAATTCTGCTATATTCTCAAGTTTTTTGTACACTTTTTTCTTCCTGAGGCATCTGTCTAGTCAATAAGGAAATATGTTGAAAAACAGTCAAGTGGGAAAAAAAATTTAAACCCTATGCGTACAATGTGACTGCTCTAGAAAGTTCACCCTCCACTTGAGAAAAGAAAGTGGAAGATGTCTGAGAAGAAGAGGAAGTAGAAGCATATAAAGAAGAGCAGTAGTGGAAATCTATTTGAAGTCTCTTCAGGAGAGAAAATGTAGAAATTGTGCCCTTTTTCTCTTCTTCCTCAAGTTCTCCAAGTGGAATGGCAGCAAGGAATCTTTTAATGAACTCTTTACAACACTCTTTTCCCTTGCAAATTATGTCTTCGCTTACCTCTTTATCTTCAGCCCTCTCTTCCCCTGCTATTTCCTCTGTGGCAATATTTTCTTTCACCACCTTCCCATGCATCAAGCTTGAGTCATCGAACTTTAAGATGTATGCCTGGTCGCAACCCTCAAAGAGCCGCTCACCTAACGAATCAATAATATAATAAGCTTCAGCATCTACCTTCAACACGAAGAAATGATCGTTCCAACTCACTATATATATCTTCTGCTCGTCATCATTTGCGTTGCTTGTTATTTCTTGCCATACATCATCGAAAGAAGTGGCTCCCTTCAAGTTTTCGAACTTTTCAGGGCTGAAAATCCCAGTAAAAGATTTCTCGTGGGAGATGGTCAGAGGCCGGAGATCAGCTTTCAGGACAGTTTCAAGATCAAAGTGGTTATCAGGGAAGAAATTTGTGTAGGCCTCGTTGTCGCAAAGCTTTCGCCATTCCTGTGAGCCCTCTGTTATGAGGTTGTCAAACTGTGACAATGTTGGCATGAATTCTTGGTTCGAGTGAAGCCAATCGGCAATGACTGCAACTATTGCCGTGCAGGCACTCTCTCCGGCAGCTTTTTCGCTTCGTTGATCAAAGGAAGCAAGAAACACATTGGCTTTGAGTTTTGCTTGACCATCTCTGCTGACTAGTTCTTTGACGTCCCACTCATCTTTCTGCAAAGATTAACCAAGTACCAATTAGATCTCAAACTTCCTTTTCCCAAAGACCAATGATTTTGACATGGCGACCATGATGATTTTTTTGTGGTCCATCGTGCGATAATGCTCTAAGGCAAGTTCTTTAATCATTTCAAGGGCAACTAAAATTTTTGCAAGCTATTCTTGGACATCAAAAGTTTTTCCTATTACGTATTTTGGATAGTCTGAATTAAGAGGTTTTAACTTTTGAAACCGATGTGACACTACTAGATGGGCATGTCTATGGGTTTGGCCGACACAACAACAGTCTTCGAGATCCGACTTGTAAGATAAATATGAGAGAATGCGTGAGTGTTTTTCTATTAGTTAATTTATGTACCTGTGCGGAATCGCTTTTGTCCATTTGGGCACTGCTATTCTCAAAGAATGGCTCAACTTTCCTCCTAGTCCTGGACAAACTGAAGCTCAACCTTCTCTTCTTCCATGAGAATAACCTGGCTTTGGTGGTCAAGTCTGACCGAGTTTCCGAACTCGGAGATGACCCCAATTCGGTCCCTGAACTCATCTCTTGACTGCTACTTCCACTCTTGGAAGTTGATGTCCCTGAAGAACCATCCATGTCAAACATAGATGAGTCGTCAGAGTCACTAGAACTCACTTGGTTTCCTTCGTCCATTTTCTTCTTAGAAGCTGTCATGCCCTTAAACAGTCTTTTTTTAGCATCCGAATCATCCAAGTTTTGAAAAATTCCTGGTGGGTCACATGAATTTCTGATCTCAGTAAAGCTTACCCCAATCTGCAAATAAAATCATAATTAAATATTTAACCCAAGACTAATTCAGATTGTATTAAATAAAAAGGTCAGCAGAAGCCACACATCATTTAGGTCACAAAGAAAAGGTCAAATTTCATAAGTAATATTTTTTTAATTGTAATTTAGCTGTTTCATTGAAGACTAAGACATTCAGATGGTTGAGTTTTATTTATTTATCTCCTTATCAGGTGAAGTTTCTAAGTTATTTCATGTCAATTGGCCCCTCAGAGCTGTAATTTGGCTTTCTACCATTTTTCTACAACTCGACAGTTAAGTTTTGAATATCAATGAAGGAAGTGGTTCAAGAACATCATGGAAACTGGTTTGTGGTTCTAATTATGGTAGAGCCAGCTATTTTTTTTTTCACCAATTTTAAAAGCTTAAACAGTTGTTGGTCAGAGAAAACTACTTAACCGTAACTAAAAAAACTTCAGACAGCTCGGATATGCTATTTTCATTTCATACAGTAACAAGATTTCTCTTTTTTCTTTCACAGAGAGCCTATCCTAATCCTATGTATGCCATGTAAAAAGTGGACAATCTAAAAATCTATTTTGAATTCTTACACCATCTTGTAACAACTGATAACTATGAAATTTGCAACTACAGATTACAAGTTAATTAACGGAGACAATAAATTGAAGTTACAAAATGTTTTTTTGGGACAACAAGACATTAATGGCAACAAATAAATAGTACGTTGTTACTTCCTTAACAATCAAGACAAATTTTAAAGAAGAAATAAGGAACAGAATTGGTTTCTGCAGCTGCAAAAGAAACTTACCAGAAGAGTAGCTTGGCTGGCAACTCCATCAATCAGTAAAGAGATTGGCACCTTTCTTTCAATCTGGGAATCCATCGTTGAAGCCAATTCTGCTATATTCAACGTACCATTTCCCAATACTGCCATTTTAGTCCTGGATTTTGCATCCTCGCCCTGCAAACAAAAAGAAAAAAAAAATTAGCATTGCTATTTCTAAAAGCAAAGATGAACATGATCAAAACAATGCAAAAGAAGAAACTTACAAATAAAACAGTGAAAGAAACATCCCACTGAGCAAAAAGTTTATCTTTTGAAGGAATCCAAAAATCACAAACACTGTCAAATTCTTCATCATTCCATTCAATATTAGACTCTCCTTCCTTGAAGAATTTTTGACTAGTGTAGTTTTTTTTGCACTTCGAAACGCGATAAAATGGGACTAATCCTGACGACTTGGGCCCTTTCCATTTCATCTTGACAACAACAAACATTCTTTCTCTTCCATTATCATCAACCTTTTCCTTACACAATAATCCTTCTAGCTTCAATGGCTTCACCTTGACATGGACCTTCTTGGTTGTCCCAGCTGCCTGAATCCATGACCACTTCATCATTGTTATCTTCTTGTTTTGATTTCCTTCTCAAAAACTAATCATCCTGACCTGGATTATCCCTTGTCTGTGAATTTATATATATACATATACATCCATAGGTGAGTAAAATAGATAAATGGATTGCTTAATGGAGAATGAAACAGCGAAGACTTGTTCTTTAATTGGCTCTATGACAGCTTATATGCCTATTTGTAATCTTTACTTTTCCTGTTTTCCTTAGCGTGTGTGTTTCCGTGTGAGCTAGCCCACCTTCTTGGATAGCCCATAGGAATAAATAGTCACGTTTTATTATGACGCGGGGACTCGTTATTGCTAGGCAGCGTTGTATATGGTTTGAATTTTACAGAACCATAATATAAGTCCATTAGGTTTTTTTTATATATAGATATGAAATATTTAAACCTCTCTATGTCACACGAATTTTGTATTGAACCTTTAGAATTTTTGTATTCTCTTTCTATTAAACTAATAAAACGTCCCTTTCGTCTATAGAATAAGCAATTTGCCAAACTATATAAATATTATGTATTAATAATTTATTTAGTTTATCTTTTGATTATTATCTGTCATTACTTATTTTGTTTTCAATGTTTTTCATCACATGTAGGTTATTCTAAACTTCATTAAATATATTATATCCAAATTTGGATGTATTTTTTCATCCGTATCAAATCTTAAAACATCTTGATAGATTGATTAAAATAGAGTTTTGATTGCCTAAGAAAGCTGACTTGAGCGGAAAAAAATTAGTCATTTAAATAAGTGGTTTCGGTTTTGAATTCTTGTGTAAAATTTCTTAGATAGCTATACCCGTTTTGTGCGTTCAACTGAATAACAAAAAATTAGTCTAAGTTTTTAGATATAAGATATCTTGAAGATAAAAAAAGAAAAAAAAAACAAATTGAGCATTGATCAATATTGAAATAGGAACGTGTTATGTTTTAAATTTCAAATCCATATATATAACTAATACCTTGTTATTGTTCTTTTCTTAGTTGAAAGAGAGGATAAACGAATCATGAATGACGATATAAAAGATGTTCTTTCCTTAATTCTATATTATTTGGTATCACATGTGTTTTTTTTTTCATAATTTTTTATAAATTGGAATAAAGGCCTGTTTGTTAAAAGAAAAATAAAAAACCGACCAATGTTATTACAATAATAATCCACATGAAATTGCTTTTTCCAAATGTAGGACGTTAAAGATTCTTACTCTTACATATTGGAATCGAATGCTTTCCCTCAACATTTTCTTATCAGCATAACAAAAATGCTAGGTACAGTATATTTCTTTTTAAAAACTCTTATTACTTATGTTTTTTTTTAAAAGAAAAGAAAATCTGTCAAAAGATTTTTCCAAAATGCTTTCATCACTTCTCGTGAACATTTTGGTAAATTTTCCTATTCTCATTAAACAACAATTTGACTGAGAATAACTATTAATTCTTTCTACACAAGAGATAGATAACAAAAAATAATAAAAAGAAAATTTTTTTAAGAAAAAATTGAATCGTGGTGAAAATAGTTTTATTGTTTTTTATAAGTTCGGATTTTTTTTTTTATCTATTTTTTCTTTAAAAGTAAGCTTATAAAATAATTATGGTCAGTATGCAATAATTACTCTTGAAATATTTTAAAATTTTTCAGATTTTATTTATTTCTTTCGGTTTAAATAAAAAGCAAAACCAAACAAGTTTTCACTTTTTTAAGGATTAGTGAAAATTCTAGATTTTGAGGTGGATGGCCAACTAATCATTCTTTAAGGTAAGTTAAAGGCGATGCAGTCATAAGGACTTGTGGGGTGGTGACACGTCGGATAATTGGAAAACGTGGGATACGCGTCAAAGATTAGGAAGTATGATTGTTTTTTGGGACAGAGAAAATGCGTGGATTGTGCGCGTATGGTTTAGGTCCTCCTGAACTTGGAAGAAAGGAAAACTTTAAATGGTTTTTGCTTTGACACGTGTCCGGAACTTGTTATTTTCATTGAACAAAAACTGGTAAACCATCACATGCTTCCATAGTTCCATTGCTACGCACCAACACTCTCCCTCTCTCTCTCAAAAATAAATAAATAAATAAAATTGCATATCCCTAAAATAAACTTATATTTGATATTTCTTTTTAATTTTCAATTTTGTCAAATTTCGTACAGTAAAATGGAATTTATTTTTTCAATCAATTTTATGGACTATCTACATCAATTGCTTGTTAATTTAAATTAATTAATATTGTAGAATTATTCATCGTTGGTATACGACTTAATCCCTACAGTTGAGTATCAGTTTCAACAAAGTGTATTTTGACATGGCATTTTTATGTATTAAAACTAAATTTATTTCTCCAATTGATAAAAAAAAACTATTTATGCTATGGTTTGTTTGAGGTTTGGACCGGAATGACCAAAGAAGAAGGCAAGAGATGCACGTCCTTAGCTATTAGGCTAGTCACTCCTGTTAGATTTTTATTTTATTTTTTTAACAACGGCAAAATACCATTAAATGGTAAAGAAAGACAACTTCGATCTAAAAAATTTTCAAAATTCGGTTGCAGGATTTAAATATTAAGTTAAGTATGAATCTTAGCTCTAATACTTCATGATTTTTTTCATATATTTTGTGCTCCAGAAATTAAAATAAATATATGAGGAAGTCAAAAACCACAGATGACAGACCCATTTTCTCTATTATTAATAGGATCCTGTAAGGGTTGGAATTCCATTTGATGTCCCAGATTCTCTCTTTAGATGCCAATAAGTAGAGATCAGTTAGGCCTGAGTACTAATTGGGCCATTTTGGGTTATGAATTGGGCCGCACTCAAGTCAGACCAAATCACAGGACCCATTTTCACTTCATCTCATTTCAGTTGTAGAAATTCAGATGCATGCAAAACAATTCGAAACTTCTAGAAGATATTATACTTTGGAAAGGGCTCGAGTCTTGTTTATTTTTTGGAAAACTTTCCAGTTTTTTGACATAAAAAAATAAAATAAATTAAAGAAAATATGTTTATTAATTGAAAATGAAAATTTTCTCCTGTAAATGTGTGTTTTTTAATTCTCTAAAAAACTGAAAATAGTTATTTTCCACATCCTCCATAATAGGGAAAAAAAAAAAAAGGAGTTTTGTTTGGTTCATCTAACATTTATGCTCTTTTGTTTTATTATTTTAAGGTAAGCCAAACAAAGTATTTATTTTGAAAATTTTGTACTTAACAAACATGTTGTCTTAATTTTTTTTTTAATAGAGAAATATTTTTAGAATAAATAAGAAAATTATTTTTTGAAAGTAAATACAACAGACAGAGGGATAACCTATTGATATTTCTCTTACGTAGCAAACGATAGAGGACAAGACTACAACTCAACCGTTCTTTTGTTTACCGTAGAAGAAAAATAAAAAACTTACTATTGCTGCCTTAAAAATTAAAAAATAAATCACCATTGATTTTAAGAATAAATTTAATTATTACTCTTCATAAAACAATAAATCATCCTCACTTTATCAAATGAATTTTTATTATATTTAAACTTTGTAATCTTCAAATTTATTTGAATAAGACTTTTTATTTTTATTTTTTAATTTGATACGAGTCTGCAGACATAGTATTATAAAAGAAAAACTACATAATAAGTATATAAATTTTGAATCTTTTCTCAATTCAATACATTAATTTTTATTTTTTTGTTTCAATATATTAATTTTTTTAGCAAATACCAATCAAGGTTTTTCGTTTAATTTTTCATGTTCGAGTGATGATTTGATAGTTAACAAAGAAGACTAAAAAATTATATTATTCTTTTTTCTCTTCTCCTAAATTGTTATTATTATTTAATTATTGATTTTTTTTAAAAAAAGGCAAAGCAGCTTAATTTATATATATTCATGTTGGTCTATAGAGCACATTTTTTTTCTTTTTTAATTAGAGTAAATTATAATTTCTTTCAAAAAAAATATTTTCTAAAAATCTACCAATTAAATCAATATTATGGATGGAATCCTAAAAAAATCAATGGAAGGAGTTGATTTGAAAAAAAATAATAACGTTGAGGGACGTTAATTTTGGATTTTTTTAGTTAAACGACTAATTCTACTTTCATTGACCAATAAATCAAGTGGTTGAACACCTTCTAGCAAACACATATAAAAGGAAAAGAAAAGAATTTACTTTTGGTTTAAGGATTGATTCACATCCTCTTTTTGTAGGAAAATGATTTAGCTCGTAATTAGAAATTATACAGACAGAAAAAAAAAAAAAAAAAAAAAAAAAAAACCAGACGAAGTCATGATGCTAACCTCACGTACGTAAAGCCAATTTATCTCATGTTCTTGATGATTCCAAATGTGAAAGAGAGATTCTTACACAATAATTTTTCACAAATCGTATAATTTTATATCTCATGCGACATTAGAAAGCTATACTTTGTGTATCGTCCTTAACGTTTTTCTATTGCTTCACAACAACTTTGAGCTTTCTTTGTTGAAAATCACAAGCTTTTTAACGTTAATTACCTAATGCTTTTATTTATTTATTTTTTTAATGTAAAAGTTGATTATAATTGGTTCCCAACTTTTGATTCATGAATAAAAAACATTTCTTAATTTCCCACCAACTGAAAATTTAGCCATACATAATTTACTACACACCTAAATACTACCTTTTGATCCTCCACAAGGTATGAATAATTGTTGCATAAGTTAATAATATATAGTAATTAATAAACAAATTGCTGCATAAAATACAAAATAAAAAATTTATCTGCTCCATTGAAAGTCGTAATTGTAACTAATTAAGTGGACTAATGACCTAAAAACTTGAAGTTCTTACCTGAAAGTTTTCTTTACTGGATTAATTAGAAGAAGTTTGTCAAATCTGCAGATTCTCTCACAGAAAGTATAATTAAGCTCCCGTACGTTTGAGTGGAAATTTTGGTATTGCTTGAGTCAAAAGCAACAAAAATAATATGAATAAAATGGGGTAACATTCTAGTCCAATT